TTCTGAGAACTTTTTATCATAGCTCATAATTTTCATCACATTTTTTCCTATAGAAAAACACTGATTAGAAATATATCTCCGGGGGGTGCACTGAACCCCCTCCTTCCAACTGGACTAATTGGAAAACTCTTAACCCCAAATGTGTCTGCAGATGACATGTGACCATCAGATGATGGAGAAAAAAAAAGGCAGTGTGAGGAAATCACTGTTTACGCGTTGAAGTATGTACAAATAAAATCTTCCAATAAACTTACAAACTACTTAAAAGGATGTTTTTAGATTTATTTTAATTTGCTCCCACGTACTCTTTTCCCCACTGCTGTTGTATCTGAAATAATGAGGTCATTGATGGAGGTGATCACACACGCTGCATGACAACATATAAGGGGGCCATAAATTTATGAACACACAAATGTAATTTACACAACCGGTGATTTTTTTTTGCCAGCAGTCCCTCCGGCTTTTAGCCGCTGTGGCTGTCCTGCTCCTCACTGTTATAATGTTGCGGTACTCCTCGTAAAATAATGCTCTGTTCGGCTGTGAAAAATGACGTGCATTGTGGAGATTGGTCCGGTGGAACTGACCCCACCCCCTTTACGTGTGCGCGCACAGATCTGAAGAGGCCACACCTGGATTCAGTTATCGAGTTGATAACCGGCTTTGTAGTACAGCTGATCGGGATAGCGGAGATCCGGTGAAGTTGAGCGAGTTGTCGCAGAGTTATCCTGGATGTGTTAATCCAGCTTCGTAGTACAGGCCTCTGGTCCCAGAAGTGGTGAACTTAACTGAAACCTGAACTGTTTAGCTGTGTATCAGTTCAGGAATCGCAGGGTCCTCGTGCCACGTGCTGGATGATTCAATGAATCTTTTGAACGAATCCATTTAGTGAACTGATTCTAGTAGTGATGTGTCCTTCAGTGCCGAGGATTCGAAGCGTGTGTCGAGTAATTAAGGGGGCATTTCCGCGAAGCGCGTATCGAGGCTTGCTTCATGTAGGGGTGGAGCCAAAATTGATGACGTCCGAAGCCTCGCTACCCGGCTGTACCACGTGACTGATTCAAGAAACGGTTCACGGGTTTGGCGGATGATTTATCAGGCAGCGAAACGCAATGGAGTCCTCCCCCACTCACAATCCATAGACTCGAGACTTGTTGAAAAGTTGTTTTTAAATATAAATAAATCAATATAAGTGAAATGTTTATATTTTATATGTTGTCCCCATTACAAAAGTACGAACAACAAACTAAATAACACTAGCACATCCACACCACAACCCTCTCCATAATTTATGTCCTCTTCCCCTTTTGACACTGCAACTGTGTCTTAAAGACAAACACCATATTAATAACTTCATCATTTCTGTATTGTATCACAAACACACGGCATCACATCCATTCATTCATTGAATTCAAAGCTTCTCGCACCAAAGCCTTGGGGTGTCTTTGGTTTATCACTCTGCCTGTTTTACATTTATTGTCCACTTGATGGCGCAATAGAGCAAATAAAGCACGATCATGAAGCTTCGGCCCAGGAGTCGAGTAATTGGATGGAAAGCTTCGATGCTTCATGAGGGTTCATCTCGCCATCACTAGATTCTAGTGATTCAGAACATCTAAAAGAACTGCCGTACCCATTGAGAGGGACCCAACTGCAGCCCAAGATGGCGGACCCAGAAGATGAACTTCCGCAATACTCACTCAGAATTACCTGCGAAATAATTCCGGCGGACGGGCTTTCTCGTTGGTGGACTTCCGGCGCCGAAATATTTCGCCAAAAGTTTGTTTTTTGGTCACATCCATGCTGTACGTTTCTAACGGAATTAATTCGTCCAGCTAAAAAAAGAAACAACATGTGGGAAGGTTATTCCAATGATCGATTTTTTTTTTTGTCAGAAGGGACTTCCGGTAGTCGGATTTAGTCGCCGGAAGCTTTTTTTTTTTCTTTCGCTCCGTTCATTCCGTAAGAATCGAATTGAATTTATTATTGAGCTAAAAACCAAAATAAAACCTTTATGAATTATTTATGACTACTGTTTTGTTCTGATTTAATTCTGAAGTTTACAGTAATATGTATATATAGACTGATGTCCTCATATTCTGATAATTTGTCAGAATAGGTATAAATGTATATAGAAGTTATCATCTTACTCAAATTCTTATGTAAGAGTTTGCTACAAGTATGGACTGTTTTAACCTCTTGTTACACATCATATAAGAGTGTTTTCTAACTTCTCTCTCCAATAGCTTTATTACACAGCACATGAATGTTTCTTAACTTCTCTGTGACCTTGTTTCTCCTATTAGCAGGTGTGTGTGTGTGATGTATCCTCCACTGTGAATCGTGGGAAGTAATGAGGAGGATCCACTCCTATTAGGACCTCGTTTAATGTCAACAATGTTGCCTTGACCCTCACATATTTTCTGTTGTTCATAATTATGTTTTATGAGAGTGCTTACGTTGCTGCACATATTTTTCCCCCATCCTTTAGTAACATTGTGTAACCAGGGACATAATTTATGACATGGTGTGCTTCCTGGTGAGCCTCTTCAGGATTGCTTGACTGTGCAAAATCCAAGTATACAATAATTGTAGAGACACAAGTCACATGATCTGTTTAAGGTTCAGAAGAGCCATTTAGCAAAAACAATTGAATTGCGATATCATTACAGACTGTGTAAAGAAATGGGAAATTGTCATACAACTGCTTCAAAGATTTCTTTAATATTTTCCAAACAATAAATTGTAAACACAGTAAAAAAATATAATCATATATACATATACAGGCTTCCACGTCCCATAATTGAGAGTGTTGCCGTCAGTGTGGTGGGGGGCTTAAAATATACTGCCACAGGCTATCATCTGCTCCGCTCTGAGTCGGGTGATGCCATGCTCTTTAAGTGCTTTGATCAAAAGCTGAAAAACAGTCAAATAATGTGAACAATTGAAGTTATGCAGTATGGGTTAATTGTTGTTCTTGAGCTTTCCAAATGAATAAAAACAACCTCTTAACAATATCATCAATTTTCAAAGCAAGCTATATAGTTTGATCTACTCACCTCTGGGAGCATGACATCAAAGACAAAATCAAGCAAGTGAATCTCGCCTCTCTTGATGTTGTCGGATATGGTTGTTGCCTCCTCAATTAACCGCAGGAGCTCGAAGATCTATTGAAGAAAAACACAGAAAGTAAACAGCTTTCAAATGTAACACCTCTGAGAGTAAAAATACTCATGATGGATGGCATTTTTACTTAGGCGCTGCTCACTCCAACATAGTGACCTTATCTTTGCTGCTTGAGCCGGAGTGAGGTGGCGGGTTTCCTCCAAAGAAACATCCTGTTGGAGCGGATGTTTCCAGAGAGCAGATCATCGTGTAATGTCTGAAACCAAAGAGCAAGAGACAAAAATGTAATCATCTGTAAAAGAAACGGTGGCTTTAACAACTGATAATGCATTCAAAAGCAACCTTGGTCTGTGTCTTAGAAAAGACAGCACCAATTCCTCCACTGTCAACGGCATCCTTGATCCTGCAGAGAAATAAGAAAAAGAGCAAGCCCTCATTTTTCATCCTTTGCGCCTCGTATTTTTGACTGATACTATGTTTCCTTGATAAATTATGTTATACCGAGGATGCTCAATGGAATCCTCGCAGCCACAGTCAAAGGGCTCAATGTCAATCCCGGCACAATCTTGATGCAGCTAGCCCCTGCATGTCTCACACTGGACCCATTTTACAAACTTTCCCTCAGGGTAAAGCAATCTGATCAAATGAGAGACAAACTTAATATTAAACACACACGCTGTCCAATTGATTATACCTCTGCAGCACATTTGAATGTATAAATAATTTTCCTGCATGATTCGTGCATTTAAACTATATGTAAAAGTGGTCACTTCATGGAAAATCACTGAATAGGCCTTGATAATTGCATTTATTAAATTGAGTCTGCAACAAACCTCTCTCCTGTGTTGTCCGATGTCTGGTAGACACAGAAGTTCATTGAATCTGCCATGCACACTCTTTGGACATCAGAAGTCGTCTGTGTCATGGTTTCCTGGACAAGTCAATTTGAAAAGTAACATCAATTACCAAATACATCGAGACAATGTTGATCTTTACAACTGTGTGCATTTTGAAAGACTCCCACTGAGATAATACTGTTTTTCGAAGGCAATTTTCTAACCTCTGTGTCCTGCTGCTCGGCCTTCCTCTTAAGCCTGAAGACCGGAGTATGCTTTCCAGCAATAAGCTCCTGACATTCTTTGGTCCAGTGGGCAAAGATTTTCCCATAACTGTAATGACAATATATCTTTAAGTACAATATTTTGATTGTCTTCCAGTTAATTAGGGCATCTAGTTTACTTAAACTGTCTACCTGTTCAAAGAATTGTTTTCCAAGAGCAACAGGCACCACCATCTCCGCAAAACAGGCATGTCATGCTGAAATTGTTGTTTGTATTTCATTTTAGTGCACAATACAAAATACAACCTTGAGGATGACACTGCGTGTTGAAAAGTACTTACAACTGAGTAGTCAAACTGTGACTCCATAACAATGTACATGGCAGACTTAAAAAAAAATTATGAGACAACATGGGAGATAACTTTAAAAAAGTCCATGTTGGAAAGTTATCCTAGATACGACAATATTTGTGCATTACAGCTCGTTATGACCTACCATCAACATGAATATGCCACAGCCTGAGCCAAAGTCCTGGCTGGGGAAGCCCTGATTTAACAAAAGCAAATGTTAATCATCTTGTCACATACACTTTTCAACTGTAATATAGATCATGCACAAATACCTCTAAATCTCTGCCCGTTTTCTCAGTCCATTGCCCAGGACATATCTTCTTCTTCTTCTTGTTGGATTTGATTGGCGGCTGGCATCCAACAATTTGGCGCATTGCCGCCACCTACCGAACTGGAGTGTGGAACATTAGATTGGTAATTTACAAAAAAAAAAAAAAAAAAAAAAAGGGAACCCCCTCCAAACCCTACTAGATCCTTTTAACTAGGCCAGTTCTTCTCAAATATCTTTGTACATGTTTATTGCTCTCTTTTGTTCTCTGTAACACACTCCTTAATGTAAATCCAATGTTTTCCTTTTTTAAGCCATTTTTTAATACTTCCCTCTCTCTTTCATACTCCCTACATTCCATTAGGACATGTTCAACTGTTTCCTGTACATTGCAGCTTTGACACTTTCCTGTGGGGTGTTTACTTATTATTTTTTGTGTGCTGTTTAACCCTGTGTGCCCAAGCCTAAGACGGGTGATGGCCACCTCCTCCTTCCTGCTCCTGCCAAATACCCGTTCTCCACCCACCTGACTCTGTATCCTGTAGAAATGTCTCCCAGTGTCATTGATGTCCCAATATTCCTGCCAAACTCTCTGCATCTGTGTTTTGATTATTGACTTCCCTTCAGCTCTACCCAGTGGAATGCTGTTTTTTATTGTTTGTGCTCTGACAGCTTGTTTTGCAAGTGTGTCTACTTCCTCATTACCCTCAACACCTGCATGTGCTGGAACCCATACAAATCTGGTTGTCCCCCCCCTGTTCTGTATCTGGTGTAGCAGTTGATGAATCTCCATAACAAGATCTTGCCTACATGATTTCATTGTTTTGATACTTTCCAGTGCTGCATAACTATCTGATGCTATTACTGCATGTACAACATTCCCTCCCTTCATCCACTTTAATGCAAGTATTATTGCTAAAAGCTCCACTGAGTATACTGAGGCATGATCAGTAGCCCTTTCTCTAATTGCCAGTCTTTGTTCTGGGACGAAGACTGCTGCCCCGGTGCGCCCTGTCTTTGGATCTTTTGATCCATCCGTAAATATCAACAGTTTATTTGCATAGTTCTGTTCAATGTATCTTTGCACAATATCTCCTGTATTCCCTGATTTCTTCTTTACTTTATCCTGAATACCAAAGTCCACTGTTGGCTCCTGAAATACCCATGGAGGGATTTCTGGTAAAGAATGACTTGATACAAATTGCATGTTGCATAAACCAACACTTTCGGCTTTTTCATTCCCTACCCAGCCCAAACTCAAAAAATTGGTCTTGTCGTGCTCTGAGCATTCCTCTAATATTGCTTTTGCTGGATGTGACCTTTTGTCCCCCTGCAGATATACCCAGTATGCCAGCATGTGCTTTACCCTTCTTATCCTTAGAGGCTCTTCCCCTACCTCAACTTGAAGAGCAGCCACTGGAGAGGTTTTAAACGCCCCACTGCATATCCTCAGTCCCTTAGCCTGTTCCACGTCCAGCTTCTTCAGGTGACTCTCTGCTGCTGACATATAAGCCACACTGCCATAATCAATTCTGGACCTCATCATTGCTTGGTATATGTTTAACAGAGACTTCCTAGTTGCACCCCAATCTCGTCCTGCCATGCACCTCATAAGGTTATTAACATTTTTACATTTATCTCTCAGTTTTTCTATATGCTGCTTCCAGGTAAGTTTTTCATCAAATAAGACACCCAAAAACCGTACTACTTTAGCTTGTTCTAACGTTTGATCATATAGTTTTATTGACACCTCTTTATGTCGCTTAGCAAAGCATATTACTTGGGTTTTCGCCACTGACAGTTTGAATCCCCATCTATTTGCCCACTGCTCCACTTTATCAACCGCTGCCTGCAGCTTTTTCTGCAGATAGTCTTGATTTCTCCCTCTTACCCATAAGGCCCCATCATCAGCAAATAATGATTTACTTATTCCTCCCCCCACCTCCTCAAATATATCATTGATCATACAATTAAAAATTACTGGACTACACACACTCCCTTGCGGGGTTCCATTTTCAACCTCATATATTGGAGAGAATTCCTGTGCTACTCTCACCTCTATTGTTCTTCTAAATAAAAAACTTAGTACCCAGTTATATAATTTCCCTCCCACTCCCATCTTATCTAATTTAATCAGCAGCCCTTCTTTCCATAACATATCATATGCCTTCTCTACGTCAAAGAACACAGCCATCACTATTTCTTTATTTGTCTGTGCTTTTCTGATATCTGACTCCAAACTGAGCACTGAATCCATCGTGTTCCTTCCTTTGCGAAATCCACTTTGATGTGAAGAAAACAGGTCATGACTCTCTAAAAAAAACATCAGCCTTTCTGTTACCATCTTCTCCATTGTTTTCCCTAATTGAGATGTAAGGGCAATTGGCCTATAATTTGATGGATCTGATGCTCCTTTACCTGGTTTCAAAATTGGCACTATTACTGAGTGTTTCCATGCCTGTGGAACCTCCCCTGACTCCCATACTTTATTAAATAACTTTAATATTACCCCCAGCGACCTGTCATCCATGTGATCTAACATGCAGTAGCACACATCATCTTTTCCTGGTGACGACTGCCGCGTTTTGGCTACTGCTCTTCTTAATTCATACAAATTAAAGGGCAGATCTAGATCATCCCCTCTTGCCTGCTTTTTCTCTCTAATCCATGTGTTTTGTGTCAGTACATTCTGCCTATGCTGCTTTGCTTCTGTTGAGATATTTTCTGAGCTATGAACTTGAATTAATGTTTCTGCCAGTAGTGTCGCCTTCTCTAAATTACTAACTGCTGTTCTATCGTCCTTCTTCAGAATCGGGATTGTTATATTTCTTTTTATTCCACTCATTTTCCTAATCATTCCCCAAACTTCTGACAGCTGTACCTCCTGCCCTATTTCACTACAGTACTTCCTCCAACACACCCGCTTAGCTGCTCTGATTGTCCTTTTCACTACTGCCTGTGATCTTCTGTATTGGATTAATGTCTCCATTGTATGTTGCTTCTTTAACAATCTGAATGCCCTGTTACGTGCTCTTATAGCCTGTCTGCAGTTATTATCCCACCATGGTACACTTTTTACACTTCTGCCCCCAGACACTTTTGGAATTGTCCCATCAGCCGACTGTATTATAGCTGCTACCACTCTCTCATTCCATTCATCCACACCTGTCCATTGCTCCTCATGTAACTCCTCAAATATATTTCTACTCACTGCCTGATAAGCATCCCACTTAGCATTCTGAATTTTCCACCTTGGCACCCTCCTTTCCTCCTCTCGCTGCATTTCTACACCCACCTTACTAATCACAGGATAGTGATCACTCCCCATTAATATTTCATCTAGCACTTCCCAATTTGTGATACCTGCCATCTCATTGGACATTAAAGTTAAGTCAATTGCACTCTCCTTATTTCGTACACAATCATACCTAGTGCCCCTCCCATCATTTAAACACACTAACCCTTTATCTTCTATAAATTCTTCCACTATTGAACCATTTGAGTCTGTTCTCTCACTCCCCCATAAAGTGCTATGTGCATTGAAATCCCCACACCACAATATTTTCCCTTGCACCTCCCCCAGTACCTTATTCAGTGTATCCATACTCAATCTCTTGCATGGGTTATAGTAATTAATAATTGCTAGCTCATATCTTCCTGTCCAGATTTTTACTGTTATGGACTCATGATCCATCCCTATTTGACCTGTATTAAACCCTATCCCATCCTTTATAAAGGTAGCTACCCCACCACCTATCCCATTTTTCCTGTCATTTCTTACAGCCGTGTACCCATGTATTACAAAATCCCACTGCTCCCTCATCCATGTTTCTTGAATACATATAATAGTAGGCTTGTCCTGTAACCCAGATATAAACTTCTTAAATTCCTGCCCATTGGTTATGAGACTTCTTGCATTCCATTGCAGTATACTTAGGACCATGATGATCCTCCATCCCATACTGATGACTGCTGTGATGGATTCTGTGAGCTGGACCCCCTCCTTTCAACAGGTCCTCCACTTCCTCCCACCCAACTGCCTCCAGTCCCAGATATTTCTCTGCTGCTCTCACTATTATTTTGATTTTTTCCGTTTTCTTGTCTGTTTGCGCTGTACAGTTAACCACCTCAACCATGAATAGTATGAAATCTTTCTTCCCCACAACCATTGTGTCTTCCTTAATTCTTTTGCATCCTTCATGTGTTCTTATTTCTTGCCTTTCGGTTGTACTGGCATTACTTTCAGTTGCCTGCACCCTCACCCTTCTGGCTGCCTCAGCATATGTGATTCCATTCGATGTTTTCATTTGCTGCACTTCTGCTGCTCTCTTACTGACTTCACATCCCCTGTATGCAGAGGTATGTTCCCCTCCACAGTTGCAGCACTTAATTTTAGCTCCAATTTCACATTTCCCATATTCATGTTCCCCAGCACATTTCCCACATCTTTGTTTCCCCTTACATACTGCTGCAACATGCCCATATCTCTGGCATTTAAAGCACCTTAATGGCGGAGGCACATAGAGCCTCACACCGTAGCTCATGTATCCTATATGCACTCTTTCTGGGATTCTCTCTTCCTCAAACGTAACCAAAACCGACAGACTGTCACATTTTTCCCCCTCACGCGTTGTTTTCAGGCGCTTTGCTTCCCTCACTTTCGCTCCCTTTATATTTTCTTTTATTTGATCAATAGATACACTTATCGGCACCCCAAAGATTACTCCTCGGGTGATCCCTCCTCCCTTCCTAGCTAGCGTTGCTACCACCTTCTTCCCCTCAATTTTATCCACTCTGATGGCTCTCCCCAACTGTGCGCTGTCTCGACAAAAAATCAGCAGTGCTCCATTGCGCAACACTCTCGCACTTTTCACATCTCCTACTTGTTTATTTATTGCTTTTGTAAGGTTTACAGGATTCCACTCCCCAAACGAGGCGCCTTCTTGCTCCAATCTAATGATTACTTTGTGTTCTTCCTCGTCCTCTCTTGCTTGCTCGCTATCCGTTTCCTCAGACGCTGTGCCCACTCCTCTCTGTCCCCTATTATTTTTGCGTTTGCGCTTAGCTTTTCCCCCTTTCACAACATTCCAACTTTCATTTCTCCCGCCACCTAACTCCATCCCATCATTTCCTGACCCGTCACTTCCCTCTTCCATCTCCTGTCCATTCACAGTCCGGCTGTGCCAGCCGCCAACCTTGCTCATCCGTGTCTTCGTTTCTCGTGATCCTCTCTCCAGCGTGTGCTCACCCAACGAGCGACCTCCACCTCCAGGACATATCTTCTGCGCAATGTTCCTGTTAATTTGAGAGCGTCACTTAGTTCCCATAATGGAAACAATAGAATGCAGAGTGTTAGGGTTAGTTTGAGTGGGTCGGAGGTGAGATTGAATGAATGCGGACGGTTTGCTATTTTCAAACTTCCTGAAAGTTCTTCTTCTGTAAATTTTGCCGCAAGAAAGTTTAGGTGCATACCGCCACCTACTGTTCTGTACGGTGGCCTGGAAGTGCAAAACACAACCGCAAAAGAGAAAACACGACAGCAAATCAAAACGCAAACGCAAAAGAGAAAACGCAACCACAAAAAAGAAAACACGACAGCAAATCACATATGCAAACACAAAAAAGAGAAAACACGACAGCAAATCACATATGCAAACACAAAAAAGAAAACACGACAGCAAATCACATATGCAAACACAAAAAAGAAAACACGACAGCAAATCACATATGCAAACACAAAAAAGAGAAAACACGACAGCAAATCACATATGCAAACACAAAAAAGAAAACACGACAGCAAATCACATATGCAAACACAAAAAAGAGAAAACACGACAGCAAATCACATATGCAAACACAAAAAAGAAAACGCAACCGCAAATCCCAAAACACGATAGCATCGTCTGTCTTCTTCTTCTTCGTTGTAGTTTAATGGCAGTTTACTCCACTGGGAGTGGAGTACTACCTCCACCTGCTGGATCGATGTCGGAATGGGAAAGTAAGCACTCGAATCGACTCGTCTGTCCTTTGACCTGGAAAGACACGAACCGCGGCGCGACAGTCAGTGATGATGTATTGCCAATACTGTGGCAAAGAGCTCCCCGGACAACCCAACTTTTGCAGCAGTTGTGGGAAAAGGCTGCAAGAAGCAGACGGTGACAGTCCATCAAGTAAGTTAAGGGATGTTCAATTAATGTGTTCTGCTACACAACATGTCGACTATTACGTCATATTTGTGTCCTGCATCAAAATATTGCTGGATAATTTCGAGTACACTTTCGCTTTCGGCGTCCATGTTCATGTTTACTTTCCCGTTCCGAACTCCAGCAGGTGGCAGTAGTACTCCACCCCCAGCGGAGAAAACTGCCATTAAACTACAACGAAGAAGAAGAAGAAGACAGACGATGCTGTCGCGTTTTGGGATTTTGCTGTCGTGTTTTCTCTTTTTTGTGTTTGCATATGTGATTTGCTGTTGTGTTTTCTTTTTTGTGTTTGCATATGTGATTTGTTGTCGTGTTTTCTCTTTTTTGTGTTTGCATATGTGATTTGCTGTCGTGTTTTCTTTTTTGTGTTTGCATATGTGATTTGCTGTCGTGTTTTCTTTTTTGTGTTTGCATATGTGATTTGCTGTCGTGTTTCCTCTTTTGTGGTTGTGTTTTGCACTTCCAGGCCACCGTAGTTCTGGCATCGCAAAGCCTGTCCATCGGAGGTAATTTTGAGTGAGTATTGCGGAAGTTCATCTTTTGGGTCCGCCATCTTGGGCTGCATTCGCGGGAAATATCAGGTGAGGCGTGCCGGATAGTCACACTCAGAGGGGTGGCAGTACTGTTTGGTTGTTTAATTATATCCAGATGAAATGCATTATCACATGTAAATATTCAGCCGACTTTCTACAGATTCACAACTTTTTATTCAGACGTATTTAACTTGCATTTACACATTGTTTTCTCTTCACTTAAACTTCCGTTCCGGTTAACCCCACTTCCTGAGATGTGGTTTGGTCCGTATTGGCGCGAAATGTTATAGCCCCGCCAACAGCAAAACTCCGTGCCAAGTTGTGTTCTTTTCAATGCAAATGGCGGAAGTAAGAGTATCTGGCCTTCAAAATAAACGATTATAATAGCCTCCGAAGCTGGCGCCCATTGTACAACCTCTGAGTATTTAGTTTTATTTTGAAATGTGGTGAACGAAACGACCTTGTCTGCTTCGAACTAGTAGACCTGGTTTTGAACACACATTGTACTCATTGCAGCGTTACAGTGTTGAGCTAAAACTGCACGGGCTATAGACCTTTTGTCATTGTACGTTAAAGTTATATGTTCAGACTTTTCTCGGAATTTCTGTTGTCCTGTACACCAACAAACGAAGGGACTTCCTTCCAGCAGCGGCTGGGATAGCGCTGGTTAACATCAACGCACTCGACAAGTGATTGTTCAGCTAAGTGAGACGGTCCTGTGGGGTCCAAAACCTTTTGTTGCTGCAAACAATGAGCCGGTGTGTAACATTTGAGCCATAACCTTCTATCAGTGCTTCAGGATTTGTCGCAGTCGGACCAAAAACAGGGGTTTCACCTGCTTTTTGAACAGTCTGTCTTTAAAACTTGAAGAATTTCGCGTGTAGGGGATCCTTGTCTTTAGCCTGACGCTCAGCGTATTTAGTAATTTTGACTTCTTGTTTATATATATCACATTATATTATATATTCTATAAAGTATCATCCACGCTGAAAAGAGTGAGAAAGCTAACTGATATCATCGCATGTGGTAAATGGAAGCTGTGCAATGAAAAAGGGTTTCCAGCCGGCGGACATGTGGATGGAGTTAGTCTCGGCGTCCGTAAGAAATTTATGGGAAATCTGTTAATCACTGTGAGCTTCCTGTTCTGACAGCACGAAAGAAGAAACTCGGAGTGCCTCTCCTCAGTGCCCCAAACCAGATGAATCTCAGGCGCCACTGGGCACAGCCATGGAGACTGAAGCTGCAGAGGGTCGGTCAAAGGCCCACCCCTCACCCCACTCCCAGATTTACTGGGGATTTTTTTTTGGCATAATCCTAGTTTCATTAGTGACTTGCTCCATCAATGTCATTTACATTTAAAGTAATAAGGGGACATTGTACTGTAGCATTAATCCCTTCATCAACATGATGCATGATTTTCTTTTGTCGTATCAAATTAAATGTGACCAGCTTTACAGAGACATAGATGTGCATGTTAGTGAAGAAGTAAACTAAGGAGGAGCTATAATCCTTTGACTCTTACTGTTGTTTCTCAACAGATATGAACTCTGAGATTATGATGTCTGAAGTAGTAATCACCAAAGAGATGGAGGAAGAGGAGAAACAAGCAATGATGGAAGGGGAAAGGAAAGAAAAGGAGATGATTGAAAAGGTTTGTTGACTGGCTTGTGCTTTACTTCTATTTTCTAAAGATCCTGAATGGATTCATTGGCACCAACAGATGCACCAATGTATCAGTGAAACATCAGTATCTGCACTTTTTGACAGACATGTTGGTAGCGCATGTGTATCTGTAATCCTAAAATATTGTTTTGCACATGACATGTAACAATGTATAAACTCTGTTTCCATCCATTAGTAGTAGCACCATGTCATAACCTGTTAATGAAGTAATCTGTCGCATTAAGGAGTCAAATAAGGAGGGTGGCATAAAGCTAGATGAAATACACTTTGCTTACACTGCTGTCAGCATGAACACATCTGGAACGCACATACGTTTATTGATATTTATTACCAAATACAAGTGAAAAAACACAGAAAAGAGGAGCTATTATAGCTACACAGGTCAGTCAAAGAGATAAAAAGGTAATAAACATGTAAAGCTCACTTCATTCCTATACAGGAAATGATCAACCAGGCAGTACCAAAATGCACGCTGATGAGGAAACAGTCCTTTACATCACTGCACACTGGATAACCCTCTCATGAGGAAGAATGCATAATTATTCATTGTACCATTTCACAATGCAGGTGGCTGCACACCAAGCCAAACATAATACTGAGCTGTTCAACCACTGGGTCTGAGACCAAGAAAATGTTTTTTTGGATCCATTACTGTCCTAAAAAGTTCTCCATCTCTGCTTGAACAGAGGCATCAAAGTTAACGTCAGTGAATATGAAATCAATCGACATTAACTGAAATCAATTTTAAGCACAGAGTCAGTGTTGTTTTCGTCAACCATGACGTTGCCGAAAATATTTTCGTCAACGAAAATAAAACTCCACGTGTGTGTGTGCGTGCCCGTGTGAGTGTGTCTGTGTGTTGGAGGAGCACAGCAGGCTGATGAGAGCTGTCAGAGCGGACTGAAGCTGCTCCTATATGTTTAGCGTTTAACTGACTGAGTTTTGCAACTCTGTTCGTCATTTTCGTCTCGTCCCATCAACGTAAACGCACTTTCGTCTCGTCACATTTTAGTCATCTCCGACTTTTAGCTCGTCAACGTTACGTCTTCGTCGTGGAAGAAAAGGGAAATATTTTCGTCAATGAAAACAACCAGTGTTGTTCTCGTTGACGAAAATATTTCCCTTTTTTGACGCTGGCGTTGATGAAAATATTTGACGAAATATGAAGAAAACATCACTGCACAGAGTTACTGTGACTGAGTTTGTGATGCTTCTGTTTGGTTCTTGGGTTTTCATCATGTGAGATCCATTTATTGCCCACTTGTTAAACGTAATAGTATACCAAAACATTTGGCTAACTATTTTTTTCGGTTAAAGAATTATAATGGACAGACCTCAACCACTGAGATCTGTGAAGGTCTTTTTATTTGGCATAATGGAGCCAAATATTGTCCAGAACTGATGTTCAGTTGCTGTATTGGTGCGTTCCCTAGCAGGCCAAAACTTCCATGTTTTTGTTTAGTTTGAACCAAAATTGTAAAGGCTTTCCAACAATAAACTTAAACAGCCTGGCTTTTTTTCTCTGTTCCTCAATGTTAAATCATATAAAAGGCTCGAGGGTCATGGGAAAAAGATTCTCAGGACATGCGCTTCAAGAGGCTGCAGCATTTGCTTCAAAAGAGCAACATCTACTCCAAATTCTTGCTGACCAAAATGGAGCAACAGCAGAATGAGGTGTGTGTTTGCATGTAAAACTAACTTGCAGTGCGTTTGTGACTGTCTGAATAACTACTGAAACCTCTCATCATGTTTTCAGGAGAAAGTCAGGAAGGAGAGACATGAAAAGAAAGCTGAGAAGGTATGGGAGGCTCCACTGAAAGAAGCTTAGCTTCGAACACTGCTCAGCTTTTTTATACCTATCTATTTTTGTTTCAGATGCAAAAAACTAACAGCAAAGAGTCTGAGAAAGGTGAGCAGATTTTTAGTGTTTGCATTGTTGTTTCATAGTGTACACTGAACAGATTTTAGTGATTAGCTTTGAACCAAGAGTCAAAAGTTCTAGTTCAAAATGTACTTATGTATGCAAAATTCTGAGCATGTTTCATGTTGATAAAGATAAAAAGAAGAGAAGGCGGGATGATGACTACAGAATTGCTGACGTGATATCAAAAGAAGTAAGCTCTTCTTCTCCTGCCTGCTGTACAGATGTGTCATTAATTGATCTGCTCGCATTGATTCTTGATTTTGTCTTCCAGGAAATTGTGTCCCAGGCTAAAAAGGCAAAATTAGAGGACGAGGTAACGGTTTGTTTTGTTTCTGCTCTTTTCCACTGAAAGTAGTATATGAGGATATATTTTAATCACCCAGGTAGTGAAATTAGGGGAAATGGTTTAACTTGTTCCAGAGGGAAAATGGGCCTATAGTTATTGAATATCACACATGTATTTGGTTTCAGGATGCAGTTCCATCTCAAAAGAAACTGGAGGCTGAGGACATTGAGAGTATGAGTGATTCAAACCAAGACATCAAGAACCGTCTATCAGAGGTAGTGAGAGACAAAGCCAAGCATCTCCTGCATCCTAACAGGAAGGTGAATGGCCAGCCAGTCCCCGCCCAGCAGCCACAGTACTTAACCGGAGGGATCATGAGGTGGTACCAGATCGAAGGCATCGAGTGGCTGAGGGTCAGTCAGGCTATCTAACACTCCACTGTGGGACATTATTCAATCGTCCCCCTTCCTCCACATCAGTTGTTTTGAAGCTAGCTGAACAAACTTGAATTCATGTTACACTCTAGAACAGTGGTTCTTAACCAGGGTTCTATCGAACCCTAGGGGTTCGGTGAGTCGGTCTCAGGGGTTCGGCGGAGCCATCCAGTTGCGTGACTCACTTGATGTTCCTTCCCACCACAGTCTGGATTTCGGCCCATAGAGAGCGTGTATTCCCGATCAGAAAATAACCGGGCCAATCAGAGACCGTGTTTCCACTGTTACCCGGACAACAGGGAAAGGCAGCCCCTGATTGGTCCATGTGTAGTAGCGACGTCTAACACATGCTGCGGGACTTTTCAAAGCCCCGTTCATTCAGAACGCCATTAATTCTGCAGTTGACTCTGCAAAGTCGGCAGAAATCGTTTATATCCGACGTCTTCTGCGGATCTAAACGATTTCTGACGACTTTGCAGAGTCAACTGCGGAATTAACGGCGTTCTGAATACCTATGTTTTGAATTTGGAAAAAAATCACATTTGATTTATCACTAAAGAAGGGTTCGGTGAATGTGCATATGAAACTGGTGGGTTCGGTACCTCAAACAGGGTTAAGAACCACTGCTCTAGAAACAGAAGTCAAGAAAGCTCACATACCTGTCATAAAGTCATTCATTTTCTGAGTCAGACCTAAATCACTTGCTCTCTTTTTTATATGATTTTAAGACAAGTGGTTAAAAAGTTGGCCCGGTATAATCTGTCTTGTTCCTTGTTCCTCGTATCTAATTTCTTCCTTATTTCTAATTTCTGATTTCTAAAGGAACTAATATAGGGGGGATAAAGGTACAATTCAGATAGCTCCCTGCATGGGTACATACTGTCTTTTGAATGATACTCTGTACAATGTTTAGAGATGCTCTGGGATGTTCTTGTTTGACTCTGTATCTGCTTTTTGCCCCCTTCAGTTTCACATTCAGCTTAAGCTGCAATGTTTATTTGAGGCACAGCCCTAAAATTATGTCGAATGACTGAAGGGAATTTGCAATAACAGAAATAACAATATCTTCATGAAAATAATTACCTTTGATTAGATTTAAAAGAATAAGTATATATTATATAACATTCCCTCTATACAACATATTTGTGTGCCTGTCCATCTGATTCTGGTGGTGGAAATAAATTCATGCATTCATGGTCTTTGCTCTGTACCATCACACATATTGTCACCACATCACTGATATAGCCACATGACGTTTTTTCTTCACCTCACATTTAAACCTATATTTTTGCTGTCATGATACGGCAAAGCCTCGGTGTAGAGTGATTTTAAAGCCAACTATTCTGCTCTGTCTGTGCTGTCAGATGCTGTGGGAGAACGGCATCAATGGGATCCTAGCTGATGAGATGGGACTGGGCAAGACCATCCAGTGCATCGCCCACATTGCCATGATGATAGAGAAGAAAGTGATGGGCCCTTTCCTAGTGGTGGCCCCTCTCTCGACTCTGCCCAACTGGATCAATGAATTCAAACATTTCTCCCCAGAGGTAGGATGACATGTTTGTGAGAACACAGCTTTTATTTTATGTTTTTGTTAAGGAGTGACAGGAAGTGGGGAGTGATGTGCAGCGAAGGCTCAATGGATAGGAATCAAAGCAGCAGCTGTAATGAAGACTAACCTCTGTATATGAGGAGCCTGCCTTAACGAATAAACCTTTTGAACAGGTTTTTGGAGGGTCAAGATAGTTTTTCTCTTGATAGGTTGGAGGTCATTTCAGGAACAGATGTATCAGTATGATGTAAAAACGGCTGTTTAGCTGGCTGAGGTAACCAAAGGATCAAAACAACATCCTCTCTTTGCTATAAATGCTGTCCCCACATAATCCTGACTCCACACACTTATGTGTAAATATACACTACAGGCCAAAAGTTTGGAAGCAAGGCCATTACAGGCCGAACAGTTGGGAGTAACTTTAGGTTTTTGTTCACAATGCTTTTTAAAAAAATCCAGCATGAGTTGTATGTATTTATGGGATGTATTTTCTCCATGATCAGATGTTGCTTTCATGGAAATGCACCATTTTACTCCATTTACCTTTAGATATACATTGATGTTAACAGACCATTGCTTAATATATGTCAGCAAAAGATAATAAGGGCTTAGTTTTAGGGTTGAAAACATTTGCAAGAGTCACAACTTCAGTGCAAAAGCAAAAAAAAAAAATCACAGTTGGATTATTCACTTCAACGTTTTGGCTTTTGAGAGTCGGCATACAAAAATCCCAATAAATCTCAACTGCGTTCAAACTACCCCAAAAATGGCTAGAAAGAAGCAACTGAGTCAAGAAACAAAGTACAGATTTGTACATTGAGGAAAGAAGGATACACAGAAAGAGAAATTGCAAAACGCCTAAAGGCGTTTAACAAAAGAATCCACTACACTCTGAAGAGACTAGAGGAACCTGGAAGTTATGATGATAGAAAAAGACCTGGACGAAAGAGAGTTACTACAAAAGCAGAGGATAAACATAGCATTGTCACCAGTAAGAGAGATTGGCAAAAGACAGCACCACAAATATGGGAGGAAATCAACATGACAAGGTCGAAACCCATATCTCTGACAACCGTGAAATGATGTTTGAGAAAGGCTGGTCTGAAGGGTTGTATATCTGCAGAAAAACACTACTTCGTCCACAGAACAAGAAAAAGAGATATGAGTGGGCAAAAGCTCACAAAAATTGGACTTATGATGACTAGAAACAAGTTTGCACTGTTTGGTTCAAAACGCAGAGTCTATGTCCGCAGACAAACTGGTGAACGTCTGAAAGCACCGTGAAAGGTGCAGCAAGACAATGACCCTAAGCACTCTGTCAGGGTTACCTAGACAAAAAAGAAGAGGAAGGTGTTACTTCAAAATGGGTTGGCCCCCTCAGTCTCCAGACCTTTCTCCAATTGAGCTTGTGCGGGATGACTTGGATCGACTTCAGAAAAACGTGTCCCACGAATCAGCAGTATCTTTGTAATGAACTTCAGAAAGTTTGGAATGAAATCCCTGGAACATACCTTAAAAAACTTGTGGAATGAATGCCTGGTATATGCCAAGCTGTTGTTAAAGCCAGAGAAGGTTACTTTGAAGAAAGCAAAGTCTAAGCAACAATAACTCAAATATCTAATAATTATAGTCAAAATGTCTTCTGATGAGTTACTCTTTACACAATAGTTATGTTTATCATGTTGCAAATTATATATATGAAACGATTTTTTGTACAAATCTGATCTTGCTTCCAAACTTTTGGCCTGTAGTGTATGTATGTATATATGTATGATGTATGTGTGTGTGTGTGTGTGTGTGTGTGTGTGTGTGTATATATATATATATATATATATATATATATATACACCCACCGGCCACTTTATTAGGTACACCATGCTAGTAACGGGTTGGACCCCCTTTTGCCTTCAGAACTACCTCAATTCTTCGTGGCATAGATTCAACAAGGTGCTGGAAGCATTCCTCAGAGAGCTTGGTCCATATTGACATGATGGCATCACACAGTTGCCGCAGATTTGTCGGCTGCACATCCATGATGCGAATCTCCCGTTCCACCACATCCCAAAGATGCTCTATTGGATTGAGATCTGGTGACTGTGGAGGCCATTTGAGTACAGTGAACTCATTGTCATGTTCAAGAAACCAGTCTGAGATGATTCTAGCTTTATGACATGGTGCATTATCCTGCTGAAAGTAGCCATCAGAAGTTGGGTACATTGTGGTCATAAAGGGATGGACATGGTCAGCAACAATACTCAGGTAGGCTGTGGCGTTGCAACGATGCTCAATTGGTACCAAGGGGCCCAAAGAGTGCCAAGAAAATATTCCCCACACCATGACACCACCAACACCAGCCTGAACCGTTGATACAAGGCAGGATGGATCCATGCTTTCATGTTGTTGACGCCAAATTCTGACCCTACCATCTGAATGTCGCAGCAGAAATCGAGACTCATCAGACCAGGCAACGTTTTTCCAATCTTCTATTGTCCAATTTCGATGAGCTTGTGCAAATTGTAGCCTCAGTTTCCTGTTCTTAGCTGAAAGGAGTGGCACCCGGCGTGGTCTTCTGCTGCTGTAGCCCATCTGCCTCAAAGTTCGACGTACTGTGCGTTCAGAGATGCTCTTCTGCCTACCTTGGTTGTAACGGGTGGTTATTTGAGTCACTGTTGCCTTTCTATCAGCTCGAACCAGTCTGGCCATTCTCCTCTGACCTCTGGCATCAACAAGGCATTTCCGCCCACAGAACTGCCGCTCACTGGATATTTTTTCTTTTTCGGACCATTCTCTGTAAACCCTAGAGATGGTTGTGCGTGAAAATCCCAGTAGATCAGCAGTTTCTGAAATACTCAGACCAGCCCTTCTGGCACCAACAACCATGCCACGTTCAAAGTCACTCAAATCACCTTTCTTCCCCATACTGATGCTCGGTTTGAACTGCAGGAGATTGTCTTGACCATGTCTACATGCCTAAATGCACTAAGTTGCCGCCATGTGATTGGCTGATTAGAAATTAAGTGTTAACGAGCAGTTGGACAGGTGTACCTAATAAAGTGGCCGGTGAGTGTATATGTGTGTGTATGTATGTATATATGTATATATGTGTGTGTATGTATGTATATATGTGTGTGTATGTATGTATATATGTGTGTGTATGTATGTATATATGTGTGTGTATGTATGTATATATGTGTGTGTATGTATGTATATATGTATATATGTGTGTGTGTATGTATGTATATATGTATATATGTGTGTGTGTATGTATGTATATATGTATATATGTGTGTGTGTATGTATGTATATATGTATATATGTGTGTGTCTATGTATGTATATATGTATATATGTGTGTGTCTATGTATGTATATATGTATATATGTGTGTGTCTATGTATGTATATATGTGTGTGTGTGTGTGTGTATGTATGTATTTATGTGTGTATGTATATATATGTGTGTATGTATGTATATATGTATATATGTGTGTGTCTATGTATGTATATATGTGTGTGTGTGTATGTATGTATATATGTGTGTATGTATATATATGTGTGTATGTATGTATATGGGTCAATGACGTGACGCCTCAATATTCTGTCCGGCTGTATTTTCTTTGTTACAAAGAGTTTTAAATGTAAAAAAATATACTATCTATTAGTGGTGCAACGGATCACAACACTCACGGATCGGATTGTTCCTTGGATCAAGAGTCACGGATCGGATCATTTTTCGGATCAGCAAAAAGCAGTTTTGTCTGCATATTAAACACTTAAATGGTTGAATTAAAATATATAAAAGTAGTGCATACGGCATAATATCTTCTTTTCAACATAATTATTAATGAAAAACAACTTAAAGTGCAATATATAGGCATATCTCCTTCCTTTAAAATGTAACAATGAACCAAAAATGAAGTATGTGCGCGGTGGGATATTGTAACGTGGCTCAAGCACTTTCAGCATGTTTTTAAAGCCCTCGTTTGCACAACTGAATATGGCCTCATGTCTGTAGCTATAAACACACCGATAGCGTTTGTGATAGCTTTAACCCGGTCGGATTGCGCAGGAAGAGGCTGCTTAAATGCTGCGGTGATGATCGGTTGCTGGCCAGCTTTCGTTTTATCTCAGGTGTTGTGACATAGAATGCACCCCTGCCGTAGAATGCACCCCCTGATGGGAGCGCGGTTTAAAGTACATAACGAGGCGAAATAATCCAAGTTTTTCTTACATTGGATGGATTCAAAAGCGTTTGCCTGTAATAATTTCATTCAGGCTATTCAAAGAAGCCAAAAACAACAGCCCTTGGAATATTGCTGTCCCGAAAATATAATGCTCTCTACCTGGACAGCTTTCTGTACGGTTTATACCCAAGTACACCTCTATATTTGCATTTTTGAGACACATAAAAAGAAAATGAAAGTTTGCTGCTCCATTTGACATGTTGTCATGATCTAATACTCGTGTTTCTTTAAATATGAGATCATTATCTCCACTTTAAGAAGCTAACGAGTGGAGGGGATGCAGGGGTGCGTTCTACGGCAGGGGTGCAGTCTACGGCACAACACCTGTCATTAAAACACCCGGGTGATGTCGCTTTCGAATGCGTGAACATGCTCGATGTGTTTCCACTGTCATATGGCTTTCTTATGCCACAGTGCCTACACACCTTCGAAGTTTTGTCCACTGACCTCTTTCCTTCCTCATCATAGTTGACAGGGAAGCCAAATTTTTTTTTTCAGAAGTCGAACCGCGGGTAACGTGTGTGCCGAACCGATGACGTCGATCCGAACGGATCACGGATCAATGATGATCCGTTGCACCACTACTATCTATGTGTAGTATCTCTCTAATATATGGAGCCACATCAACTTTTCAAAAATCAGGAGTTTTTTGTAATTTTTCTGAACTTCAAAGGGTCAAAATATCATGTGGTGCGACCGTCCGGCCATGACTTCTGTTTTGAAAACTTCTTTGAAATTACTCTAAATCTATTACAATTTAGTTTCTGCAATATTCGGCATAATTTTGAAAGTGTTTTTTATTCCTGTACAAAATTGCAAAGCTTTTGCAGTTATATTATTTTCATAATATTCAAACAAATTTTGTCCGATCGTGTCCATTTCATTAAATATCATGTGTCGTGACCATCAAAAAATGACAATTTTTGACACTTTTATGCTAAAATTTACTCAAGGACAGGATGTTGGATCATTCACCATCTTGTCGTAGAGCTATGGAAGCAGAAAGAGGGTTGGTGGCTCTCTCATTTCTTAAAAAAAAAAAGACCTTTTCAACTGCTGTAATGGTGTTTGCACTTTTCGATGTCATGTGGTATGACCTCAAAAAAAACCAATTAATTTAAGTTATTTCCACAAATAAGTATTTTAATTATGAATTTCATAATGACCTTTTGTTGGTATCTAGTGAGGTTTGTTTATGTGACTAATCCTGTATCAGTAAGATGTGACTGAATTTGAAATGTCATGCGGTGCGACCAATTATCATGTGGTGCGACCACTGCAGATTGTTTTCCATCATAAATATATGCCCTAGGTTGGCAGTATTTACGCTTTTTATATTCAATTGATGATTGATAAACACTAAGAACTTAATTTTTAGTATTATTTTGAATTTTTATTTTTTTATTTGATGAGTCATTTTGCTAACATTTCTGAAATAATGGTTAGGTCATCTCTGTACAAAACAAGAAAAAAAATATTAAAAGCATGCCATTTCACTTAAGGTATTTATGCCGTTGTTAGCAATTTATTAACTTTCATGTATCAATTTAAGTCATTTTAATTTATTTTACCAGATGCCACTGCCGAGCAAAGTTAAAAGCGCTCGCTATAGGCAGCGTGTCAACTCTGACCCTGCAGCATGTTGTTCATGTCAGACCTGGTCAAAGATTGGGCCAAGATTGTTGACATCGCTGCGCGGATGTTGAGAGGAGCGCTTCGCCGAGAGCGTTATATTCATGATCGTTCAAATCCGTTTGATTTACCTGATGAAGTTCTCTATGAACGTTACAGGTTTTCCTCAGATGGCCTCAATAGTCAGGTAACATGAAGTCGAAGCAATACACTAATATTTTCCAAGTTCAAGTTTCATGCGGCATATCAATCATCATTCAGAATTTATGGAAGCAGATTAGAAAACTCCTCTTAACCCCAAATGTGTCTGCAGATGACATGTGACCCTCAGATGATGAAGAAAGAAAAAAAGGCAGTGTGAGGAAATCACTGTTTACGCGTTGAAATATGTACAAATAAAATCTTCCAGTAAACCAGCTAACCACTTTGACGGATGTTTTTAGATTTATTTTTATTTGCCTCCACGTACTCTTTTCTCCACTGCTGTTGTATCTGAAATAATGAGGTCAATGATGGAGGTTATCACACATGCTGCATGACAACATATAAGGGGGCCATAAATTTATGAACGCACAAATGTAATTTACACAATCGATGATTTTTGTTGCCAGCAGTCCCTCTGGCTTTTAGCGGCTGCAGCTGTCCTGCTCCTCACTGTTATAATGTTGCGGTACTCCTCGTAAAATAATGCTCAGTTCCTCAGCTGTGATATATGACGTGCAGCCTTCTCCATTGTGGAGATTGGTCCGGTGGCACTGACCCCACCCCCTTTACGTGTGCGCGCACACATCTAGACTGGCCACAACTGAATTTAGTTAGCGAGTTGATATCCTGCCTCGTAGTACAGCTGATCGGGATTACGGAGATCCGAGGCCTGTACTACGAAGCTGGATTAACAAATCCAGGATAACTCTGCGACAACTCGCTCAACTTCACCGGATCTCTGCGATCCCGATCAGCTGTACTACGAAGCAGGATATCAACTCGATAACTGAATCCAGTTCAGATCTGTGCGCGCACACGTAAAGGGGGTCGGGTCAGTGCCACCGGACCAATCTCCACAATGGAGAAGGCTGCACGTCATTTTTCACAGCTGAAGAACAGAGCTTTATTTAAACAGTGAGACAGACACAGCCGCTAAAAGCCGGAGGGACTGCCGGCAAAAAAAAATCACCGGTTGTGTAAATTACATTTGTGTGTTCATAGATTTATGGCCCCCTAATATGTTGTCATGCAGCGTGTGTGATCACGCTGACTTCATTATTTCAGATACAACAGCAGTGGGGAAAAGAATACGTGGGAGCAAATAAAAATAAATCTAAAAACATCCTTTAAAGTAGTTTGTACGTTTATTGGAAGATTTTATTTGTATATATTTCAACGCGTAAACAGTGATTTCCTCACACTGCCTTTTTTTTTCTCCATCATCTGATGGTCACGTCATCTGCAGACACATTTGGGGTTAAGAGTTTTCTAATCTGCTTCAATGAATTCTGAATGATGACTAACAAATTGGAACTTGGAGCTTGGCAAATTTTAGTGTATTGCTTCGACTTCATGCTACCTGAATATTGAGGCCGTCCAAGGAAAACCTGTAACGTTCATAGAGAACGTCATCAGGTAAATCAAACGGGTTTGAACGATCATGAATATAACGCTCTCGGCGAAGCGCTCCTCTCACTATCCGTGCAACGATGTCCCCGGGATCCGGCAAAAGTGGGCAAGTCATTTTCCAAGAGATCCGATTTGTCATCGGGCGGTCTTTTATACCTGCTGAGATCTTATCCTGAAACATAACCTGCTCCGGAGCAGGTTTGGCGTTCCGCGTAAGTTACCGGGGCAACGGACCCGGATAAAAAGAGATCCACCTTCGTAGTACGGAAAACCCAGAAGTTATCCAGAAGTTATCTCGCTGAGACCAAATCCAGCTTCGTAGTACAGGCCTCCGGTGAAGTTGAGCGAGTTGTGGTAGAGTTATCCTGGGTGTGTTAATCCAGCTTCAAAGTGCAGGCCTCTGGACCACATACACACACACACACAGAGTTAAATTTTTGTAAAAAAGGGAAATAAAATGTTCGTGTTCATGTTTGAAGTGTTAATAAAATTTGGTTTTAATATAAAATTTGCATGAAATTAATTGTTCATAGGTCTCTTTAAATTGATTTTTAATGATACAAGGTCTTCAGGTCATTTGGCGCGACCACCAATCATGTGGTGCAACCAATAATAACATTAATTATATCAAATACAAACTAAAATATCTCATTTCTGTAACTGAGACATTAAAACCTGATACAATATGCTTACATGAAAGGTAGTTTCAAAACATTTTTATCAGTATTATGCAATTTAAAGAAAAAAATAGTCAGTGAACTACATTTGATATAGCGACTGTGACATAGAGCTAATATATGAGATAATTATTTACAAAAACTCAAATAAAATGCAAACGCTTTGTTCCTATGTACTTGATATTACCGACAATTTGTAAAAGACTATGGAGTATTTGAAAAAATGTAATAATTTTGAGATAAATGATGGTCGCACCACATGACATTTTTTAAGGCCACAGGCAGTTCATCTATATAAAAAAACACTAAATTGCCTAATTTAAAAATTAAACTTTAGTTTTTGTATACATAACATCCTTAGTGTTTGAACTGTTGCAAAAGATATTCTTATTTTTGGTATTTTAAAATTGGCATGTTGAAAAACCTTATACGTCATTGACCCATATATATGTGTGTATGTATGTATGTATGTATATATATGTGTGTATGTATGTATATATATATATATGTGTGTGTTCATATATATGTATATATATATATATATGTTTATATATCAATATGTGTTCACATATAAATTTTCATATATATTGCTGTATTGTTTGTTTGTTTTCTGTTCCATTCCAGGTGTCTGTGCTGCTGTACCATGGTACCCAGGCAGAAAGAGCCAAGCTGCTGAAGCAGATCCGCAGACCTCAGGGGTCCCTTAACATGTGTCCTGTGGTTGTTACTTCATTTGAGATCTCCATGATTGACAGAAAATTCCTGCAGGTAGCATTGCTGCACTTCCTTTAGCACACAGAGTAAATCTTTGTCACATTATTGCCCTGTTTCTGAATATGAGAGTTTTTCCAAGACTAGAAGTGTTTGATGATGATCATCATTGAGAGCAGTAGTTTGTAGTCTTATAGTTTTAACACTGATTACATTTAATGCTGATGATTTAATGGACCGTACGCTGTAGTATTGGCTGTTAGGTATAAGGGGCAGCTGTCTGCGCTGTTGCCACTTTCTTTTATCTGATCAACACCACCAAATGTCTGTATAGATGCAGACATTAACTTCAAAACCATCCAGCACATACTTGATCATTGGTTTTTTATTTTGAAGAATTTCCTGCTCATGCTCCTGCAGATGGTTCACACTTCATTACTCACATGAACCAGCACTGTGAGCTTCATGAGTTAGAAGACAATACAGTAGACACCATTCTTATATGTCACAAATGAACCAAAGGTATTGATAGTCACATACATACTTAAATAGCTGTGCACTTATCGGACTGATCTCATTGGCAAGAACTCTCCTGTTCTCTGCTCCAGCGTTTCCAGTGGAAGTATCTGATTGTGGATGAGGGCCACAGGATCAAAAACCTGAACTGTCGTCTTGTGAGGGAGCTGAAGATGCTTCCCACTGATAACAAGCTTCTGCTGACTGGGACACCTCTGCAGAATAACCTGGCTGAGCTCTGGTCCCTCCTCAACTTCCTCCTTCCTGAGGTTTTTGACGACCTCAAAAGGTATGAGTGTGATCCATTTCTGTAAAGAACAACACTACTTTCACATTTCAGATACCAGTGAGTTTATTGCTGATCGATTAACACTCCGCCCCAGTAGATATAACACTACAATATTCACAGTACTGCTCACATTGACTTCATATGAAAAAAATGAGTTTCAGTCAAGAGGAGCACACTTGTTAGAGGTACCTAACATGTTTGCTCTGTCCTTGCTGCTCCATGTAGCATGTATGATTGTTTTTGGCTGCTTCTTGTTCAACCTGAAGGTGGGGCCTCTATAACATGTTGTTTTCATGTCTCTGGTTTAGTTTTGAATCGTGGTTTGACATCGACTCTTTTGGTGAAGCTGAGAATGTGGTGGCTGCTGAGCGCGAGCGGAACATCCTGAGCATGCTGCACCAGGTAAGTCCTTCAGACCATCACAACACTGACATTTTATTAACTACTGCAATCACATCACAAGCATCAGTGTCTCAACAAATGGAGAAGGTAGAAGGAGACAGATTGTATAAATGGTGACCCTCTTCAGTTCAAGTGTTAATGTGGATTAACACTTGTGGTACCTTGTTTAAGGTGTTTTTAAAATGTGTGACATTGAAACGAGAGAGAAACGAGCAAGCTGATTAAAATGAGGATTTTAAACCAACCAGGGCAACTGAATGTGTCCTCTGTTGGTGTAATAATGAAGCGAGTGAGTGAGTGGGTGTTAAGCATTCTAATAAGCTCTCTGTTGGTGAAGACTTTGTGAGTGGAAGGTTGGTGAGCAGAGATGGGTCATAGAAACACATTTCAGAAAATAATTAGAAAAGATGGTTTAGTGTATCAGGAGAAACTCAGAAAATTAGAATATCGGGGTAAATTTCATTAATGTCAGCATTTCAACTTAAAATGGGAATCTCATATGTGATATAAACTCATTACCTGCAAATTGAGATATGTCAAGCCCTTTTTTGTTATAATCTTGATGATCAAGGCTTAGAGTTAAATAAATGTGTGTGTGTGTACACATATATATGAATTTATGTATATATGTATGCATGTATGTATGTATATGTATATATATATATATATATGTGTGTGTGTGTGTGTATATATGTATATAAATAAATACATATATATATATATATATATATATATATATATATATATATATTAAGGCTGTCAAAGTTAACGCGCTATTGTCGCGTTAACTCGAGTGACTTTTATCGCCACTAATTTTTTTGACGCACGATTAACGCAAGCCTTAGTCTGGCTTGACCAAAATATACACACACTGCGTGGATATTCTTGCCGTTGTAAAAGGGTAGAGGAACAGTTGGTGAGGTGTCCAGGCTATGTGAGCCTCGGGGCACTCCGTAGTTTCACGAATCAGGAAGTAGAACACTGACTGATACCGCAGCAGACATAAACAAATCCCCGTGAGCAGTAACTAGGATATAATGGATAAGAACACGATTTTGAAAAGAAAGTTCAGCTACAAAGCCTTGCCAGATGGCTCTCTTGACAGGACAAAAGTCATTTGTGTTTCCTGTCGAGCTGAATTTAGTTACCACCGGAGTACGTCTAGTCTCAAATATCACTTGTTGGCCAAGCACACAGCTGATGCAGAGAGCCCCGCCCCAAGCCAACAACGCTGAATGTGCAAGGTAAACAGATGGAGAGCTCTACTAAACGCAAAATTGAAACATAAATCGCTAAATTGGTGGCTACCGCTTGTCGGCCGATGAGCATTGTGCAGGACGTTGGTCTGCGTGAAATCATACGGATCGCATCCAATGACTGGACATATGAATTACCTTGTAGGACCACCATTACCACGAAAATCCACGATCTGTTCTCATGTTGATTCTCATGTTGATAAAAGTATAACAATTTGAAAAAGTTCGATTTCGAATGGATCAAAAATATGCGATCAGTTTGCGATTAATCATGAGTAATTATGATCACAATTCGATTAATCGCGATTAAATATTTTAATCGATTGACAGCCCTAATATATATATATTAGAGCTTCACTGGCTTGAGGTGTCATCTGATTTAGACCTTGGTCACAGGCTGCCCCAGTAGACAAGGTCTGTAACAGGTTTGCAGATAGACCAAGTTATGATCTTATTTTCTCAGTGGTGGTAAGGCAGTGGCTCTGTAGGCTTCTTTGACGTTTGCATACAGCAGATCGAGGGTTTTGTTTTCTCTGGTAGGACAGTTCACAAACTGTGTAAGTCCAGTCAGGTGAGAGGAGAGGGTGGCATGGTTAAAGTCTCCTGGTTTTATTATTAGTGCCTCCGGGAGTTGAGTCTGTAGCCTGGCAACACTATTATGCAAAAGATTGCATGGAATTTCTTCAGTTGATTTGGGTGGGATGTAAACAACTATTGTTATGATATGACTAAATTCTCTTGGAACATAATATGGCCAAAGAGCAACTGCCAACAGTTCAATGTCTGGACAACACAACTTCTCCTTGACAGCTTTGTGTGAAGGGTTACACCATCTCTAGTTAACAAATAAAGCTAGACCTCCTCCTTCCTTCTTGCCACTAGCTTGAGCGTTTTTGTCTGACCTTATGAGAGTGAAGCCAAGTAGATCCACACTGGAGTCTGAGTTATTTTGATTCAACCAGGTTTCAGTAAAACACAGGAGACTGCACTCACAGTATGCTTTCTCAGTCTTCACAAATATCTCCAGCTCATTGCTTTTGTTGGGCAGAGAGTTGACATTTCCCATGATGATTGATGGAAGAAGGGGTTTATATCGCAACTTCCTAGCATTCAGCTTTGCCTTCACCTTTGCACCAGCTCAGCAACCACAGTAACACCTCCTGATGTCCTCTGGAATTGGATGTTGCTGTCCAGATTTGCTTTTTCTCAATGAAAGGAGAAAGGGGCAGAGCCGCCTCTTTTGCCCAAGAAGACTGATCAATAGACATCTGTAGCAAGATGCTGCAGATATTTTATCTGTCTGGGGTGGCAAGTGTTCTGTTCTATGCTGCAGTCTGCTGGGGAGGAAGCATCAAACACAAAGATGCAAGACGTCTGAACAAACTGGTGAAAAAGGCTTGCTCTGTGGTTGGATTCAAGCTGGACTCAGTGGAGGATGTGGTGGAGAGATGTACACTGAGGAAGGTGGAGACTATTCTAAAGAACATGGATCACCCACTTCACAACCCCTTGATGGACCAAAGGGCCAATGGTGGTGGACGACTCCTCTCTCTTTGCTGTAGGACAGAAAGATTCAGAAGATTTTTTGTACCCACAGCCATCAAACTCTTCCATAAATAGTAGATGACTTTCAGAGACATTACAAATGAGATGACAGACAATTGAATTTCCCTTCGGGGATCAATAAAGTTCTTCTTCCTATACCCTTGAGATAGGGAGATCCTGTACTGTCCCACACCTGTAGAATGACTCCCACTTCTATCCCGCTCCCACTCAAAATGGCTCTCAATCCTGTCCCGCTCCTGTTTTCTTCTTTGTTTCCCTTAAATACCGCATTGTGCCACTTTAGATTTCCAAGACTAACATGTTAACAGAACAATGTATTTTACCCTGTCCCACAAGTCATATTCAACACAATATGGTAAGTTAGTCATTAGGGAAGGCAATAGATGGCTTTTTTAAGATGCCATTAAACAATATGGCAGCAGAACAGCTTAATGATGCCTTAATCCATTTTAAACAATCGGTAATGAGTATCTTAGTTGAATAAACCCAAACATGGCATTCAATGTTGTATTTTATTAAAGGCTGACTTAAACAGTCTTTAGAAAAACACTGTTAAAAAACAGGCTTTCGTACCAAAGTTTGGTAAACACAAAAAAGAACAAAGTGCATAATGTATTGCACATAATGTAGTGCATAATGTTTAAGGAAACTCTGTTGTTGAGGTAATATGGGATAACAACAGCTGTGAGTCTAATAGACTGATCATTGTTCCTCATTTTTCGCCGTATTTCTGCCTTTAGTGCATCATCTCCCCCGCTCGGCCCGCTGCCATCCATTTGTGTTGTTCTCTCATGTTTCGTTCGTTCGTTCGTTCGTTTGTTTGTTGCTATGCCCCTCAATGTAGTTGTGTGTGTGTTTTGTTTTCCCTTTTCTCTCTGTCCGTCCGCCGTCTAACCTCCGCGTTTAAGTTCCGGGTGAACAGCACACTGATGGATTATGGGTAGTGTGGTTCTTTTGACTTGATCAAGCAAATCAAAAGAGTGTTGTCTCGCTGAAAAATGACTACAGCACCCATGTGCTTCTGTTCCTTGGTTGGTAAAGCGACCAGCTGAAAATGATCATTATTAATATATGATCATATAACGAAGTCACTCCCGCTCCTGCACGCTCCTGATGACTTTCATTTTTGTCCTGTCCGATCACAGGACTAATAAAAATATTAATCCCGAATCACGTGCTTTCCTGTGATCCCGTGGGATCACGCAGGAGTCCTGACAAAATGTCACCCTCTAATCTGTACTAGTTTCTACATCTGTACAATAAAGATGCCCAGGCTGCTCTTCAGATCTCATCCTGTCTCCTGTGCATTGTTTTGCTGCATACCATACATTTTTTTCACACCAGAATCATAACTGTCACCATCATCCTGTTTCAGATTCTGACTCCCTTCTTGCTGAGGAGGCTGAAGTCAGATGTGACTCTGGAGGTTCCTCCAAAGAAGGAGATCATTGTTTATGCCCCTCTGGTGGCCAAACAGGAAGCCTTTTACACCGCTGTGGTCAACAAAACTATCGCCAAGATGCTTGGCCAGGAGAAGGTAAGATTATAAGGTCTAATTTAGGAGCAGGCTCTGAAGGATGAATCAATAATGGAGATAATTGCAGATACAGTCCCCTCCAAAAGTATTGGAACAGCAAGTTCAATTCCTTTGTTTCTGTGTATACTGAAGACATTTGGGTATCAGATAAAAAGATGAATATGACACAAAAGTTCAGAATTCCATCTTTTATTTCGTGGTTTTTTACATCGAGATGTGTTAAACAACCCAGGAAAGATCACCTTTTCTTTGAACCCACCCACTTTTCAGGTGGGCAAAAATATTGGAACATGTGACTGATGGGTGTTTCTAGTTGCTCAGGTGTTGCCTTTTAGATCGATTGCAGAGACATTAAATAGTTCTTGTTTTTGGCTTTGGGTTTCACCTGTGAAAACTGCATTTTCTGTTAAGCAAACATGAAAACCAGAGAGCTGTCTATGGGAGAAAAGCAAACCATTTTGGTCCTGAGAGAAGAGGGATAATCGATCAGAGCTATTGCACAAACATTGGGCATAGCTACTACAACAATTCGGAATGTTCTGAAAAGAAAGGAGCTACTGGTGTACTGAGCAACAAACTTTGAACAGGTCGGCCCAGGGTAACAACAGCAGTTGATGACAGAAACATTGTGAGAGCTGTGAAGAAAAACCCCAAAACAACAGTCACTGACATCACTGCCAACCTCTGCAGGGCAGGAGTGAAAATGTCACAATCCACTGTTCGAAGAAGACTTCGAGAGAAGGAATACAGAGGCCATACCACAAGATGCAAACCACTCATCAGCAAAACGAATCTGAAGGCCAGATTGGATTTTGCAAAGAAGTACAGAGATCAGCCACAAAAGTTTTGGAACAAAGTTTTATGGACTGATGAGACCAAGATTAACCTTTACTAAAGTAATGGATAGGCCAAAGTATGGAGAAAGAAAGGATCTGCTTATGATCCAAAACATACAAGCTCATCTGTGGAACATGGTGGAGGTAGTGTCATGGCTTGGGCTTGCATGGCTGCTTCTGGAACGGGCTCACTAGTCTTTATTGATGATGTAACTCATGATGGTAGCAGCAGAATGAATTCTGATGTCTACAAAACCATTTTGTCTGGCAATTTACAGAAAAATGCATCCAAACGGCAACAAGACAATGTCCCAAAGCACACTGCCAACACAACAAAGGACTTCATCAGGGGGAAAAAGTGGAAGGTCTTGGACTGGCCAAGTCAATCACTAGACCTTAACCCAATAGAAAATGCATTTTACCTCCTGAAGAGGAGACTGAAGGGAGAAACCCTCAGAAACAAACAGCAACTGAAAGAGGCTGCAGTAAAGGCCTGGAACAGCATTTCTAATGAAGAATGCAACAGCCTGGTGAAGTCAATGGGTCGCAGGCTCGATGCAGTTATTGCAAGTAAGGGTTATGCCACCAAATATTAAATGTTATTCACTTTAAGTTAATTTAATAATGTCTGTTCCAATACATTTGGTCACTTGAAAAGTGGGTGGGTTCAAAGAAAAAGTGCTCTGTCCTGGGTTGTTTAACACATCTAGATGTAAAACCCATGAAATAAAAGCTGGAATTCTGAACTTTTGTGTCATATTCATCTTTTTATCTGAAACCCAAATGTCTTCAGTATACAACAAAAACAAAGGGATTGAACTTTCTGTTCCAATACTTTTGGAGGGGACTGTATGTCAGTTTACATGATTGTTGCCAAAGTGTTCTCGGTCCAAGTTTCAACAACCTCAAGTTAGAGCTCCTTTAAAAATGTACATTTTTTAATTTAGTCCCTGTGGACTATGACATGACAGCTACCATCAAGCTACCATGCTCATAAAGCCTGTCATATCTTATTTACAAGTCGGATAGGTTTACTGTTCACTTTTTTTTTTTTTTTTTTTTTTGCGAATTCGTTTCTGAAATTTCATCTTTGTTATGATGAATGAAATGTGAGATTCTCATTTATTTTTCCATAATCCAGCTGAAAAGGTGATACCTCTTTATAATGTAGATTCATCTCAAATGGAGGAAAATGTTTAATATTTATGATACTATAATATTTAATATACATTGAATATCCAGTACATCTAAACATTAGAATATGGTGGAAAAGTCACAAAATCATGTCATAACCTTGTTCATGAGCCATGACAAAAAGACGGTAGGAAACCATAGTGCCAAAAAGTATGTAAGATTTATGCCAAACTAAGAAAAAAATTATTGGATATACAACAGTTACACATGAGGTGTGTCAAGTCTTTCAGATCAGTAGTGTGCATGTGAGTGTGTGAGCATGGTGTAGTGATGGGTGTTGAGGAGTGCACTAACATAAGATCCAACTAAATCAAAGGTGCGATGCTGGTCAGGTGCAGGGAGCGTGGGGGAGCCAGATTGAGAGCCAGAGAGAGAGCATCAGAGGGGAGAGGTTTGTGTGTGGGGGGTGGGATGCTTTTTTCAAATCTGCCTCAACGGCTCAGGTTTCAACTGCTTCTTAGATCATCAACCATGCCTTTAACTAGAATATAATGTATAAGTTTATTTATTTCAGTGATTCAGTTCAAAAAGTGAAACTCATGTATTATATAGATTAATAACACAGATGAAGATATTTCAAGAGGTCATTTGTTTTTATTTTGATGATGGTAAGTTACTACTAATAAAACCTAAGATTCAGGATCTCAAAATTAGAATATTATAAAGAAGTTCACAACTGGAGACTCATGGTATCACACTCTGACTAGATAGTTCATTAAAAACACCTAAAAAAGTGTGCTGGGTCTTTAAATAGGAAATGCTGATTTAGTAAAAACTTTAGGAAATCCATACAGATAAATAAGTCATGATAGCATGTAAGGCTGCACGATATTGGAAAAAACTAACATTGCGATTTTTTTCAACCCTGCGATATATATTGCGATATTTAAGAATACAGGAATTTTCACCAGATGACCTGAATATCACTTAAGGTTATGCTGCACTGCTGAAATCTTGAGGACAGTTAACCTGCATTGATCTTACCTCTTTTTTGCACCCTATTTTTGGAAATATTGCATATTTTGTGCTTTTCCCATTAAAAATATTAGGGGTTCTCATGACAAAAGACAGTAAAAACCTAAAAAAGTATATATTTTTTTAAATAAACTTAACATCTATGGATAGGTCTGGAGTTGTTGACAAGATCTGATGCTTTAAAGTAAAAAAAAAAAAAAATGAGTGTATAATGTTTTTACTGCACTTTCATTAGACCGTCCAATTTTGGCCACAAGGGTAACGAGTGTCAGTAAATTTTAAGGGGTGCACAAGGGTTAACAAAGGAGTCCACTACACTCTGAAGAGACTAGAGGGACCTGCAGTTATGATGATAGAAAAACACCTGGATGAAAGAGAGTTACTACAAAAGCAGGGGATAAACATAGCATTGTCACCAGTAAGAGAGATCGGTGAAAGACACCACCACAAATAAGGGAGGAAATCAACATGACAAGGTCGAAACCCATATGAAAACCGTGAAAAGACGTTTGAGAAAGGATGGTCTGAAGGGTTGTGTATCTGCAAAAAAACACTACTTTGTCAGCAGAACAAGAAAAAGAGATACGAGTGGGCAAAAGCTCACAAAAATTGGACTTATGATGACTAGAAACAAGTTTGCACTGTTAGGTTAAAAACGCAGAGTCTATGTCCGCAGACAAACTGGTGAACGTCTGAGAGCACCATGTGTTACACCCACAATTCAGCATGGAGGTGGTAGTTCCATGGTATGGGGATGTTTTGCAGGTGATGGAGTAGGAGATTTGTTTGAAGGAACAGTACCACTCCATCCTCCAGCACCATGCTGTTCCATCTGGACTCAGACTTGTTGCTCATAAGTTTGTTTTGCAGCAAGACAATGACCCTAAGCACTCTGCCAAGCTCTGTCAGGGTTACCTAGACAAAAAAGAAGAGGAAGGTGTTCTTCAAAAGATGGTTTGGCCCCCTCAGTCTCCAGACATTTCTCCATTTGAGCTTGTGTTGGATGAATTGGATCAATCGGTCAGATCAATCCCTGGAACATACCTTAGAAAACTTTTGGAACGAATGCCTGGTGTATGCCAAGCTGTTGTTAAAGCCAGAGGAGGTTACTTTAAAGAAAGCAAAGTCTAAGCAACAATAACTCAAATACCTAATAATTATGGTCAAAATGTCTTCTGATAAGTTACTCTTTACACAATAGTCATGTTTATTGTGTTTCAAATTATATATATGAAACTATGATCTTTTTTGTACAAATCTGATCTTGCTTCCAAAGTTATGGCCTGTAGTGTACATGCAGAGCAAACAGACACAGCCACACACCTTCACCCACCATCAGGAGTAAGTGTGTTTTGATATTGTCCCCAAAGACATCTGAATACAATAGAAAGATGTTGAATAAGAGTAAATTCATCCACCAAAATAATTTGTGATAATAAACAATTTTAAAATATCTCCATCTGAGATCACGGTCATGTTTCTCCTGAGAGTACCAGCCATCCAAGGCCTCTTGTGATACTGGGTCTGTTCCTCAGTAGGCGATCTTCTGAGGAGCTGTTCTTCATCATTCTGGTTAAATTTTTCTTTTGTGTCTTCAGATTGTGTTTGTTAGTTTCTAAGTTTAAAAAAAGCTGCTGGTTAGACTGAAATATCTTTCTCTGTGTTATCTTTAAGGAGGAGGCTCCTGTAACGTTGACTTCAAGTGGCAGACCGAAGCGTTGCAGTCGAAAAGTGGTGGACTACACTGAAAAAGAGGAAGAAATGCCACACAACCCGGAGAAATATCTAGAGAAGCTCCTAAAAAAACAAGAGCAGAGGTCAGAATAGGACTGGGCGATTTGGCAAAAAAAATGATCGCTATATATTTTGTCATATCGTCTGATCTCGATTATTATCACAATTTTTAAAAGTTTTTATACCTGCCAGTTTTAAAGCATCTGTACTAAAAACTAAAGAAACTAGAGATTAGTTCAACATTTTAATTACATACAAATAAGGATGAAGTTGAATAAGATAAACATAGAAAAGTATAAATACCATTTTCACTCAACAGTACAACAAATTCAGATACTAAATTATACACTGAACTAGTTTAAAGTCCTGAGTGTTTTTGCAGGTATGCAAGGCCCAAATTAAGAAAATCGCCCCCTCAGAGATAATAAAGACGCCTAAAAATGTGGCAGACATCATCTAATGTTTATTAGATGATATAAACATTTGATGATGCAATTGGTTGCTGCTTTGGTCTGGTGGCTTCACCGCTAGTTGTGGCTAAATTGCTAATGCTACTTGTGCTGCGCAGACTCCACTTGCATTTTCATGCTTTTTGCATCATCACTCGGAAAGAACTTCTTTAAATGATTAAACAGATTTTTTGTGTTGCCGGTTTTTGAGGGCACCGACTGCCGAAATACCTTGCACATCAGCTTATTTGCTTGACGTCACTTTGAAGATACTCGAAGCACCACCACACAACCAACGTTGAGTAACTTTTCTCCTCAACAATGGCATCTTTGGAGAATGACTGAGTTATGGCTGACATCTATTTTTCTACCCTCAGCTCCACGTTTAGCTCCACCTTTGGTCATTCTGTTTACCTCTCCTGTTTACTTCGGCAACAGAAGTGAGCAGGAAAAGCTCAACTCTGATTGGCTGTTCTCATGCACATTTCTGCTATGTTTAATTGAGTAAATATGCTAACAGTTTATCACCGTGAAGGAACATTAATTTATCACGATCATTAATCACGATCATATAAACGCCCAGTCCCAGGTCAGAAGTGCATCCACAACTCTCATCTTCAAGTCTAAACAGCTGCACTCAGCTGGGACGTGTTTCTGACATTCCAGCAATGACCCTGTAGGTTTTATTCTAAAGACCTTTTTGTCCCCCTCCAGCTCCAGCTCTTTTCCAGTGCTTGATGTCCAGGGTCCTCTGGATGCTCAGATCCACCTGAAGCTGCAGAACATCTTCATGCTGCTAAAGAGATGCTGTAACCATCCCTACCTGGTCGAGTATCCACTGGACCCTGCTACGCAGGAATTTCAGGTGATGTTCAGTCACATGAACTTCTCTGGTTTTGGTAACATTGATGCTACATAAATGGTAACTGTGGACCCTCAGGATTTGGAGCAGAAACTGAACTTAAAATTAAACTTGTTATAAAACTTAACAAAGGCACTGGGTGATTGTTCCAGTACAGTTGGTATGATTTCCTGTATTTGTATTCCTTTTTTTACATGCTTTGTATCCTCCTGTTCCCCTGCAGATCAATGAGCAGCTGGTGCAGAGCTCAGGGAAGCTTCTGATTCTGGACAGACTACTGCCTGCACTGAAGGCAAGAGGACATAAGGTGAGGTCTTGATCAAAAATGACACGCTACCGCATCAGCAAAAGTGGAGAGTGAACCAGGCCACGCTCAGGATGATCATTAAACCCTGAACTCATTAGTACTCGTGTACTTCTACTTAAAGTACATATCACTCTACTAGTTTGGGGTCAAAAGAGAACCAGCAATCATTGATGAGGCAATATGTAAAAATTGCACTTAAAAGATCTTCATGAAACAAGGAAACGCGCTGAATCTGAGGTCTTGCTTAAAAAGTCTCCAGTGATGGAGCTAAGGCTGCTGTTCCTTCCAGCTGAGATTCATGGAGCAGCTCACAGCATAGCTGTAGCAAACTCTGAAATTCTGCACTGACCTTCTTCCTACACAGAATCCAAGTGGAGCCAACTTGCTCTTCCTCGATATTGTAACTACGGTCGAAACAGCGCACATTCCAAGACCTGTGATTGGTTCACGTTGTGGCAGACCTCATTTGGGGCTGTCTTGGTCACGTTTGCATCCTTTCTCTGAGGGGTTTGCATAGTCTCCTCATGCTTCTGTGGGGACCCTCCTGGTACCCAGGTGTACCCTGCTTCTCACCAAGGGACAGCTGGGAGTCTAGATAAAGTATGGATGGAACTAAACAGATGTTGCCATAATCTTGTAAAAAGATGATTTTTAAGTGTATATCTAAATACCTTCAGACTTTAAAGACCCCCTTGAAATACATGTAATTCTCTCAGCACAGAGTATTACCTCAGACAGGCTGCTTCATCGTAATGCTGTGTTATGGCCCTGGCCTAGGGGAACCAGGGCCGCACATGATTGAGTGCCCCGCTCTTCCCACTCCCAAGAAAACCAGCCAAAACCACTATCTTTAAATTCACGAGACTAAGCAAAACACGTCATGTGGACTGGTGGTTGGAAGTGGCAAGAGCAAAAAGGGGGGCGGAGGATGTCATCAGGTGGGTTATAAACTCCTCAGCCAGTCAATCAGCCTGCAGCAATTCAGTCACAGCAGCACACACACACCTGCAGCTCATCTCTCACACACAGACGCTGATTTTCACTGCAGGGGAGGGGAGGAGAGAGAGAGCTGTCAGTCAAGAGGTTAAGCCAGGGGTCAGCAACCTTAAACACTCTAAGAGCCATTTGGACCAGTTTCCTTCAGAAAAGAAAACACAGGGGGCCACAAAACCCCTTTGACATCTAAAATGAAGTTAACATTGCATATATTGTTTTTTTTACCTTTCTGCGAAGTATATAAAAAACTGTGGTGAGTTGCATTTATGAAATAAATGAACTGCTGCAGAGAAAAGGAAATGTTATTTCTGCAACAAAAATATTTTAAACGGTTTGAAATAACCTTAAAGATCATGTTATAATCATGTTATTCTTGTTGTCTACATGTGCATATATCATTTTCCTGATGCTACAGGTCATATAAGTAATATAAGTGCAAAATTGCATTTCTGTGTATTTCTGCATTCACATCACTGTGAATCTCTGGCAGACCCAAATGGTAGTCGTAGATGCAGGGAGATTTCCTACTTTACAACTGCAAGCTCCGCCCTCGGAGCCCTGCTATGCAGGCCAAACTTGAAGGAGTAGAGAGGATGATTGCGCAACAAGCGTGTGCATTGAATAAGTAACACAATTTCACTGAACAATATAAGATACATATTTGCAAAATAACAGCCAATTAAAATGTGAAATTTACTTGCTTACTTGACTTTCGCTCTTGAACCTCAGCGCACATCCAGGCTGTGTGACATCACATTGATCTTCACACATGTTTTTGGTTTTCCCAAGTCGGCAGTTATGATGCATATTTTGAGCGGTAAAAAAATTGAACATAGTTTATTTAATATTACAAGAGCATTATAATTTTCGAATTTAGAATTACAAAAAAAAAAATAATAATAATAATAATTAAATATTTATTACTTATTTTCCAAATGCACAGGGAGCCGCAGCTTAGGGAAGATGAAGCCACCTGCAGCTCTAGAGCTGAGGGTCGCCGACCCCTGGGTTAAGCATTCAAAATACATTAATGACCACAGTCTTAACAGCTGCTCCAGCTTGACTTGAACTGTCTCTCACCAAGACTGTCGCCTTCATTTTTTATTGTGCTTTCTTCAGCTGTCTGAACAAACCATCTGCCCCTGCTCAACTGTTTTTGACGTGTGTGACTGACTATTGTGATCCAGGTTCTGGTTTTCAGTCAGATGACGTCCATCTTGGATATTTTGATGGATTACTGTTATCTGCGGGGCTTCCAGTACAGTCGACTGGATGGCAGTATGTCCTATGCTGACAGAGATGAGAATGTGAGTTTAAAATCTGTAGATGAAGAGCTTTTATAGTGTTTCATGGCTCTGTGAGTGTATTCTGTTTGTAGACTCAGAGGAACTCTTCAAACCTATTTGGCTAAGCATAAAGATATACATCAAAACGGCTGCTTTTGACTTCTGTGGTCCTGCCATTTGTCAGTATGTCATCGGTTCTTTTGTTCCACCAGATGTCAAAGTTCTCCAAAGATCCAGAGGTGTTCCTGTTCCTGCTCAGTACCAGAGCGGGAGGACTCGGGATCAACTTGACAGCTGCGGACACTGTCATCATCTTCGACAGTGACTGGGTGGGTTCAGATATAAAATGCACTGACAGAAACCTGTTTCTGATACATTATTTCCTCAAGTCTTTCTGTGCTTGCTCAGTGTGAGGTCATATTCTTGTCCTCTCAGAATCCCCAGGCGGACCTGCAGGCGCAGGACCGCTGTCACCGCATCGGCCAAACCAAACCCGTGGTGGTGTATCGGCTGGTCACAGCCAACACCATTGACCAGAAGATCTTAGAGAGAGCTTCAGCCAAGAGGAAGCTGGAGCAAATGGTCATCCACAAGAGTGAGTGTCTTCACCTGAGCCCTTAGTCCGGCACTGGGGCAGTAGATTAAAACCAAACCTGGATTAAAGACCTTTATATCTGAGTGGGTGACTCTTAAAAAAAAAAAGGTTTCTGTTTTTACTTTGTGTACCACATTTACAGCAAAAGTTCACTGACTTCTGAAAGAGTTCCCTGTTGATTCACTTTTACATTGTGGACCTTGGGAATTCAGCTTTGGTGTACATGTGACTGATTTCTGATTTGCTGCTGTCCTGCTCAGACAAGTTCAAAGGAGGGAGGTCAGACCTAAACCAAAGCAAAAGCTGCATCAATCTGGATGAGCTGAGGGAGCTGCTCAAGGCCAGAAGCACTGAAAAGTAAAAAGTTATCCTCTCAGCTGTCAGAATGTGCAGACACTGTGAAGGAACACACAGATGACTATATCATTGCTTGTTCCTGACAGAGAGGTGAAAGCATCTCGGGGGAAAGTGATCAGTGACAAAGACCTGGAAGTTTTGCTGGATCGCAGTGACTTACTGGGTAAGAAGACACACAACACAACCACACAGTCTGAGCAGTTCTCATCAATAACAGACTGTGTTTTGGCTGTAGAATCACCTTACTCTTGTATCTGCTGCTCCTCAGTTTACATAGTCCACTGTTTTGATGACACAGCTGATCTGCCCTCTGTAAAAATTCTAAAGAGTCAAAGATCCAGAGTTTTGTTTACCCTCCAGTTTGAGCTTTTATTACGCTCATTTTGAATATTTTCTCTCCATGAAACCTTTGTCATAGTTTTGCATGATTTACATCTTTAAACACTCCATTCCTATTCCCCCTTATTAGTTGGGGCCCTAAGACACATTTTACTTCAAGTCATGATACAAATGTCCCCTTTGGTATGGAAGTACTTTAGGGTCATAGAAAACATTTTATCCAAAGAGACAAGTTAGATCACCCTTCAATTTTTTTTAATAGCCATTTTAAAAATGGCTGCCGACAAACCGCTAATACACCAGACCCCATATCTTTTTTTCTGTTGGAGCTATAATCATAATATTGGTGTCAAAGTGCACATTTTTGGGGTCTAGGAATTCAATTAAATAGGTTTCAATGTAAAACAAAACAATGCTTCATTAATTACCATGACAGCGGGGGGTAAAATATGCTAATTTCATGATAAAATGTACGTTTTAACAGGGTAACTTACCCCCCCACCCCTTCCCCTAAACGTAGATGTACTTTTCCCTTGGTATGGAAGTACCTTAGGACCATAGGAAACATTTTATCCAAAAAGACAAGTCAACCATGTCTGTAGTCATTTGAAAGGGGAGAAGCTACTGAATCGATTGGCATCAATCTTTCCAAAGACTACATTTCCCAGCTTTGAAAAAAGCTGGGTGTAAAGTGTTCGTAATCTGTGCGCTTTTAGGTGCAGCGCCCCACAGACGAAGGCAGGATGCTGCATCGCGCACTGATCACTCGGGACTCTCCTGTAAACGTTCTCCACCACTTATAAAACTTCTCTTGAGTATCTCTTGAGTATCTTCTGTATTAAATAGGAAAGTAATACAAACCTCAAACTGCACCTCAAAGTGTCTCAGATTTTCTGTCACCTCTGATTTCATCCAGCTGTCACAGACCTTGTTATAGAATTCATGTTTTGTGGCAGCAACTGGCTACGAGAGGTGTAACGCTCAGCAGTCATACAGACAGATACAAATGCAGTCAGACAGAGACACATAGAGTACATAAGAGGCTGTACCATTTTTCTTTTCTTTTTTTCTTTTCTTTTTTCTTTTTCTTTTTTAGGGGGGCATTTTTAAAGTCACCTTTTTGACACTTATTTTATTCATTAAATGTGCATATTTTACCCCCATTGTGAGGGTAATGTGAAGACTATATATTTTTTAGTCTGGAGACCTTTTCATATGGATTTCTTGTCCCAGAAATGTATACTTTGACACTAATATAATAATATCACAGAAGCGAAAATATGGGGTCTGGTGTAATAGTGGTGCATTGTCAGTGGTCATTTTTAAAATGTCTATAAAATAAATGAAGGGTGATCTAACTTGTCTCTCTGGATAAAATGTTTCCTATGGCCCTAAGGTACTTCAATGCCAAAGGAACAGTAAATCTCAGTTTAGGGGAGGGGGGGGTAAGTTACCCTGTTAAAACGAACATTTTATAATGAAATTTGCATATTTTACCCCCGCTGTCATGGTAATTAATGAAGCATTGGGTTTTACAGAAACCTATTTAACTGAATTCCTAGACCCAGAAATGTGCACATTAACACCAATATTATGATTATAGCTCCAACAGAAGAAAAAATATGGGGTCTGGTGTAATAGTGGTGCATTGTCAGTGGTCATTTTTTAAAATGTCTATAAAATAAATGAAGGGTGATCTAACTTGTCTCTCTGGATAAAATGTTTCCTATGGCCCTAAGGTACTTCAATGCCAAAGGAACAGTAAATCTCAGTTTAGGGGGAGGGGTGGGGGGGTAAGTTACCCTGTTAAAACGAACATTTTATAATGAAATTTGCATATTTTACCCCCCGCTGTCATGGTAATTAATGAAGCATTGGGTTTTTTACATTGAAACCTATTTAACTGAATTCCTAGACCCCAGAAATGTGCACATTAACACCAATATTATGATTATAGCTCCAACAGAAGAAAAGATATGGGGTCTGGTGTATTAGCGGTTTATTGTCGGCGGCCATTTTTAAAATGGCTATTAAAAAAATTGAAGGGTGATCTAACTTGTCTCTTTGGATAAAATGTTTCCTATGACCCTAAGGTACTTCCATACCAAAGGGGATATTTGTATCATGACTTGAAGTTAACAGCTTATTTTTTGGGCTTAGGGACTCCACGATATGAGTCTGTGAAAACCCTCACAGTTCAGCCTGAGCCTGGCCCAGGGGAGTTCAGGTCCTGTCTTTTAGGGTGTACTAGTACTAGGCCCACTCTCTCCACACTGTGCTAAAGCAGGTTTGTTCCCCCCTCTTTGGTCCCCTGCTGACCTGTATTTACATTGCTCCAGGGTCAGACAGGCATAGGCACTACTGCCCCCATCAGATAACATCCTACAGGACGCACAGTCTCATGGTCGGCACAGAAGACAGCAGCACAAAAACATGATCGCTGCTGAACAGACTTCTTTTCTGCAGGCCATCATCAGTCCAGAGCGAACAACCATCAGACACTTTCTGAATAATCCTATAAGCCCCTAAACTGAAGCTCTTTCTCCAGTATTTAGAGCTACAGAGCTGTCCAAAAATATAACTGCTTTATTGTGGTAACACTTGATTGACTTTGAACATGCCAACAGCTGATGTGTAGCTGAATGTCAACAGCATCTAAGCCATCAACAAGCATAAAACCGTCTGTAGATTTTCATTATGCTTTTGTGTGATAGGTTATGGACTAATATTTCACATCTGTCAGTACCTGGTTAACTTTTTCTATGTTGCTAGTCAACTCCACTCAACAGACAGCCAGTTAACTACATACACTTTGATGTCACGGGTATGGCAACAGTTGGACTGTCCAATAAGGTGTTTTCTTAATTTTTGGTCAATCTGTCAAACACTGTGCTGCGGCAGAGACAGCTGTTTGTTTCAGTACGTTTTTGATGATGTTTTTGATGAGATTTCTTTGTTTCTCCTGTAAGTCATTTGGTATTCATTTTTCTGAACCTCACCTGAACAGCTTGAGTGAGACTGAAATGCTGATGAAGGCTTCCCTCATGCAGTGATTTACCCCAAACATGCTCTGTGTCATTGATAATTTCACTTTTTCCACCTGTTGCCTCTTCACTATCTTTCCTCTCGTTTTCCCAAAACTTAGACACATTTTTTTTCTGCAACTTTAGTTGAGCACACTCGAAAGCCTTGAACTGTGCAGGTCCTACCGTTTCTCTGTACTTTGATTCTGTGATGTGTGAAAGAAAACACAAACAAGCATTTCACTGCACTATACTGGTGCACATGCATGAACAACCGTACCAAGTTAAGGATTAACAAACTGGGCTTTGGCTGTGAAATGAGGTGAAATCAGAAATGTAGTGCCACATTCAGAGGATGCATATTAGAAGGACTAAGGCTGCTCTTAAGTTGGACAGCCAGTGATGTTGGGATCATTGAGAAGGGCTCAGTTTTGATGAGTGATGTTTCAGTGTGTCACTGTGATGAAGATCCATAAATGCACCTCAGAGTGATCAGCTACAAAACAATGTGTTTCTCTTCTAGTATTACAGATTTGTAAACTGATGCTGATCACCAAAGACCTCATGGAGGCAGAGCTGAGTGAAACAAGTTTGAAACAACAACAAACTAATCTGCATAGTGCTAATCATCCCAAATACATAAACATCTGTGTATCTACTCAACACTGTAACTGAAGCAACTGTAAGCAGCGCCAACAGGATTGCACAGTTCCTGCTATTGTCCAGCCTCACACCAGCTGTAGTTGTTACATTCAAAGTAACAAATTCTGCTCTTCTAGCCAATTTCAAGTTTTAAGGAGAAAAAAAACTCATTCATATAAATTTCATCAACAGAGACCATCAGGCTTCTCACCAGCAGTGCATACACAGAGGACAGATCAACCTGTTTTTATGATTGACTACCAATTCTCCACCTTCCATTCATTCGTCCATTATCTCTTAGTATCCCTTTGTAGGACTTTACAATGCTTTAAACGGTGATGTTACAGCTACGCTGTCAGAACTGTCCTGCTCTCAAACTCTTCGTAGACAAATTTCCAGGCTAAAAAGTTCAAGGCGCTAACCGTGATCTGCAAACAACCAATCACAAAACTTTGCCAGCAGTTATCATGGTTGCTGTCACTCACTGTAAAATTAGATTTCATTGACTTTGATTTATTCAGATGGTATACTGTATACAGAGATTATTTATGAAAGAAAACAGATTTTTTCATAGACAGAGTTACTGGGATTGGGGGCTTAGGTAGGCCTCAGTTGTGTTTTGGGGGGGCTTAAGCCCCTCCTCATCCCTCCCTCCTCCCTGCCGCTGCTGCCTGTAAGGAATGGGATTTGATTCAAGGTTCTTGGCTGTATTTTTGTCAACCAAAGTGTGATTTGTATTTTCAGACAAGGACAAGGGGAGCACAAATAAAGAGAAGGTGGGAGTCTTCAGAGTGATGGATGCCAAAGATTCCTCAAAGATAACATTGACCTGAGAACATGTAAACTACTCAGACCTTGGACCACCATTCCCCTGGATGAAAAAGCTGAATCTGTGCACAGATTGTAGATGCTGAAGCTGTATTTGACTGTTTTTTCTTCACTGCCTGAATGCTCCGTGTGTGGAGTGTTTTCTCTGAGACTGTTCTTTCAAACTCCAACCTGCCAGTTAAACTAACATCACAACATTATTCTTATGTAAAGTGCTGAAATGTCAGGTTTGTCTGGAGTCTGAAGGGATGGAGAGTTAGATATCGAACTTTGAAGATGTTTTTCATAGAAAGCATTATTTCCTTACTGCTCACTCCATGTGCTTTTGTCATGCTCTTCCATATTTACTTTTACTAAAATAAAACTGACTGCCTGTTATCAGTTTCCTTGTTTTTAGTAGCTGGAGTTGGTTAGAATAAAAGGGGCTTCATAAACAAAGCTGATGGATTAAAGATGATGACAGCGAAAAGGTTTAATATGAGGCTCCCAACACACACCAGTGGGTAATGTCATGTTTGCGTCTCAGGTCTTGTAAATTGTAAATGCCTGGCATGCTGGGACTTTTTGAAGTGAAAAAAAAAAGAAGTCAGAGTCCACTTAACTCAAAGAAATGTATGAAAACAGACCTCACAAAGGGAATGTTGGAAACTGGAAAACAAGACCGATATCAGAGTCACACCGGGAACCTTTGCTGGACTGCAAAAAACCCAGAAAACAGACAAAACAGACATCAGGTGGGTGCAGCAAAACCACAGTCAGACAGTCTAGAGAGAGATAACGAATGAATGATAGAAGCAAAGTTGCATTTTCTGAATATGGAGGAAAACTGCACACATCACAAACAGGAGAATGACCTCTTTTTGCTGGTATTTTATTATTTTAGACAATGTTATAATCTATGGTCCTGTTTACCCACAATGTCATTTTCAGCAGGTTTTATTTTTCATCCTCTCAATGTTTTTCAATTGTAATCAATTCATTGAACAATAATACATTCACTGATGAATTTCCAGTTTGCAAACTTAAAAAATAGATTCATGAAGGGAAAATATCTTATTTAACGTGTTTATTATCTAGGTCCTGCACATTTACTTCTTGTGGATAAGAAGCAATTGATCTGACTCAGCTTGTCTTTACTATAATATTACAGTCTTCTCGTGTTGGGCTTTAGAAGTATGTTGCAGTGTGATACCTTACCCTGAAAACAACGTGTACTCTTTTTTTTCTTCTCAATATTACTAGATGAAGTTATGAGCTAATAAAAGTCCCAAAATTCTCAAAGCCAATCTCTCACCCAATCTGTGTAAATGCTGTATTTCCCAAACTTAGTTATTAAAATGATATTCAGAGGACTGGCTGGCCCATCCAGACTAAAGCATCTGACACCTCACAAACAGGAAGTCTCCATTGAGATTCTTAAGATTTTTCCTAGTCTTTACCCTCACTATCACTACCAAATGAAGATTTCACTCCCTAAAATTTAAGGTTAAAAAATGAAGTCCCTTTAAGCTGGGAGCAGTTTAGACCGGTGCTGATAGGAATGAGTATGCAGACAGATCAGGGATCAGATGTGTCATCTGGTCTTCCCAGGTTGTGAGGTGACATAGGTAGGCTATATTAAGAAACTGGACCTGAAAGGGGCCTGACAGGTTTGACCTGTTACTGAGCAAGTGAACAAAATACAAAGAGAGAGAAATGAAACAACAGGTTGAAGGATTTCCTGATAAAACATTTGTTCTTTTCAAGTGAGGGGAATGCTCTTGTTGTTTTCCTTTGTCATGAATTTTTTTCATTAAAAGGACTCATAAAAAGATCAGAACAAAGAAGGTGTGCAGGCACATGGTATCTGTAATGATACTGATTCACCTCATGCAAATGACCAATAATAATAGAATAACTCTCTTAATTTAATAAACTTAATCCAAATCACCTTATTAGTTTAGATGTAAATATATCAACAAGAAAGTAGGTAAATTACTGAGAAATGGTTATCTATCTATCTGTCTGTCTGTAGACGTGCTTTGACAGTTGTTGGACCAAAACGAATACGGATCCTGTTGTGTTCTAAACAAAATCCCATGATAACTGGTTTTACTCGTAGATTACTCAAAAATCCGACATACCTTGAACGCACCAAGAGATGCACTTGTGTTAACGTCATAACGCACATCGACGTCTCCCTTTTGTCCAATCAGGTGGACAGCCTGAACGCCAGGAAAGAAGCAGATGATATGGCAGCTTTGAGAGCGACCAGGTGGAACTTGTTTTGTTCTTATAGATAAATCCGATATTATGAAGACACAGTGACCCTAAGACTGCAGCTGCGCGACATGATATACTTAATACTTATTTCCGCTTTCTCCGGAGCGGTCGTGACGTTGCTGTTACAGTTCTTGCTGATATACCGTAGGAGCCCTGAGCCCGTAGGCAGGACGGTGCAGTATGCCAAAGTAGTGCCTGATAACGCGCTAAAGGATTACTTTAATACCCAACCTGCCGAACCAGGCCAGCAGCAGCAGGACGGCTCAGCATCCGCTGCATCCAAACAGCCAGAGACCGCCTCAGTACGGCCGCAGGACGGCTCTGCCAGCGGCGGCAGCCCCAAACAACAGCCGCCACCGCCTTCCCACGGCGACCCTGGAGAGTCCGCCAAGCCGGAGACGTGTCATTTCCTAAATGCTATATTTCTCTTCTTATTCAGAGAGCTCAGAGACACCCCTGTCGTCCGACACTGGCTCACCAAGAAGATCAAGGTAGAATTTGAGGAGCTGCTGCAGACCAAGACCGCAGGTCGGCTTCTGGAGGGACTGAGTCTCAGGGACATCTCCCTAGGTAATTCACTGCCAGTCTTTAAGACTGTCAAACTTATGAAGCCGGTGACTCTGAACGAGGACGGGATGCCTGAGGAGCTGAACTTTGAAGTGGACATTGAGTACAATGGCGGCTTCCACCTGGCTATTGACGTAGAGCTGGTGTTCGGGAAGTCAGCCTACCTGTTTGTGAAGATGAGGCGCGTGGTGGGGAGACTACGGCTGCAGTTCACGCGCATGCCTTTCTCCCATTGGTCTTTCTCTTTCCTCGAGGACCCTCTGGTGGATTTTGAGGCGAAGTCCCAGTTCGAAGGAAGGCCTCTTCCTCAGCTCACCTCCATCATAGTAAACCAGCTGAAGCGGGTCATCAAGAAGAAACACACCTTACCGAACTACAAAATCAGGTAAGTTACGAAGAGCCCCCCTAGACTACCAAACACTTACACAGTAACGAGGTAACCCGATAAACCACATAGATGACACCTTTCTCTGTCCTGATTTGACTTAAAAGCACAGCTTTTTAATAAAACACTCACAAAATAAAAACATTTTAAACATTTGAGATTATAAAAAAGGACATGACGGAAGGTCACCATTCCTCAGAAAAAAACTCATGCGCTTTTATTTTAGGGTGTTTCGTGCAAAGTCGACAGCTGGAATTAGCCAAACAAGAAAAACTATACATTTATATTTATAAAAATATAAAAAAATAAAAATGAAATGTAAATGTGAGTCATCATAGATAGATAGATAGATAGATAGATAGATAGAGAACTTTATTAATCCCCGAGGGGAAATTCGGTTGTTGTAGTAGCCGATACAAGCAATACAAGAGAAATACAAAAAATAGATAAAATATACAAGACTATACAAGATAATGAATGAATATGAGTACTTAAATAGTATGTGCTAAGATGAATGAATCTAAGTGTTGATGTGCAAAGGAGAAATGTGCAAAAGTGATAAAAATATTGTATGATACTTATATGTGCTTAATATAACTTAATTACAACCTAAGCATGTGTACCCGTATTTATAACAACAATGTAGGAATGGCAGGCTAGTCCATGTAAGTGACTGTGGCTCTAGCAGGGGTGGATGAGTTAAAGAGTCTTATTGCAGTAGGTAGGAATGACTTCCTGTATCTTTCCTTAGAGCAGCGGGGTTGAATGAGTCTGTTGCTGAAGCTGCTCTTCAACCTGTCCAGTGTGTTGTAGAGGGGGTGGGAGGGATTGTCCATGATTGCCAGCAGCTTTGCCAGCATCCTGTCTTCCACCACCTCTTCCAGGGTGACAAGTTTAGAGCCCACAACAGACTCTGCCCTTCATGGAGCCTTTCTAATTTTAATGGATGAGATTTACCCCTGAGCAGCCACCAAGCTTCTGTCTCTTTGTGCAGATGATGGCTCCCTAGTTTCCATTGTATTGATGTTGTGAACCAGTAATGTCTATCCAACATAATGGCCCATTAGAACCTGGCTCTGCTGATGTTTCTCACATTATGTCCTGTCCAACTGAAATCTAGAATTGGATATCTGAAAATGTTCTACAGCCGAATAACTTCAAATCTAAAATTAATGTCAGTACTCCCCTGTACCCTTACTTCTAGCAGTCATTGCTGCCCTTCACTGGCTCCCTGTTAGTCTGGGGTCCCTCCAGACCTCCTAAATCGTGACTGGGTATGAGGGGTGACCAAGCAGGTGCAGTTTCTCTGCACAGATGTGGCGCCCACTACAGACAGGCAAACTCTGGATTCTCTTTAAAATTTTGCACATATAACTCGTCTCTCTCTATCATCTGTCTTTCTCCTGATTATCTCTGTGTTAAATATGTTTTTTTCTGTAGCCTTAATTTTTTTTCTGAGGTTATTACTGAGATTACCAAGGGTGCAAACTTTTCCCACGTGTGCTCAAACTCATCCAAACAAAGCACTACCTTCTACAGCTGATGTTTAGTGCGCACTTATTATTAAACAAACACATGTCCACATTAACCCCACAGCCACAAGAAAACAACATAAGTGAAGAAAGAAAAGAAAAGTAAAACCAAACTAGTGCCCTGCAGGGCACTGATAGGCCAGAGCAGTGTCAATGCACTCCACGGCAGCCAGCGACCTCTGTGATGGCTGGTACTTCACTTCACTTCACTTTATTGATCTGTCCCTTGGAAGGCAATTTGTTTTGCAGCAGACAATCATACATCAAGAAAAAAAAACCCCATACAAATATAAATACATGAAGGTGTACAAGTAGGTGTACAAGTGAGCAGCAGATTGGGTCGGATAATTTAAAGTGCACCGCCCGCAAGGGCAAAAAAGGAAAGAAAAAGGAGGAGAAACAAGGAAAACCATACTCCTTAAACAAAGAACAGCCCACAGGGCGTAAAAACACAGGAAAACAGGCCGCTGGTGGAGCAACTGAAATCTGGTTACCTCCTCCTCTCCGCGGCGTTTAGAGCCCCGATGGAGAGCGGCACGAAGGAGAATTTGTATCTGTTTTTAGCAGCTGGGGGAACAGCTAGTCGGAGACCAGAAGGAAGAAACTTGTATTCGTGGTGGAGAGGATGAGTGTTATCTGTTCGGATGGATTTTGCTTTCTTAAGCACCTGCTCTTTAAAGATCACATCCAGACTTCTAAATTTCACCCCAGCTACTTTAGAGGCAACACGAACGATACTCCCAAGGGAGTTCTTGTTCTTGATAGCAAGGTTACCGTACCAACAGATAACACAAAAGGAAATGACAGATTCAATGAACGCACTATAAAACATTTTCATCAGACTCTTGTCTACCTGGAATTTGGCAAGCTTCCTCAGACAGAAGAGGCGTTGCTGGCCTTTTTTACAAAGCATCTCACAGTTCACGTCGAATTTTAGCATATTATCGATCGTAGTGCCAAGGTATTTGTAATTGGTCACCAGCTTAACTGGTTGATTGTTGATGACACTGCACAAGGAAGCTGGAGATGAACGTCTAAAATCAATACAAATCTCCTGGGTTTTAGATACGTTAATTTGTAAGAAGGCTTCCGCGCACCAGGATATAAAATCATTAAGAACCGGTCCATGACTGACTTCATCGTTGCCAAGCAGGCTGACGATGACCGAATCATCGGCGTATTTGATGATGAATCTGTCTGTATGATGGCTAAAACAATCATTTGTGTACAGAATACAGATAAGACACAACCTTGAGGAGAGTCAGTGGAGGATGTTAGTAGGCTGGACAATGTACCATTCACACGTACTTGTTGAGTTCTTTTTGTGAGAAAATCAAAAATCCAGCCTACGAGACACACATCCAGACCAAAGGAATAAAAAAGTTTGTCGGCTAAAACATGAGGCTGTATCGTATTAAAAGCTGAGGAGAAGTCAACGAAGAGCAGTCTAGCATGGTTCTTACTACCTTCAAGGTGCTTATATACGAGATTTAATAAGGTAGCTGTGGCATCCTGTACACCTCTGTTGGCTCTGTAAGCGAATTGCAGAGGGTCCAGTAGATGTTCAGTTTTCCTTAAAATTTCTGACTTGACTAGCTTTTCGAATTGTTTCATCACCATGGAGGTTAAAGCCACTGGCCGGAAATCATTGAGTGTGGTGTGGTTGTTTGTTTTGGCAACAGGAACCACCACAGACTGCTTCCAAGAAGATGGCACCTTCTGCTGGTAAAGAGACACATTAAAAATAAAATTAAAAATAGGGCCAAGCTGCTCAGCGCAAGTTTTTAACAGGCGACCACCGATATGATCAGGGCCAGGGCTTTTTCTCGGTTTACATTTCTTAAAACAATTGATGACATCGACCTCGTTGAAAAAGGAGTACTGAGGGAGACCAGACATGAGGCGATTCTTTAATTCTTTGTGTTTGTCACTAAAATCACATGCGTCAAATCTAACATAAAAGTCATTCAGGCTCTGAGCCAGCTCAGAGTCAGAATTAAAGCCATTGAGCTGAACTTTTTTCCTGCGACATTCTTTGGTCCCAGTGATCATTCTCATACTGTCCCAGGCAGAGCCTACTTTTTTTTGTTTTTAGCTGGAACTCAATTTTCTCTTTTATAGCGCTTTTTGCAAGCCCTAATCTCACTTTTAATTTCTTTTTGAAGGTTAGACAGAGTGACTTTGTTCCCTTCTCTGAAGGCTTTTTTCTTCCTATACAGGAGCTCTTTAAGTGACTTTGAAACCCACGGCTTATTGTTTGGATAACTTTTCACAACTTTTTCTGGTAATACAGTGTTTTCACAGTATGAAATCCAGCTGCTCACCACATCAGTTAATTCATTTATGTCAGCAGAGGATTCCTTAAACATGTCCCAGTCTGTAGCATCAAGGCAGCCCTGCAGAGTGAGGCAGGCATCGTCATCCCAGACTTTCACTCTGGGGTTCTGCACTTTACCTCTCTGCAACACAGTGCGGTAGACAGGGATCAGGTGGATGCAGTTGTGATCAGAGGAGCCCAGAGGTGGAAGTGGGATGGACTTGTATGCTCCTTTGATGTTACAATAACAGAGGTCGAGAGTTTTGTCGTGTCTGGTAGGGCACGCGTAGAAATTCATCGTCACAAAAAATAGAGGATAAAAGGGGTAAAAGAAATAAGAGAGTACCAGGTCATGTCAGTCCTCACAAAAGGTACCAGATACGCGGGTGCTAAGATCCAGAGTCTTTGAGGAAGGCGGCTAACAGCCCGCAGGTTGTTGCTAGCATTTAGCTAACAAGCTAACAAGAATTTGTTTGTAGCAAGTAAGCCTGGCAGCTTCCCCGGGGCTGGAATTGCAAGTGTCAGCTTGCTGCACGCGTTTTGGTTCGGAACATGTACCCGAGAGAGTGCTGTTCACATAAGCGTCCCACACAGCTACTGCTCACGTTGAAAAACACACGCTAAAAACACACTAAGACTGTAAAAACACATTAAAAGGACTCAAGACAAACAAACTCCCTTCGGTCTGCTGCCGGTCGCTGCACAAGCTCTCTCGGAGCTCCTGCGCCTCTCTCGGAGCTTGTGACTGCCTCCCTTTGAATGTTTTGTATCATTAATTGTGGAAAAATATCAAAACTTAAAATGTTGCATGGCTACACCTTTTGACCTACGTAATTTATTTTATATGATCTTCCTCAGGGTCTCTCTTACAGACTGGGGGACAAATAACATCAAAACTGTAAATGGTGTGCTTTGGAGGAGGCCATCTGTAGACCTGCAAAAAGCCCTACTTGTGTTTGAGGGGGCAGTGTTCCCAAAGTTAGCCTCCTCGAATTAAGTTGTACAGCACTTTTAAAGTAGATTATTGTAGGGTTGGGGCAATTCGTCGACGCAAAAAACATGCATCGACACGTACCATGATGGCGTAAGCAATGGCTACTTCAGGTAACGGTGGAGGCATGGATGGCAAACTAGCTCCACCTAATGGGGTCGATTGAAGAACCTACTTTAGCATGATCTATGAGTAGCTCCTCTCAATCAATGCATGATTCTTCCTGGCTTCCTCGTTCACATGACCATGATCGCGCTGCTTTCATTCAAGGAGATATGCAGTGACCTGTCAATCATATTTAACCACAGCTGGTTTAGCAAACGCCACAGTGGACGCAGCATCATATGCCCTGCATACCATATCTAATTCATTCACTCTAAACAGTTAGCTCGGAGTTGAAACATCAGTTTTGTGCTTTTATTTGTCCTATGACTTGCGATAGCTTGCTAATGCTAGTACTCGGCACACATGAGCTCAGCTGCACATGTATACTTATACACATGAGTCAGAGGTAGAGCCATGTAAAAAATAAATACTCATTTTTTAAGTGTGGCGTCTTTTATTTAACTGTGGTGGTGTGCCACAATCAAGTGCATATAGGGGAAACCCTGTTATCTAGTGCCTTGTCTTACTCAGGAGTGTAAACAAACACTGTTGACAACATTATGCTGACCATGGCCCACAATGCATTGCGAGATAATGTGCCTTTTTGGTTGGTTGAATTTTATTTATTGTTACTTGACAGTCATTGTAACTATGAGTAAGGTGAGGATGCACCTGATAAGGGATCAGACTGGTGCACCCAAATAAAAGGGGGATTTTAAAAACACTGCGGGGTCTAAAAACAGTCCTTGGTTTCGGTTGTCTGTATGAAATGATGGTTTTGATGGTGTGAGTGTCGTGTTTTTCTATTGAGAGTGATGGGGGTGTTGCTGTTGAGGTGTGTGAGGTGAGAGTGGATGCAGAGGGGTGGGGGGTGTGTGTGTGCATGTGTTGACAGTTTGTCAGGAGGTGGCTGTGGTACAGGAGCGGAGGGTAAGGTCCATATTTACAGATAAAAGCCACGATCCCTCCCGGTTCGAGTGCAGACCGTCTCCCTTAAAGAGGTCCGGTCTGTTTAAAAACGCTGTAAAATTGTCCACAAATGGGATGCTCCTCCCAAGGCAGTAGCCCTTCAGCCACAGGTGCAACTGACGAATACGGCTGCTAATTACATCCCCGCGATGAGGTGATGGTAGCGGGCCGGAGATTACCACACGCTTACTGGTGTGCAGCAGGCGATCCACCAGGGAGGAAAAACCCTTTTTGAGGCAGCACCAGCGTGGTGGCCGAGCCATGTTCCTCGCTAAGCTGCAGAGCGGAGGACTCCACCTCCCTAACGTTGGCACCCGTGAGGCAGAAGGTCTGGCCACCATGCACCTTCACGTGTCGGACTATGGAGGTCCCGACCACCAGCGCGGAGGGGGCGCGCCAGTCCTGGGTGCGTGTTACCTGTTGGCTGGTGGTACAGGGGTGGCGGGGAGCCGCAGTAGCGGGCACTGCTCTTCCACGGAGGTGGCAGGATGGGGCCTGCGGTTTGTGTGGTGCTGTGGGTTGCCCATTGCGCTCGCCTTTCCGCCGATCGCAGCCGCGGTCGGTCTGGAGCTAGTTGCCCTGGTTGTTGCAGCGGCCATAGCTGACCGGGACCTTGGAGAGAGGTCAGGCTGGTCTCGCGGGTGCGGGGCCCGGCCCCCAGCCCCCGGGCTGGTGAGTACCACGTCCAGCTGGGTGGATGGAAGGGGACCAGGCACCCACGGGAGGAAAGTCACGCAGGCTTCAGGATATCAAACCTGTTCTTCAGCGGCAGGTCCTAAGGTGGAGTAGGAGGTGAGCGAGCTGCGGTGCCCCTGATCACCATTGACCAGGGCTCCCTTGGCCTGATTGGCGTTGATGTAGCCGGAGTTACTGCTGCGTCCTCCTCGGTGGAGCGCAGCGGCTCGGTGGAGTGGCGACAGGAGGTGGAGGATGCTGATGTTTTGGGCCTGGCTCCCTGGAGGTGCCAATGAGAGTTGGTTTGTGCATCCGCCGGGGTCCCGGTGGTGACAGAGCCGGTCCATGGCAGGGTGGTGTTGTTGGTGATGCCCGCCAAGCTCCGGTCTTCTGCGCCGTAGGCCCTGAGATGTGCTATAACTTTAGTTTGCATTGTAGCCACGCTGGAAATATCCATTAGGGTCCTATTTTTCTCCTTTCCTCAGTCCTGTAATGCTCTCCCTTAATTTAGAGACGGTGGGGAGGCAGAACTCACACACCGCCATCATCGTAAAAAGTTTTAAAATTGCGGGCTCGCTAGTGTGATGGATCACACGGCTTCCGGATTTTCCCTCTGGATTTTGGCGATCCACAAGCTCGATGGTTAAAAACTAGTGCTGTGTTTTTAAAAAAGGACCTGATTAAAAGCTGGGGTGGGTGGGTTGGTGTCTAAAAGGGAGTTAAAGTAGTAAAAAATATTTGAAACAAGCGATTTTAGTCGGAGCTGAGACAGTCTGTGCCATCAAACCCCTCTCTAAGACAATTTCCTCCTTGTTTGTTGAAGAGTGCCAAAGCATCTGCTTCAGCCTCTCCTCCCTCTGTGCGTGAAAGAGGAAGGGCAGGGGCGCAGGAAACTGCAGAGCACTCAGGGTCAGCCGCTTGGAGCAAGAATTACAGCATGAGCTACGTATATCGGTATATGCGATATGGTCAAATTTAGGGCTGCAACAATTAGTCGACGTAATCGATTACGTCGACACGACAAATTCATCGACACGAAAACGAAGCGTCGACGCGTCGTGTTAGTGTTGTTAAGAATCACATGCCGGCGCCTCATGCTCATCTATAACTGCAGTGCACTACAGGATGTGCTGGGGGCAGTAGTGCTCGCTGTTTACATCCCGCGAGCGAACACAGAAGAAGAGTGCACACATAATGGCAGAACAAACTGAAAAAGACGCTCCAAAACTCCGACCCAAAACTTCAAAAGTTTGGGAACATTTTACGGAGAACAAACCAAAAAAACACGTTGATCAAAGCTCAGCTTTCCTACCATGGCAGCACCACGGCGATGCATGAGCACCTGAAATGCCGACACCCCGGAAAAAGGTGTTTATAAATAAAGAAGATAGTGATTAATTGGACGACTAGTCAGACGACTAGTCGACAAAAAATAATCGTTAGTTGCAGCACTAGTCCAATTCCATATCTCATTTAAAAATATATCAACATATTTCTTAAATATCGATATATCGCTCAATCCTAGAGCCCAGTATACCTGTAACGGATATTGACTGGACCCAATTGCAGCACAAACAAGCAGGTTCGCTCAAACAACAGTCTTTATTTGACACTAAATCAAATGAAGCAGCAGAGTATAACAGTTGGGTATGGCAGGATTCGTACCCGGGTCTTCTGGATGCAAGGCGAGCAGATTAGCGGAGGACCACAGGGCAGGCAAGAAATATGGGACTCGTGAGCAGGGAATTGTCCACAGTCTCAATTTGCTCTACGAGTGTGGTGAAAGGGAAAACGCTCAAACTCACAGCTGGAGGAAGATTTCTGGGAGAGTGGTTCAGGTGTGGACTGGGTGAGGATCCAGAGCTTGCAATGGAGCTGGCAGAACCGACGTCTGCAGAGGCGGTGAGTTGGCGAGGTGAAGCTGTCGAGAAGGGGGATCTTGACAGAGCAGGAACAGGCTGAGTGCCACCCAGCCGCAGGCAGACGAATAGCAGGAAACAGGCAGGCAGAGCTCGTAGTCAGGGACAGAATACAGGTGGCGTGAAGCAAAGGTCAGGGGCAGATCAGGTCGATACCAGGTAAGGAGTCCGGGGATGAACGCTGGAGAGTCAGGCATGAGAGCGAAGACAATCTGGCAAAGAGTGAGGGGAAAGAAGCTGCATACTGGCCTGATTGGAGATGATGAGCAGGTGAGAGCAGCAGGTGGAAGCAGTTAGCTGATGAGGGGTGTGGCTAGGCCTGTCACGATAACAAATTTTGCTGGACGATAATTGTGCTACAAATTATTGCCGATAAACGATATTATTGACACCGTTTTTTAAATTATAGATAATGATAATATATGGCATAATAATGCGAGTACACCATGTCAAAAGCAATAAACTTTAATTGCTCAAGATTAAGAACTTTGAACTAGGATGAACAAATATAATAAACAAACAAGACAACCAAAAAACAATGAAAATAAAATGGACCCACATTCTGTTTTATCAAAAACTGCATTCAAATAAAAACCACAATCACAACTACAAACAATAAAAAAATAGACCTTGTCTCCGGTACGGAACAAAAAATTCACTCCACACATAACTATTAAAACAATAAATAAAGTGGAGTCTCGAGTCTGTAAACAAAATTGCACTAAATAATTAGCTTTGGGGGCTATTCCTCAACAGGTCAACAATCGATTGTGCTTGAGATGCGCATGCATGATTGTCGTATTCCCCTTCTTTGTCACCAAAACTTTCGAACATATGCGACATATCGTCCGTGTTCGTAGGCTCAGCTTTCATTTTATTTGAAACTGAAATGTTCCCACACTGGGGCTGTTGCATTGGGCTTAGACACCAAAACTGTCGTTTCATCATTCATTGCGTTTGCTCCGCACTGTGTCAGTAAGTCTGTGTGTGTGTGTCTGTGTGCGCCAGCTCCCCCCCCCCCCCCCCCAACCGTGACAAAGAGACTGAATGACTGACAGGAGGGTTCACTCACTGCGAGCAGAGCAGTAGTAGTGGAGCAGACAAATGCATAATATAGCCCGAATCGTTCACTTTGTTATAGAATTTACTGGTACAATTCTACACCGCCATAATTCAAAATATTCTGTCTTTATCTATTACCACATGGTACAGCAACACACCAAAGCACACCTTAAACAGACTGGGCAGGGTGATAAAAAGGGCCTCCAAAATTATTAACTGTGAACTCCCCACACTGGACTCCATCCACAAACACCACACCATCACAAGGGCATACAAAATAATTGATGACCCACCGCACCCAGCTCACCATCTTTTCCAGCTCCTCCCCTCGGGTAGAAGGTTTGGATCTCTGGGCGGTTCAACAAAGCGCTACAGTAACTCCTTCTTCCCCCTTGCCATACGACTGGTAAACTCCTCTGGCAGACGTGTGTGAAGTCTGTGTTTTATGTCCCGTGGTACCCCGTTTCACATGTTATGTTATGTCATGTCACTGTGAACTGTTTAATGTCTGTTTAATTTAACGTGGTGTATTGTTGCAGCTACCACCTGCACTGTGAAAAAAATTCCACCGGCCTAGCCGTGTGGCGATTAAAGAAACTTGGAACAAGCATGAAATTTGGTACATATACTCTTCAAACCCCACTCTTTTCAAAAATAACATTAGCCACGCAAAATTCCAAGATGGTGGCCCCAAAATCCAAGATGTCCGCCCCAAAAATGTGGTTTTTCCTTTATAACTCAAAAGGACTTGATTTAAAGCCCCATACATTGAAGTTGAATATAAAGTTGGGTATTGCGGACATTTTGATACCTAGTACATTTCTGTGTCCATTACGGTTATTGAGATACAGCATATAGATATTTGTACAGAATTGGGAGAGTGAGAAATTTGTAACCCTGATTGTTGTTACGTGCATATGGTTGTATGAAAATATCATTTCCATTATCCGTTATTTTCATGAGGGTTATAATATTAAATTTGAAAAACAAGATGGTGTCCAAGATGGCTGCCATTGTCTTGAAGTAATCCGATCTTAGTGACTATGAAACATTAACTTTTGGCATGCACATATTTTTGGTCTATGCATCCAATGGGGCCATTGCAGTACAGAATTTAGATGTTTATACATTACAAGCTTGCAGATGTAATAGAGTGAATATCGGCACACAACCAGGGCACACTGGTGATATCACTGCTCTGTAACTCAGCATGACCTCCAGGGGTTCTTTCAGCATGAGAACCAGTCCTTCCCTGTTGCATTGAGCAAGGGTGGAAAATTGTACACTTGCCAGAAGTCTCAACTGACCCCTATCCTTGAGAATTATGTCCCACCAGTTGACAAGGAACCTGAGGCAGACGTTAATAATAATAATAATAATACATTTTATTTAAAAGCGCCTTTCTGAACACTCAAGGACACTGTACAGGGCATAAAAACACAGTTAGAGACATAATTAAAATAAATAAAAACAACATACAAGTGTGAAAGTGGACAGTTTAAGTGAGGCCTTGAAAGTGTACAGAAGGATTTTGTAGTTGATTCTGGACCTGAAGGGGAGCCAGTGAAGCTGCTGAAGGACAGGGGTGATGTGGTGAAAGGAGGGGGTTCTGGTGATGATGCGGGCTGCAGAGTTTTGGACAAGTTGAAGTTCCCATCTACGTTCTCATTGTAGATGGGTCTAAATTCTGTACTTAGCTTAGATGGGATCAGGAAAAATTAGGGAATTTTGTAAACTTCAGAATTTTAGTATAGTGTTAGGTATGGGTATAAGGTTTTTAAAAAACACAGCAAACAAGTTGAGTGCATCCCCTAGTGGTCGGTTTGCATGGTATCCAATGTTAGATAGTTAAGTATATGGTTGAAACCCAAAACAAGTGATAGACGAGATTTTATTTAAAAAAGTCCTAAAAAAAAAAAGGGGGGGGGGGGGGACGACGACAGCCTCCACGTGGCCTCCCCCGTAAGTAGCCAGAGAGTAGTTGCACTTTAAGCGAAACAAATGTCTTCGAAATGTCCAACCCCCCACCCCCAAACCACTAGGGGGCGCACCCATATTGTTTGTGGTGGTTTTTTAAAACCTTATACACATACCTAACACCATAACAAAAATCAGAAAATTGTCACAAAATGCCTAATTTTTAACATTTTATGACAAGTTTCATCCTTCTGAATTCATGATTCATCTCTGCTGAATTCATGATTACTTTAAGGCAATGGCAGCCATCTTGGACACCATCTTGGTTTTTGAATTTAATGTTATAACCCTCATGCAAATAACAGATAATGGAAATGATATTTTCATATAACCATATGCACGTAACAACAATCGGTGTTACAAATTTCTCACTCTCCCAATTCTGTACAAGTATCTATATGCTGTATCTCAAGAACCGTAATGGATACAGAGATGTTCTAGGTACCAAAATGTCCGCAATACCCAACTTTATATTCAACTTCAATATATGTATGGGGCTTAAAATCAAGTCATTTTGAGTTATAAAGGAAAAACCACATTTTGGGGCGGACATCTTGGATTTTGGGGCCGCCATCTTGGAATTTTGCGTGGCTAACGTTATTTTTGAAAAGAGTGGGGTTTGAAGAGTATATGTACCTTGCTTGTATAACAAAGTGAACGATTATTTCCTTATCTGCTCAGCTATAGAGGCGCAGAGCAGACTGTTACAATACCGACTTAACATCACCCAAAGTGCTAGGGCAGCCTAAAAAGTCCCAATGAAGTCCATATTAGACGACCAGTAACTTATTCATAATGATTACTATGTAAATGAGCATTTAACAACAATCTAATGCTATATAAAAACAGCTACAAAAAACAAGTTGGCAAGCTAACATACCTCTGATGAAGTGGTTGCTGCAGACACGGGGATTGGCAGACTCTGCTCCTCCCAGCTGCAGACATGTGTAGGCACTCCATAAAATCTGCTTTCCTTTTCATAGTTCAAACAATTCGAGCCGCTGTAAACCACACAAAATATTAGCATTCTCTCAGAAAAATCTTTAGTAAATAAACAGTAAATAAACACTTCCTTCCCTCCATCTGAATTTCGCGCTCTCGCAATGCTACATTGTAATGTCACGTGAAACTCTAGCTTTGAGCAACTCTATAGCCCTATAGCTTTGAGCAACACAAATCTTTCAGCCCTTTTCAGCCTTAACAATGAATTTGTATAGGAAAGTTATTAAAATGTTCTTACTCATACTGTTTTTTCTTTTTCTAGCAGGTCTGCATGGCTTTTCAGTGCTCAGCAATTCCATACATTTTCTGCAAGGAAATGCAATTTGTCTAGCCATTTGAATAATATTTTGTTCTGAATGCACAATAAAGTTAATGCTTTCTGTTTTCAACAAGAAAATCTTGTGGGTGTGAACTTCAGCTTGTTTTTGGATCATTGAGCCTGTTAAGGCTCAATGATCAATGCTGAGGTATAAATTATAAATCTAATTAAATTTTTTTGGTATCTTTGTTTCCAGATACAAGCCCTTCTTCCTGTTTCAAGTACAGCCTCTTCTGGGTCCCACTTGTGATCTGGACCTGACGGTCCAGGACAGTAGGCTGGTTGAAGGGCGACTGAAAGTCACCCTGATTGAATGTAGCAGGTGAGACATTTGGATTCGTCCATTATTCTCTAATTCAGGTGATGTATCAGATAAAGATGTATTTACAGACACCAGCATACTGAAGTTTTCAGGGTTGTTGTTGGACCAGTTTGGGGAACACAGTGACAAAACAATAAAGACGATGGTTCTGTTGACCTGAATGACCCTTTGCGAAACAGCTGAAATTTCAGGTTGTTAAAAAAATCTGAAGTTAGTTTTTTGATCAAACTGGAAATACACCAAACTGGGATGAGGCATCAAACATAATCACACAGTTTGTATGAGGTTGGTCACTTTTTATAGAAATCCAGTTTGAAGGACTGTTGAATGTGCTAATGTTTGAATATTTTGAGAGCTGTGCCAGAATGACCTGTCTTTAGCGGCTTTTAATCTACTTTTATCCATTTTTAAACAACTTTTAGGCAAAATTCTGAAGAGTTTGCAGGCTTTTAAGTTGAACTTCAACCGCGTGTGGGCTTTTACGTTGAATTTTCATTGTGTGTCAGTCTTTCTCAACTGCCAACTTGCGATGGACACTGGCATAGCAATATTGTTTTTAGCACTACATCGTGTAAGAGCTAGCAAAACCTGCCCCGTGTAGTGATTTTGAACTCAAAATAAATGTCCTAAAATAATAGAATTAAATTATGACATTTATGCACTCGTTGAAGGGGCACCACCCACCTTTCTGGTGGGAAAAAGACAAACAAAGTTCAATTGAATAATCAAACGTTGACTCAGTCTAAAACAGATTTAAATCAATCTCACATCTGAGGCCGGAATTCTCATTTCAGGGACTTCACTTCTGGATATTGACCACTAAGAGACGACAACTTAAAATTAAATGGACAATTTATTGACAAATGCTAGGTGATAACATAAATTCAGTAAATGGCGATCAAAAAATGAGAAATTAAGAGAACATCTAGTGAATAAATGAATGGTTTGAACTGAAACTGAGACTGGAGGTTAATAATAGTGAGTGGATAAAGAAAAATTTTAACCTACGTTAACAGAGTTGCGAGGATAAATTTGGAAGAGGAATTTAGAGAAACTAAACTATAATTAAAATTATAAGCTCTGAACGCTTGACAGCGTCACCGGTTCTTCCAGGTGTGTTTGCCTACTTATTGATGATGGTTCTCAATCTTGGAGCGGATCACTGAAGGCCCAGGCTACAGATGGTCTTGGCAGGGTGGCTAGCAGCCGGCCGAACGGTGTCTCTGTCGTCACACCCAAATGCACGCCAAATGCGCCCCGTGGGTCCCACAGCGCTCTCCTTCTGGAATCTTATGGCAAACGCAGCTCAGCAGATGCAGGTCGCTCCTCCGAGCGTTCAGGATTAGCTTTACTGCAGATCAATTCGCAATAATAACTTAACAAATAATTTCGCTGGCCAGCCGATATTCTCAGGTGTCACTTTAGCGAACTAAACAAATTGAAAGACTAAGACTTAGGTACTCTATGCACGCAGCTGATTAATAATGTTTTAAAGGAACTTGGGTATGGTTTCATTCAAGTTTCTAGAAAAGTCGGAACTTAAGGCGAATAGAAAAAAAACGGTAAAGGTCACAAGACGATGGACTGAGACAAAAACACACAAGACCAAAAGACGATAAGAGCAAAGATGGTAAGAGACCAATAAGAGTCAGCTCAGCGCTTTTAACCCATTTGATGTGGGGCATGAACCAAAGGAGGGGGAGCTCGTGCGCCCATTCATTGTTCACAGCGGGGGCTGATCAGACCAGCAAGGGGATGGATTTTAACTTGCGGGATTAATAAGCGAGTTAGACCTAATTTACTCACTCACTATGATTAACGCTGTTTATCAAATCAAATATGGTATAGTTTCGCTTTATAGTTTCTTATGAGCAGATGCATCAAACCATAACATTAAATGGAAGGTAAACTTTAATCGCCTGTTTTCCTGGTAGTCTATAACCTGAGGATTAAGAAGCACTTTGAAAGTTAGAGAGGGATGAAAACCAGTTCATCTTTCTAACAGAAACACCATCACGCATAAGAAACACATATGTGATAACACTTAATTGGAATATAACCTTGTCAATCTGTACTTAGTAAATGATTAAGATATATATTCTGATGAGGTAGACAGGCATAGCGTTAAAACGATCAAAACATTCTTAACTCATGTATAAAAGAGTTTTCAGTTACTACTTCTAATATTGCTAACCTACTTTGGGAAAACCATTCACTAAGCTACAAAGTATACAACACGCAACATAATTAATACAAAGGAATGACCAAAAATCATATTCGGAAGACACCACTAGGGGAAGCTCTTGGTCCAGAGAGAACCTGGAATAGATTTGTGAAGTTAGCAGTTTGGCTCATAAACATGCTAAACAAATGGGACGAAGACTGTTTTCAGTGCCGATGTGGTGTACAGATGGAAAATCCTGGTGAAGTGTTCATTAAACCTGCAATTGAATCATTTGCAGTTATTCTCTTTATTCTGCACCAAAAGAGAGTCACAGGAAACACAGCCACTCTGAAGAGTTATGGCTGTGGTCTGTTTCACAATTGAATGCTTTTGATGCATTCTTAAGTTGAGTTCTCATGATCTTCTAAGGTACCTTTAAGGTTAAGGTGTCAAATTTGAGAGTCTCCAGCCAAGAGCAGAGGGGTGAATGTTTATCCAGTCCGGGGGTCCTGCTGGAGATTAGCAACTTTGTCTCTTTGAAAAGATTGACTGTCTGTCTTTTGGGGGATCACCTTTTGGTTAGTTTCCCACAGACAGGAGGTTGTAAAAGACCATGGTTTGGTGTGTAAAGTCACCCCCCATCTTCTTTTAGTGACCAGAGTCACTGCATTCCTTTGAGGGTGAATTAAAGATGAGAGAGCAGAAACCAGTCGTCTGCTATTTTGGGGCTCCAGGCAAACAGTCATGTGGGGGCCCCTGCATCTACCAATCTAATGTACCTTATATACATATTCTCTGGACATTACAACCTCTCATAGTCTTAAAGCATGGATATGTGCAAAAAGATAACATTTGTTATTCCAGGGTTAAATACAGATTTATTTTAAACAAGAAAATTTTTTTTGAGGGTCAGGGAAAGGGCAGTGTTACCTGCAAAGTGAGAAAAGCATAAAAAAACAATTTGATCAGTTTTGACAACATACTACAATGACTGTTAACCTAATATGTCATCATTTACATTAGGTTTCCAGTAGGTCACAGCAGGGGTTGGACCAGCCATTGTTGTCTATTTTGGATCAGCTGAAAAAAGAAAATAGCATATAAAACAACAAGATGAATTCTGGTGACAAATGCTGCACTGACTGTTAATCTAATATGTCATCATTTACCTTTTCAGCTTTTTTTCTCCTTCTCCCTCAATTTGTCCTAATCTCTGAGGTTTTCTCCTTCTCCCTCAGTTTGTACTCATCTGTCTGATTTTTCCTGCTTCTCCCTCAGTTTGTGCTCTGTTTGTCCTCATCTCTGAGTTTTTCTCTCTCAGTTGGTCTTCATCTCTTCTCAATTTGGGCACAGGTCACTGATATTCTCCTTTATAGATGTGATTTAGCATCTCTGATGGTATTGAGATGACTGTGGGGAAAGACTGAACTGCTCCCTCTACCTCCAGCCTCAGATCCTGAGCTTCAACATCTTCTGTTGCCTGCTCCAATTTGTGGCAGCATTCCCCTAGCCTCCCTGCCTCCTTTGTGTTTTTCATCATGTCCTTGTTTTACAGAAATCCATACAGCTGGAAAATGTTTCCATATGGGAAAACCTTTCTTTGACAGTGACCAAGGCTGTATCAACAAGACGAAAAAAAAAAACTTGTTATTTGAAGGTCTCTTCTACTGTACCCTGTGTTTCCTCTCCTCCTTCATATTCAAACTGTCCTTTCACTCTTCTCTTTCGGACCTCTGGCCAGCTCATTTCTACCTTTATCTGCTGTGCAATTTCCCTGGCATCTGTTTTTACCAAGTTGAATGCCATTTCTCGGAATTCCCATAAGAAGCTGGTAACTGCAGTGATTTCTCTTCTAAATGGCACTGTGTGGCTCTGCAGAAGCTTGCTTACTTTGTTTATCTGGTACAAAACATTGTACCAGACAATGGTGCTTACCAGAAAAGGCCATGTCTGTATCTTCTTGAAGATCTCTCTGGCTGTCAAGGCAACTTCTGCATCCTGCTTTTCCTTGGCATTGTCCTCTAGCGCAGTCAACGCCTTGGGGATGTCAGGCAACTGACAAACAGCTTTGACAGCGCCGATTCAACATTCCCACCTCGACGTAGACAGCGCCTTCAGGGTGAAGGTCTTCACATGGTCCTTGAGGATGGTGCAGTGGTGTACTGAGGAGCTGAAGAGAGAGTAGAGATGCTGCAACAGACCAAAGAAATGGACTTATGCAACAGATGACTTGGCTGCGTCACGACAAAGTTCAGTGTGTGACTTCCACAGGGAACACATAAGGCCTTGCTCTTGAGATCTAGCACTCTCTTCTGGATCCTCTGGTTCCTACTCTGCATATTACTACCATTGTCATATGACAGGCCACAACAGTTAGCAACGTCCAAACCTAATTTTTCTAGGTGCTCCAAAAGTCTCTCCAGCGTTTGCCTGTGGTATCATGGGCCAGTAGAAATCCAACAAAATGTTCGTGAACTGATATGCCTTTTTTTAATGACAATTTGCTATTAGCAGCACAACCGAGAGCTGTTTGTTAGGACTCAAATCAGGTGTGCAGTCCACTCCATAATATTTTGCTTATTTTACTCTGTCAACAATGGCATCTGTTGTGCACTTGGCCACAAGTGAGGTTACTTCATTTTGGATCCGACTACTCAGGTACATGTCTAAGGCTTCATTAGCTTGGATTTGTCTGAGATGCTCATGCATCTCAGGGTCAAACTGAGCCATTAACTGAACCTGACCCAAGAAATTTCCATTGCCTGGTTCATAAAGTTTGTCAGAGTGGCCATGGAGAGGAAAGTTTCTCTCTGACACAAAGTTGATGATTGCCACTAACCTGGATAAAAATCTCCCTCCAGTGTTTTGCTTTAACTTCAGTTATGTCCTGATACTTATGATCTTTTGTTGTTTTTGTCTCAAGCTGATGTAAGAGCTGCTGCCAGCTATCACCATTTTTCTGTGCTCTTCAGACCTTTCATGGTTGATTTAATGCATTGCAAGGTTTTTCCAGTCCTTAAATCCCTCCTCACTCAGTTGTATTTGTTTTCGGAAAAGGCTGCAACAGAAGCAAATAACATGGTCTGCATTTTCACTGTAAGGTAACCAAAATCTGTTCACCCTCTTGCCATTTTCATTAATATGTCATAATTTGCCTTTGTGAATCTGCGTCCCTTCTCATTTTGTGGAAAATCTTTGTCTTTAACTTGGACTGGCCCCATTTTCACTATTGGGCAGTGATCTCTATCAGTGAGTGGCCTGGGCCAGAGTGCTGGGTCATCTACAATATGTGTCTCGCTGGTTGCAAACAAAGAGCCTTCGTTACGAGTGACAGACGGCTTTTGCCATGTAAATATTGCACAGCGGGGATGCACTTTAAATACTATTGACAAATGATTAATAGCCCTTAGCACTTTTATTGCATTTTGCACTTCACAAGCAAAATTTGCACATTACATTTGCACATTGCGTATTTGCACAGGTCATAATGAACATTGTGGAGTGAGGAATTATTAGCCGATGTTGTGAAAGTAACCCATTATTTGTTTGTGGTTGTTTGGCTGGCTCCGGAGCGCTGCTCTGCCTGTAAGAGAGGAGAGTGTGGGAACGTTGCGATACGGGCTATCAACATTAATTATTGGAAAACCAAGTATTCTAGAATATGTGTACAGGTAATGTAGGTGTGCATCATTGTATGGAAAGTGTGTGCGAGTGCTAAAGGGCTTGGGTGAATTGATGTGATCACCTACCTTTTTCGAGTTGTGCCTGCTCCAGGGTGTTCGGGTCTAAAGAGTCCGGTGGCAAACGGATACCCAGTTAAATTTTCCAAGGTGAAACCAATGCAGAAAACTTGTAGAGGGGAGTTCAGGTTTTTGATCTAAAATTGTATTCTCCATAAGTGTAAAGGTAGAGTATGGGAAACTTTTAAAAGAGATTTGTACTTTATAGGAAGGATAAGGGTAAATGGTGAATGTTAAATGGTGTTCAGGTTGTTATGGAGCAGATGTTATCTTTGAGAGGCACCTGCATGTGGATCGGTCTGGGGAGGGCAATCAGCCACAGAGTATTCAAGGCGTCCGTTAACATCTGTCTGTAAAGTGGTCAGAACTCCTGCCTGTAACCTGTTCCCGGTCTTATAATAAAACTTTAAATGTTTTGTGCACCCCAGCAACTGCCTGACCTCTTTTCATTTATGGATACTGCAACATCCAGCCACTCACAAGGGTGTTTACTGTTAACTTTACTTGTCTTTACTGTTCCGTTGTTATTGGGGAGGGAGGGAGAGGGAGGAGTGCTGTCACTCACTGTAACTTGTGTATTAAATTCTCTGTCTGTTTTGGATCGCTGCTGGCTTCGCAAGAGCCACTTGGTTTGACAGGACGACTGTCATTGCTGATAAGAGGAGCCTCATGTGCAGCGTTACTGGCGGTGAGAGCAAATAGTGTCGGATTCTCCTGCTACGTGGTTGCCAACGGTCCTGCCTCTGCAGACTCCACTGCCATGGTTCCAGTAAAAAAATTAGATAACTCTGGCAGCTTTGAAATGAACTGCTACCTTTGGTCTCTCTTTTTCTTTTTGTGTGACCCACCTTTGTATGTCCGCTTCATTTCGACTCCTCTCTTTTACCTTTTTTTTTTTTGTTGTTGTTTGTTTGGGATTTTATGCGCCCTAATAATTTCTGCATACATACAGCGTGATACGAAACATGCAATAGTCCATGTAGTGTTGACTGAAGGGGGTCAACGGTTGGTAAAAACACAGTCAAAACATGAGTAATTGATCAAATTAGACATCCTGATGCTGCTATTGTGAAGAGATATTGATTAAAAAAAAAGTAATGTGGGGCCAAAATATAAGGAAGGCATTTTTGGGGCCCCAACGGCCTTATATGGGGCCTGGGGCTCCAGGCAAATGCCTGATTGGCCTAAATGGTGACAGCTGCCTTCGCTTGACCCAGAAAATCTCAGAGCCTGAAGAACAGATTTCAAGCCTCAACCAGAGCAGGGATGAGGAGCAGATCATGGGCTCCCTTGTTGCCTTTGGCCCCACAACAGTCATGTCCACTGCTGCTGTGCTGGACTCTACTTTTCTGTGTGTGGCTGAAGCCTGAATAGTCCTGTTTGCCTGAATCTACTGCCACTTTTCCAGCTTGAAAACAAAGTTTCCGTTCTGGCCAAGGATTTTTCCCCTCTTGCAGGCCACGGTATGTCCTGGTCATTCGCTGGGGCTGATGCTCCGCTACCCTCACCTCCTCCTCCTCATCATTCAAATGATGCGCTTGAACTGAGAGGTTGCTGAGAGTGTGGTGTCTCCGTATTATCTGTAATTTTTGTAATTTTTTTGCTAGATTTTTTCATATTTTTGTTTTCATTTTGTTGGCTGCTGATGGATACTTCTGCTGGGTGAAGAGTTTACTCAAGAGAAGAGCTCCTGTCATTGAGGAAAAGCAAATCTGGACAACAAAATACAATTCCAGAGGACATCAGGAGGTGTTATTGTAGTTGCTGTGCTGGTGCAAAGGTGAAGGCAAAGCTAAATGATAGGAGATTGCAATATAAACCCTTTCTTCCATCAATCCTGATGGGAAATGTCAACTCTCTGCCCAATACAAGCGATGAGCTGGATATATTGGTGAAGACTGAGAAAGCATACCATGAGTGCAGTTTCCTGTGTTTTACTGAAACCTGGTTGAATCAAAACAACTAGGACTCCAGTGTGGCTCTACCTGGCTTCACTCTCATAAGGTCAGACAGAGATGCTCAAGCTAGTGGCAAGAAGAAAGGAGGAGGTCTGGCTTTATTTGTCAACCAGAGATGGTTTAACCCTTTACACATAACTGTCAAGGAGAAGTTTTTGAACTGCAAGCAGTTGCTCTTTGGCCATATTGTGTTCCAAGAGAATTTGTCACACCCACTTCCACTGCTACTCCACCTTCCTCTCCGCAACAAATCTCCACTACAACTTCTCCCTTTCCTTCTCCATCTCATTCGAATGTCTCAACCACTTCAACTCCCTTCTTCCTAGAACACCAGTCCTTGTCTGTCACAGAAACAGCAGTGAGGTTGGAGCTTGGAAGACTTTGCCCTGAGAAGGCAGCTGGTCCAGATGGTGTGTGTCTAAGGCTGCTTAGAGACTGTGCTGCAGAACTGTGTCAACCTCTCCACAGGATCTTCAACCTGAGTCTAGAGCTGGGGCGGGTACCTGTTCTGTGGAAAACATCCTGCATTGTGCGAGTACCAAAAACAAAATGTCCAGCTGAACATCATTGACTACAGACCAGTGGCCCTCACTTGACACATCATGAAAACCCTGGAGCGCCTTCTGAGGTCTGAGGTCAAACACAAACTGGATTCCCTGCAGTTTGCATAAAAAGAACACATTGGAGTGCATGATGCTGTCCTCTACATGCGTCACCGTGCCCTGTCGCATCTGGAGGAACCTGGGGTTTATGTGAGGATCATGTTCTTCGACATTTTTAAGTGCATTCAACACCATCCAACCCACCATACTCAAAGACAAGCTCACAGAGATGGGAGTGGATCCTGCCTGTGTTTCCTGGATCACAGATAACCTGAATGGAAGAACACAGTTTGTCAGGCTGGGGAACTGTGTTTCTGGGACATTAATGAGCAGTACAGGGGCTGCTTACACTGTATACGTCAGACTTCAAATACAGCACGGAGTCCTGCCACATCCAGAAATACTCAGATGGCACCACTATTGTGGCATGTATCAGAAATGGACAAGGCTCCTCTCTCTTCTCTGCAGGAGAGAAAGATTCAGAAGATCTTTTGTACCCACAGCCATCAGACTTTAGATCTCTCGGGTAAATAGTAGATAACTTTTAGAGACATATTATGTGAGACAACAGACAATTGAGTTTCCCTTCGGGGATTAATAAAGTTCTTCATATTCTTATTCCTGTAATGGCTGTGCACAAGCGCCTGCCCTCCCTGGCTAACAGCCAAACTCAAAGCCAAGCCTCACTGCTTCCAGGCTGCATGAAATTCACCCCCTGCCCAGGTACCAGCTGTTTAATGCTGGCTCATGAACCTGAAACGGCCGGCCTTGTTCAGAATGTCGTCTCTCCACCGCCCAGCTGGAGTCAGATCGCTGCTCACCCTGCTTGCTCTCCAGTCCACAACTACAATCACCCCTCTCCAGCATCTCTGATAATTGGAGACTCCATAAGAGGAAAATAAAATCAAAATCGTCCCTAATTTTTTGTTTCGCAGGCACAAAGGTTTTGAATTTGGTCTAATAAACATCCTCATGCCACGAACATCATTATCCATGATGTCACCAATGACACCTCCAAGCATCAGTCTGAGGCACTGCTGCCTCAGACTAAGCGTAATTTTCATTTGTCTTTTTAAAGTTCTTAAAAACTGCAAAAAATCAGTTTTTTATCTCTGATCTGATTCCCTCCCTCAACTGAGGGATAGGTCGTTTTAGCAGGTCTCAGTTCCTGGCTTCAATCAGCATGCTCCCCCAAAGACTTTGTTTTTATTGATAATTCTAACCTATTCTGGCCGCGTGCATTGTCTTTTTTAACAGGGATGGTGTCCACTTCAGCCCTGTTGGTGTCCGTGCTCTAGCTGCAAACATTTTCCATGCCATATCTACCTCCAAACGTGCATGACAAATTATCAATGGAGCACACCTGAACTGAATAAACCCTGTAGCTCTACCTACTGGTGTATGACCCTAACTGTTGCTACTGTGGCCAGACTCTGTCATATTACACCAGTAGAGCAGTGCCTTGTAAACTCCCCCTCATCCCAGATTGAACCATCCCATGTTCAACATTTCACTTTCCGGTAATCATCAGCAGAGTGTGACGTATGCAGAAAACCACCTGTACTCCTACCACTTACTTCAGTAATCTCAGATCTCTTCCTAAAGCTCATTCACCACAACACCAGGCAGTTAACCAGCCTCCACTCACCATATATGGCCCTTTTAAACATCTGCTCTCTGTTGAACAAGTCTTTTATTGTCAATGACCTGATTTTAGATAATAAACTTGACTGCTTATTTTTAACCGAAACATTGCTGGGTGCGAATGCACCAGTTGTTCTCACTTAGGCCTCCCCACATTTCTGTTTGGAGTAGTAGAGGAGGAGGTGGCACAGCAGCTATAACTTCAGTCTGGCCACCAAACCTGTTTTATTTGATTAGTATGCAACTTTTTAGTATAGTGCAATTATTTTTAGCATGGATTTTATTCAACACGTCACACAGCCAACTCACAACACAGGACACACCCTGGACTTGGTTATCACCAATGGCCTGTCCACCAGTGTGTCCTCTGCTGTTGACTTTGCTGTCTCTGACCACTACTGAGTGTTTTTTAACATCACCAGTTTTATCCAGTGGGAGACCTATGAGAACTGTTAGGATGCGCCATCTGACCCCTGAAGTGTCTGCAAATTTTATTGATGTTTTAGAAAAAGATCCTCCAATTGTTTTGCCTGCCCCCTGTGATTTTATTTCTGACAATTTTAACAGTAGACTACAGACAGCCCTCGAACTGGTTCCTCCACTTAAAACAAAAAAATATCCAACCCAAACCCATACTTCCATGGAGAAATGAGAAGCTCAAAAAATTTGAAGAGGCTGTGCAGAACAGCAGAATGTAGGGGGAGGAAAAACAAAACAACAATAAATAATCAATTATTCAGTCACCAGCAAAAAATAAACAATGATGCCATAAGAAATGCAAGAAACAATAACTTCCTGATTTAGTAAGCGTCATTCAATTCCACTGACTCCCTCTGTGAGGAATTTACAGACCACCTATTGGGGAAGATGAACATAATCAGATGTAACATTTTATCAAGGTAAACTACTGTTTTTAACCTGTCTGAGTGTTTGTCTTTACCTGAGGAAACACTGGACAGTTTTGTCCTGGTTAATGCTGAGATGCTGGATAAAGTTTTCTTCTCAGCCCACCACATGTGTTTGAGATCCTATCTCTACCTCATTTTTAAGTCTTTATATGAGTCTTTTAGAGACAAGCATTTAAACATGATGAATTGTTCTCTTCAGATGGGTCTTTCCCATTGCCTTTAAATTGGCAGTGGTGAGGCTCTTGCTGAAGATCAGCAATTTTAACAACCTTGAACAATTATGGACTAGTGTCGAACTTACCTTATGTAAGTAAAATTTTTGAAAAACTTGTTTTTATCCAACTTAAAGAATTTTCAGACAATCATAATACCCTTGAAAAGTTTTAGTCTGGTTTTAGGGTGAACCACAGCATCGAGACCTTCAGTACAGTAGACCACACACTTTTAACTAGCCTAAAACACCTTGGCCTCTCTGTGGTCTGTTCACAGATGGTTCATCTGCTACCTCACAGACAGGACATTCATGGTAAGTGTAGACACGTGCTCCTCCAAAGTCCATAAAATCACTGTCTGTTGTGAGGGAACAGATCATCAAAGAAGCCCATAAAAGTGATTTCTGTCAATCCAGGTAGATGAGAAAATGGACATTAGCACCCAAAACCAACTTCTATTTGTGCTTCTCTGCATTGATGGCAGAAACTTACCGTTTCTAATATCAGGAGCAGGGACATAATGTTAGTGAAAGCTAACAAAGTCAAAGTAAAAATATTTACGACAAGGCTATTTTATGGCCTGCCAACATTAAAAAAAACAGCCAATATCACTGTAAATATAAGTCTGACAGCTCGTTGGCTAGGTCTTTACAGAGATGGCTCAGACCAGTAGCCTCAGCAGCTCAGACTGCACCGATTACCTGAACAAACTTGCCCTCAGCACTGCTGAGAAATTACCAGACCCATATAATATTCCAAGTGAGGAATGGATTGCAGATATGTCCAAATGGCCTGCTATAGTATGGCTTGACATATATAATTATCTAATTGAGAAGCCTAGTGTGTGCACAAAGGACAGTTTACACATGTACAATTATGTACTTTGTAGCCTTGTCCAAAATTTTTAATGTTATGACACAAGTTCATGGTTTTGCGCTTTAAGAGCAGGTGTCCTGCTCAGCCAGAAGCAGGGAGTAAAGGCAAAACCTTATGATGCCTGCACCTTCAGGACCCCAATCCGCTCTTTTAATGGCCAGGAGCCACAATTTTCTTCTTCGCTTGGCAAAAGGATGAGAACCCCTCAGGATGTTAAACAGTTTCTATCCATCCTTTTGCTGATTCGTGCAGTTTACAGCACAACAGCTCCTTGGCATTTTCTTTCTTGGTTGACTCCGCTAATAAACAAATGAGAAATGTCCCGCTTTCTGCCCCCTGGCTGCACGTGCATACCTGCGAGGATGTTGCACAAAACTCGTCTATACTAGTCCTTAAAACATTAGACACACCCAACATTTAATAGTGCCTTGTTTTTCCTAAATATTTGAATATTTTGAAATAGAAAAGCAGTGTTGGTGTGTGGTGGTGCGCGATTTGGGCAAGTGTGTGGGGGGTTGTGTTTTGATTGACTTAGAGAGTGTGCGGTTGGGGGGTGGGGGGGTGATTAATCTGCTGTGTAATTGCAGACAACAACTTGATAATGCTAGTACTTGGCGCATGTGCAGTGCCCTTGTGTGACACATTTACTGATACATACTGAGTCAGAGATAGTGCCACATAAAAACCCAAATTTTTATGGTGTGGCGGCTTTTATTTTGGCGTGGTGGTGTGCCACAATCAAAAAATGTAGGGGAAACCCTGGAATAGGAAATTCAGACCCATCATCACTACCATCGTGTAGATGTGGGGAAAAAAATAAGAACAGGCATTTTCAGTGATGTTTAGTTGCCTTTGTTTTTATTATGATCCCCTGTTTACATATTTCACTTTCATTTACTATGAACAGCTGCCATCTAGTGGCCATTAATATCTATAAAACATTGATTGGTTTCTTCTTTGTCACAACAGATATATAAAGTAGTCTCTCTCTCTCTCTATCTCTCTCTCTCTCTCTCTCTCTCTCTCTCTCTCTCTCTCTCTCTCTCTCTCTCTCTCTCTCTCTCTGTCTATTTGTTTAGGTTTGTGATACCATCATGGGAAACTCAAAGAATCATTTTGCTTTCACAGATTATCTTATCAGTGCCACCTTGTTGCAGGCCAACAGGTTTGGGGAGTACCACAGCTCATTCCCTGAAGCTGCACTGATCTCCACTTAGAAGGCATATCCAAATCTGAATGGAAGTAAGCTGAGAATGAAGCCAAGTCTGATGTACAGCATGAATCAATTAAAGTCCTATTAGGGTGCTGTGGGCCTTTTTAAGTTATTTGTGGATAATCATGTGACAAGGCATTTTCAGATACTGTTACACTGCTTAAAATCCATCCAGTTCATTAGACATTATCCCAAGTCATCTTTGTAAAGAAGTAATTGTCTCCATTTGCCTGTCCCAACTTTCCATAATCAATTCTTCTTTAACAACCTGCTTTGTCCCATCCTATTTTAAACATGCAGCTGTTCAGCCACTTCTGAAAAAGTCAAATCTGGACCCCTCACAACCTGAAAACTACAGACCTATGTATATTTCTATTCTAGGTTGCCTTTTATTTCTAAGGTCTTAGAAAAAGTGATGGCTCAGCAGCTCACATTTGTTCTCGTCGAACATGATGCTTTGGACAAATTCCAACATGGCTTCCATCAGAAGTATTCAACAGAGACTGCTTTTCTCAGGGTAACAAATGATCTGTTGATGAAGGCTGATACTGGGGAGTGTTCAGTGCTGGTCTCACAGGATCTCAGCACAGCCTTTGATACTGTAGGATGTGTGTTAATCCAGTGGCTCAGGCAGTGAGTGGGTGTCTGTGGAACAGCATTAGACTGGTTTTCCTCCTACTTGTCTGGTAGATCTTTTTCAGTTGCATCTGGTAAATATGTCTCTGCAATTAGGACCCTGTCTTGTGGAGTCCCTCAGGGTTGTGTCCTGGGGCCACTGTTGTTTTCTCTTTACATAATTCCACTGAGTTATCTTAGAAAGAATTTTGAAGGTGTATCTTATCATTTATATGCAGATGACATTCAGCTGTACATGTCCTTTAAACCTAATAATGTCTCCAAGCTGTCCATTTTAACTGATTGTGTGAACTTAAGGTATGGATGGCAGATAACTTTCTCCAGTTAAATGCTGACAAAATAGAGGTTATTGTCTCAGCACCTGAGCATGTTGTGCCAAATGTGATGAAAAGTCTTAATGTCCTATCCTCTGCTGTTAAACCCTCACTCTGAAACCTGGGTGTCCAAATGGTACAGGCCCAAAGTCTGGAGAAGAATGTAAATAGAATGGTTCACTCATCTTTTTATCATTTGAGAAATATATCCAAGCTCTGACCCATAGTATACAGTCTGAGTCTTGTCTGGATTACTGTCATTCTTTGTTCACCTGTTTAAATACCACTTCTTTGGACTGCCTGCAAGTGGTTCAAAATGCTGCCGCTAAATTCCTGACAAGATCTTTCAAATGGTCTCATGCCACACCCATCCTCAAAAGTCTTTACACTGGCTTCCTATTCAATTCAGAATCCAATTTGAATTACTTATTTTTGTGTACAGAGCTTTGCACAGACAAGTCCCAGTGTATACCAGAGACCTGCTGAAGCCATAGTACTCCAGCAGGACTCTTGAGATCCTCTGATCAGGGTTTGCTGGTTGTCCCTCAGACCAGGCTCTGAACTAAAGGAGACTGTGCATTTGAGTAGTTTGCTCTGGGACTTCTGAACTTTCTTCCTCATGAACTAAGAACTGTGAACGCTGTGGATACCGTCAAAAGGCGGTTGAAAACCCATTTGTTTCAACTTGCTTGTATGACCAGGACTTTGGCTGCTAGTATGCTATTTATGTCTTGTCATCTTATCTGTTTTAATCGATGACTGTGAAGCACTTGGTGACAACAGTTCTTAAACAGTACTATACAAATGAAGTTTATTATTATTAAGTTTATTATAAAAATTATAACCATCGCACCCATGTCCACTGAGAGGCTGACCCCCAATTTCCACCGCTTCCAAGAACGGCTGTGAAAGAAGTTTATGTGCCGATCGCAACTGATCGTTTCCATTCAAGTTAATGTGTCAATTTCCACCGGCTTCTTTCCCTTCCACTGTGGTTCAGCAGACTCCGTAGCTGTAGCCAGTAGCCAGTGTTCTATTTTTTCCGGACACTGCAGCATGCCGCATAAATTCAGCACAGATTAGCCTGTGTTGGAAAGGAAGTCGGGCACACACACAAAATAAAACATCAGGCTTCTTTTCAAAATAAAACATTATGTTTCAGGCAGATCGTATTTCACACCGTGCAAACTGGCTGGGACAAACAAGTGAAAGGTTTACAGTCAGCATTTCACCTTGTTGACACCATGGATGAGGAGATGCTGATTCTAGAAGTCTAGAAGTGGATTTCCTCCTCTGGAAGGACACAATCTACTGCTCATATGGTTTTGTGGCTGTCTTTATAGAGACAACTCGTTATTGTGTAATTGCATGTGGATCCACGGGTTCTTGTGAGTTCGAGCGATTGCTGCTGTACGAAATCCGCCACAAAATTCGCCCCACAAACGCATCCAGTAGGAATTGGCAGATGGTGAAAATTGCTGCCATTCTGGATGTGGTGAAAATTGGGGGTGAGAGGTGTTTTTCGACACTTAAGAGGGTCAAAACCTTTCTCAGGAACACCATGACTAAGGACAGGCTGAATGCCTTAGCCACCCTATCCACGGAGTAAAGGCTTGTGACTGAGATGATAAACTTTAATCAGAAATTTGCAAGCCTGAAGGACAGGAGAGCTAATTTTCTTTACACATTGTGGACACTGCTGTCTGTTCTCTCTCTTGATTGTATTATTGTAAGAAGTTCCAGAATATCCAATGTCTCTCTTGACTGTATTGATAGTTCAGCAATATCTAATGTATGTCTTTGTATTTAAATTTCACTGGCATTAGGATGTAACATGTAGTCTATTTTCATTAAAGTAGCCTACTTTTTAAATCTATTCTGCCCTGAAACACTTCATTTTAGATCAACAGTATCCAAGGTTTCTTTCTAGTTATATTGATGTCTTAATAATGGTGCAGTCTAACTGGTTTTGTTCTGATGGTGAGGTGCTATTTCACCCATCATGTGCAACTGCCCCTATAATAATAATAATAATAATAATAATAATAATAATAATAATAATAATAATGCATTTTATTTAAGAATAAGAATAACTTTATTTATCCCTAAAGGAAAATTCAATTGTCAAAACGTCACCTACTATTTATAGAAGAATTGTAAAGTCTGGTGTCTGTTGGTACAAAAGATCTGAATCTTTCTGTCCTGCAGCGCAGAGGGAGGAGCCGTCCACCACCATTGGTCCTTTGGTCCATCAAGGTGTTATGAAGTGGGTGATCTATACTCTTTAGAATAGTCTCCACCTTCCTTAGTGTAGATCTCTCCACCACATCCTCCAGTGAGTCGAACTTGAATCCTACCACAGAGCCAGCCTTTTTCACCAGTTTGTTCAGATGTCTTGCATCTTTGTGTTTGATGCTTCCTCCCCAGCAGACTGCAGCGTAGAACAGAACACTTGCCACCACAGACTGATAAAACATCTGCAGCATCTTACTACAGATGTCTATTGATTGTAGTCTTCTCAGGCAAAAGAGGCAGCTCTGCCCCTTTTTGTAGATTAAGTCTATATTCTCAGACCAGTCCAACTTATTATACAGGCGTACGCCTAGGTATTTATTTGATGTCATCACTTCGATGTTGACTCCGCAGGTGTTCACTGGCTGAAGACGGGGTTTGGATTTGCAGAAGTCTATAATCATCTCCTTTGTCTTTGAGGTGTTGAGGAGGAGGCAGTTTTTGTGACTCCAGTCACTGAAGGCTCCTATCAGATCTCTGTATTCAGCTTCATGTTCATTTCTGATACATGCTACAATAGCGGTGCCATCTGAGTATTTCTGGATGTGGCAGGACTCCGTGCTGTATTTGAGTCTGATGTATACATTGTGAACAGCACTGGAGCCAGGACTTGTGGAGCCCCTGTACTGCTCATTTATGTCCCAGAAACACAGGCTGTGTCTCAATTCAGGGACTGCATATGGCCAAGCGCCCTCAAGCACACTTAGCTGAGCGCACTACCGTTATGTCGACTTGAAGACCCTGGGTGAGATAGTCCGGTTTTTGTGAATTGGGACGGTCTACCCTTCGGAGGACTTACTGGTTGAGTCGCCAAATGTCCCCGCCCTCAGGCTCGCATCACGACTGACTTGAAGAAAAGCCACAGAGCGCAGCAGTTATTTTTTAATTGTGCGACCTTGGACAGACACAAAACAATAGATACAAGCACATATCATTTCCACAAAATTCATCCAATGATTGCATGTTTTGTATGAAGGAGAATGAGGGCCATATTGAGAATTTTTTAAAAGACTTTGAGATTAAAGTCGAGAATTTACAAGAATAAAGTCATTAATTTATGAGAATAAAGTCTTAGGGTTACCTGTTATTTCAAAGGAGAATTGTTAAAATTAGGGCCATGAAGCATTTGAAGGAACTGTGCTTCAATATAGGTTTCACAAACAAGGAGATACTTCATCCTTTGGCACATCAGCATTACATTGTCATAAGTACAAGGACTTAAAAAAGAATATATGAGAAATGCGTCTTTTCCACACAAAAAAAAGGTGGACTTGCTGCTTTTGTGGAGGCAAAAATGGATATGCTGTGGATAAATCCGTCAATGCAGCCGTAATTAGCCGTTAAAACATACACTCACCGGCCACTTTATTAGGTACACCTGTCCAACTGCTCGTTAACACTTAATTTCTAATCAGCCAATCACATGGCGGCAACTTAGTGCATTTAGGCATGTAGACATGGTCAAGACAATCTCCTGCAGTTCAAACCGAGCATCAGTATGGGGAAGAAAGGTGATTTGAGTGACTTTGAACGTGGCATGGTTGTTGGTGCCAGAAGGGCTGGTCGGAGTATTTCAGAAACTGCTGATCTACTGGGATTTTCACGCACAACCATCTCTAGGGTTTACAGAGACTGGTCCGAAAAAGAAAAAATATCCAGTGAGCGGCAGTTCTGTGGGCGGAAATGCCTTGTTGATGCCAGAGGTCAGAGGAGAATGGCCAGACTGGTTCGAGCTGATAGAAAGGCAACAGTGACTCAAATAACCACCCGTTACAACCAAGGTAGGCAGAAGAGCATCTCTGAACGCACAGTACGTCGAACTTTGAGGCAGATGGGCTACAGCAGCAGAAGACCACGCCGGGTGCCACTCCTTTCAGCTAAGAACAGGAAACTTAGGCTACAATTTGCACAAGCTCATCGAAATTGGACAATAGAAGATTGGAAAAACGTTGCCTGGTCTGATGAGTCTTGATTTCTGCTGCGACATTCGGATGGTAAGGTCAAAATTTGGCGTCAACAACATGAAAGCATGGATCCATCCTGCCTTGTATCAACGGTTCAGGCTGGTGGTGGTGGTGTCATGGTGTGGGGAATATTTTCTTGGCACTCTTTGGGCCCCTTGGTACCAATTGAGCATCGTTGCAACGCCACAGCCTACCTGAGTATTGTTGCTGACCATGTCCATCCCTTTATGACCACAATGTACCCAACTTCTGATGGCTACTTTCAGCAGGATAATGCGCCATGTCATAAAGCTGGAATCATCTCAGACTGGTTTCTTGAACATGACAATGAGTTCACTGTACTCAAATGGCCTCCACAGTCACCAGATCTCAATCCAATAGAGCATCTTTGGGATGTGGTGGAACGGGAGATTCGCATCATGGATGTGCAGCCGACAAATCTGCGGCAACTGTGTGATGCCATCATGTCAATATGGACCAAGCTCTCTGAGGAATGCTTCCAGCACCTTGTTGAATCTATGCCACGAAGAATTGAGGCAGTTCTGAAGGCAAAAGGGGGTCCAACCCGTTACTAGCATGGTGTACCTCATAAAGTGGCCGGTGAGTGTATAGCTTTAGTTTATGATAGTTTATCCATATACCATAATAAGGTGTTGGTGTCTCTGCAGGTGTAGGTTACCGCTGGTGTCAGAGATGTTGTGCTCGTCGGAGCTCAACTTCTTCTGGATCACAAATGTTGATCATCACGACTTTATTCTCCTAAATTTACAACATTAAACTCTTCAAAAAAAAAAAAAAAGATGTGGCCCTGATACTCTGTTGTTTTGGCAGCCGTCTTATTTCTAATGTTTTTGATCATTTGAGCAGATCAGTTCTTTTCTAAAGAGTATAATGTTTGGTTTGCAGATTTAGGTGAGTTCAGAAATCATGCGCTCATGCAGCCTGAGCTGACTGTCTGCTGTTTTTGTATTTCTTTTATTATCTTTGAAGACGCGCTGCGTCTCCATGCGAGTCTGGCCTCTCACCCGAAATGCGCAGCTGTGCAGCGGCATGCAAAGAATTCTGGGATACCAAGGCCACCCCGCCCCTTTTTAAGGCCTTGAAAAAGGGGTGGGGGTAGGGTGGTTTTGGGTCCGCATTTGAAGCGCGCTCAGAATTAGCCAAATGGGACACTGTTAGCGCCACATGATGACGTCACGCACACTTGAAATGCGTCGTTCGACGGTGCAGTCTCTGAATTGAGACAGCCACAGTTTCCTAGCCTGACAAACTGTGTTCTATTTCATCCCTTCTGACCGCCAGAGGCGGTGCTTTAAGCACTGAATGATTCCCCTCGCGCATGTGCAGTTCGAGCATTTGTACCAAAATAGTCACGTGTGACCCCGGGATGAACCAGAAGAGGTTATTTCTTCCGCTGGTCACCAAGGGTCCCTTTTTCTTTCTCGTGCGCAGTTTGCAAACTTGCGATGAGTGGCATTTTTCTAACAAACCTACCTTAATCTGTGTGTGAAGTCGCTCGTAGTCCCGTGGCCATAGGTTGGGGTAGCGAAAATCGCCTTCCAAGGACTGTGACTTCCTTTGAGTTGTTTCTTTATCTCTACTGTTTATCTCCGACTGAGCGGACCTTCACCAACTTCGTCAAATGCTGTGGCGTTCGCCCGGTAAGGAAGGGTCATCGTCCCCCTCTCCTCCGGACAAGGTAGGTTGCTGTTGCAATAAGCTTGTTGAGCGGACTTGCGTTGTTTTACAAATCACAACCTATGCTGGTAGAGGCCGTATGCGCACCGCCTCCCCCCTGCATATGGTTGCGTACCGTTAACGTAAGCATAACACTTCGGTTACTTGCTGTAGCTAAAGGTCTGCTCATTTCGTTCTTTTTGTTGTCAAAAGAAAAAACCAAGGCCAAAGCTAGTTCTCCTCGTGCTGGTACGCGTTGTCCCCATCCGGCGTCAGCCGACGCTATCGTTTGTTTTAGTCGGAAACTGTCACCTTCTGTGACGCAGCACTAGAGGCATTTGGCCTTATGTCGCGAGAGCTTGGAAGGACAATGTCCTACCTGGTACAGGCTCGACGCCAGATCTGGCTCTCCCAGTCGGGCTTGACTGAGGCATCCAGGAAAACGCTCTGAGCTCTCCCTGTCGAGCCAGGAGCTGTTTTTGGCCCATGTGCTCAAGAGGCGCTGGAGCAAACGATCCAGGCTGGGCAGACCAGGCAGCAGCTGCTGAGCATGCGCTGCATGCCACCCCCCAGCCGCCTCTGGAGTCCGGCTCCCACTAGCTCTGAGTAGGGGTCAGCGACCTCAGCGGCCTACGCAGAGGCAGACCCGGGACTCTCAGGTCTCCGGCCGCCTGCCTTCTAGGCAGTTACAAGCCCCGGACCCTGGTGGACCCTCCCACCCCCTGGGCCCCTAGGGGCCGGGAGGCAGACGCTGAGCCCGGGGGGGCGGCCGTCAGATACTTTACACAGCAGCAGCTCAGACGCTGGGCTGCTCAAGCTTCAGACCAAGCTGCAGTTCCGACGCCGGCCCCCCACAGCCAGCCGGGTCAAGATTACCATCATTGCCTACCCAGCAAAAGCCCTCGCTCTTGACCAGGAGCTATCCGCCCTCCTGGCCAAGGGTGCCATCGAGGCAGTGGACCCGCTGCTGCATCCCACGGGGTTCTACTCTGCATACTTCCTTGTCATGAAAAAGACCCACTGCCGCTCCTCACCTCTGTTGTGGCCGTCGTGCCGCTGGGCCTCCTGGCGCCACGGCCCCTGCAAAGGTGGCTGAACAGTTTCCACCTAGACCCAGAACGACACAGGCACAGGAAGATTGTCGTGTCACTGCCCGGTGCCCGCAATCCTGGAGTTCCTGCAAGGTCTCCTCGATAAGGGCCGGACCCCTTCTACGTTAAGAGTGTACGTGGCAGCAATATCCCCCCAGCACACTGGGGTCAATAACTGCACAGTGGGGAGCCACCGTCTGGTGTCCCTCTTTCTCAGGGGGGCTCAGAGATTAAATCCTCCGGGAGCCCCAAGAGCACCAGCATGGGACCTCAATCTTGTACTGGACTCCCTATGCAAGGCTCCTTTTGAGCCCTTGTCACGCACGGAATTGAAGTGGTTGTCCTGCAAGACAGCCTTTCTCATAGCCATCACCTCGGCAAATCGCGTCCGTGAGTTGCATGCCCTGTCAATGAGCGATTTGTGTCTGAGGTGGAACCCAGACGGATCAGGTGTCACTCTGTGGCCCAACACGGCCTTCCTACCAAAGGTACTGTTGACGGCACACCTGAACCAGCCTATTAGGCTGGCCCAGTTTAGCCCTCCACCGGAAGAGAGGACAGACAAGCTGGAGCTGTTGTGCCCAGTGTGGGCCCTCAGGGCCTATATCGGAGCCACTGCACGTATTCGCCGGTTGGATCAGCTATTCATATGTTATGGTGGCCCAAATAAAGGCAGCGTTCTTTCAAAGCAGCGCCTGTCCCACTGGGTCGTAGACACGATCAGCCACGCCTATTAGGCTAGTAACCATCCCACGCCATCCAGGATGCCACTCAACGTGTGTCTCCACTTCATGGGCTGCCCTTAGAGGAGTTCCCCTCGAGGAGATCTGCTCCGCTGCCTCGTGGGCGTCATCAGGCACCTTCTCAAGATTCTATAGGGTGAACGTGGCCACTCCCCACCCATTGGGTGTGGTTCTGCTGCCAGAGTCCTCCGATTCTGCCCTCTGAGGTTTGTAATTGGGGTTCCTCGTGACTTTGCTGGTGTAAGTCATTCAGTGCTTAAAGCACCGCCTCTGGCCGTCAGAAGGGATGAAATACAACGAAAGTTACATATGTAACCAAGGTTCTATGAATCCAGAATGACCGCCAGAGCGCTCCGTCACTCAGAACCCTCGTGTTCTCACGAGAAAGTTCTGTAGGAACTGAACCCTTGGTGACCAGCGGAAGAAATAACCTCTTCCGGTTCATCCCAGGGTCATGTGTGACTATTTTGGTACAAATGCTCGAACTGCGCATGCGCGAAGGGAATCATTCAGTGCTTTAAGCACCGCCTCTGGCGGTCTTTCGGGATTCATAGAACCTTAGTTACATACGTAACTTTCGTTCTTCCATTCAGGTTATCTGTGATCCAGGAAACACAGGCAGGATCCACTCCCATCTCTGTGAGCTTGTCTTTGAGTATGGTAGGTTGGATGGTGTTGAATGCACTTGAAAAATGTTGAAGAACATGATCCTCACATAAACCCCAGGTTCCTCCAGATGTGACAGGGCATGGTGACGCATGTAGAGGACAGCATCATGCACTACAATGTGTTCTTTTTATGCAAACTGCAGGGAATCCGGTTTGTGTTTGACCTCAGACCTCAGAAGGCGCTCCAGGGTTTTCATGATGTGTCAAGTGAGGGCCACTGGTCTGTAGTCAATGATGTTCAGCTGGACATTTTGTTTTTGGTACTCGCACAATGCAGGATGTTTTCCACAGAACAGGTACCCGCCCCAGCTCTAGACTCAGGTTGAAGATCCTGTGGAGAGGTTGACACAGTTCTGCAGCACAGTCTCTAAGCAGCCTTAGACACACACCATCTGGACCAGCTGCCTTCTCAGGGCAAAGTCTTCCAAGCTCCAACCTCACTGCTGTTTCTGTGACAGACAAGGACTGGTGTTCTAGGAAGGAGGTAGTTGAAGCGGTTGAGACATTCGAATGAGATGGAGAAGGAAGGGGAGAAGTTGTAGTGGAGATTTGTTGCGGAGAGGAAGGTGGAGTAGCAGTGGAAGTGGGTGTGACAGCAGTGTCAAATCTGTTGAAGAACAGGTTGAGTTCATCGGCTCTTTCCACATCACCCACCACTGGCTGTCTTTTCTTTTTATTGCTGTGTCCAGAGATGGTACTGATTCCTCTCCACACCACAGATGTTGCTGTGTTGTAGATTCTTCTCTATCTTCTTTTTGTACTCAAGCTTTGCCATCTTCAGTCTCCTCTTCAAATCTTGTTGCACTTGTTTGAGTCGTTCTTTGTCACCATCTCTTAAAGCTCTATTTTTCTGGTTAAGGATTGCTTTTATGTCACTTGTCACCCAGGGTTTGTTGTTGGGGAAACAACGAACAGTCTTTGGGGGTATAACTGTGTCTCTACAGAAGTTGACATAGTCAGTAAAGCAGTCAACCTGTTTGTCAGTGTTCATACTATCCACATCTGTTTCCAGCAGCACATTCCAGTCTGTTGATTTAAAACAGTCCCTTAGAGCTTCACTAGCTTAAGGTGTCCATCTTCTGATTTTGACTTTGGTCACAGGCTGCCTCAGTACACAAGGTTTGTAACAGGTTTGCAGATAGACCAAGTTATGATCTGACTTGCCCAGTGGTGGTAAGGCAGTGGCTCTGTAGGCTTCTTTGACGTTGGCATACAGCAGATCCAGGGTTTTGTTTTCTCTGGTAGGACAGTTCACAAACTGTGTGAATCCATTCAGGTAAGAGGAGAGGATGACATGGTTGAAGTCTCCTGATATTATTGTTAGTGCCTCCAGGTGTTAAGTCTGGAGCTTGGCAACACTATTATGCAAAGATCGCATGGAATTTCTTCAGTTGATTTGGGTGGGATGTAAACAACTATTGTTATGATATGACTGAATTCTCTTGGAACATAATATGACCGAAGAACAACTGCCAACAGTTCAATATCTGAACAACACAACTTCTCCTTGACAGTTATGTGTGAAGGGTTACACCATCTCTGGTTGACAAATAAAGCCAGGCCTCCTCCTTTCTTCTAACTTGAGCACCTCTGTCTGACCTTATGAGAGTGAAGCCAGGTAGATTCACACTGGAGTCTGAGTTGTTTTGATTCAACTCGGTTTCAGTAAAAACACAGGAGACTGCACTCAAGGTATTCTTTCTCAGTCTTCACTAATATCCCCAGCTCATCGCTTTGGTTGGATAGAGAGTTGATGTTTCCTATGAAGATTGATAGAAGAAAGAGTTTATATCCCTTCCTCCTAGCATTCAGCTTTGCCTAGACCTTTCCACCTGTACGGCAACCAAGGTAACACCTCCTGATGTCCTTTGGGATTGGATGTTGTTGTTCAGCTTTGTCTCAATGAAAGGAGCTCTTCTCTCGAGTAAACTGTGAGAGCTTTTTCTGCTGGATGGAATGACGGTCTACATCAGACAGACTTTAAACAGCTCATTTAAGGTCAAATGAAAACTTTTTTTCAAACTATTATTCAAACTTTGGATAAAAATGTGACAGCCGTATAGTTTATACTTTAGTCAGGGGTTCTCACTGGCACCAGCCATAAGCCAAACATCTGATTAGACATTTAAGTAATTTTCAATTATTTGTCACTATCAATTGATCAGTTCTTCAAAGTTCAGTTGAATGCAGAAATTAAAATAAGAATATCCAATTGAATCAGCCCCTGATCTAAATTCTTTACTGATTAAGATATCCAAATATATATAATCTTAATTTTATTATACTATCAGATATTCAAGTTCTGTGATTTCTGCTGTTAGTGTCTTAACCTCATGATGCTCACAGTCCATTAAACAGGACTACTTACACACTGTCTAAGCAGACTGTCCTGTCTGAGACAAACACATTCCATCTCTGCCCAAATCTGACATGTTTGAATTTTAATTGGCCAGAGTCAAGTTAATTAGCAAAAATCTGCCTTAATAAAGAGGCTTATCCTTAGTTGCCTTGGAGAGGAAGGCTGGTTTTGTGTTCTCTGACATCTGTGTGTTTGTTGAACTACTCCGTTGTGGCTGTGTGTATTTGATAGACCACAGATTACTCTATACATAATTCATCTTTTGCCTATATGATGTCCTGAGAGGTAGTATCGTAGGCTGTGTCTGAAATGGCATACTACTCCTACTACTCCTACTAACCCCGCCTCTTAATTGAGTAGGCAGTGCGTTCACACTGTACAGTATGCGAATTTTGTGTATGCGAGAAATGCCCGGATGTATACTCAATCGGCTTGGATTTCTGAGTGTGGAATGGAGCTTGCTTCACGTACTGCTTCTGCCCCACAATGCATTGCGCACCTCAGCTGGTAATATGGCCCTCTTTCCCGAGGCTGAAAAGAAATAGATGGCATGTGATTGCAATAATAATTATATATATATGAATAGATAAACAATATTTAGTCAGTATACATTACACAATTTTTATCATTTGATCATATTTTGATCTTTTTACCAGATTTATTTGTATTTTAAATTAGGATTATAGGTAATGTTTTTAACTATTCGTATGAATTGACTTTATTTATTTAAGTGTCTATTAAAGATGTATTCATTACATCAAGTTTGAGCATCTTCTCATCTCTGAATGCATCATCAAAGTGGTCACTCATATTAAGAACAGACCTCTGATTAATAAAAATTATTATTGGTAGAGAGCACATGGTTCAGAATATACAAACAGGGGAGTTTCCAGTTGACAATGTATGTGAGCTTTACTAATTCTTACTTGTGGTTGAAAATCTGATGGTTTCTGAAATTATCATTGTACATGAAAGAATGTAGTCGGGAAATGATGTATTTGCCAAGGAATAACCGAACAAGGTCATAATATTTATGTTGTGTGTTGGTCATTTTGCAGCCCTCTGCTGCTCATCACACGCCTAGCAGGTGGTGTATAGCATTATCACCATGGATACACAGATGTTTGTGTGATTTTTTTCATCCACTGCCGCCTGGTTTGTGTCGTGTAGATGGTGATTATGAAAACACTTCGCAATAATTTGGAAACGTGAAGGGGGAGCTGCTGCTGCCCGGTGTTTACGGTAAATAGACGCAAACACCCACCAAGCGGACGCTTCGGTCTCGCTTCGAGACAAATTTACAAACAGCCACTATTTCAAACAACTGGGCTCATATTCGTGATGTAAACACTTACTTTCTCGCTAGAAAAAATCTTATTATTGAATGAATTTATATAATTTGTCCGGAATGCAGTCGTTCTGTGTAGCTTGTGGTAGGACTATTTAAATTTTCCCAGCGCTGCGTCCGGCCGGCACGAAATGCATTCTGGGGTATTTAGTATGCATCTGTATGTAAACGCTCGGGCAGCCGCGGCATACTCAGATCATCTTTGAGTAGTCAGTATGCAGTAGGTACTGCTTGAGTAGGTAAGTAGATAGTAGGCAGTATGCCATTTCGGACACAGCCATAGAGGGGAGATACACTCACCGGCCACTTTATGAGGTACACCATGCTAGTAACGGGTTGGACCCCCTTTTGCCTTCAGAACTGCCTCAATTCTTCGTGGCATAGATTCAACAAGGTGCTGGAAGCATTCCTCAGAGAGCTTGGTCCATATTGACATGATGGCATCACACAGTTGCCGCAGATTTGTCGGCTGCACATCCATGATGCGAATCTCCCGTTCCACCACATCCCAAAGATGCTCTATTGGATTGAGATCTGGTGACTGTGGAGGCCATTTGAGTACAGTGAACTCATTGTCATGTTCAAGAAACCAGTCTGAGATGATTCCAGCTTTATGACATGGCGCATTATCCTGCTGAAAGTAGCCATCAGAAGTTGGGTACATTGTGGTCATAAAGGGATGGACATGGTCAGCAACAATACTCAGGTAGGCTGTGGCGTTGCAACGATGCTCAATTGGTACCAAGGGGCCCAAAGAGTGCCAAGAAAATATTCCCCACACCATGACACCACCACCACCAGCCTGAACCGTTGATACAAGGCAGGATGGATCCATGCTTTCATGTTGTTGACGCCAAATTTTGACCCTTACCATCCGAATGTCGCAGCAGAAATCGAGACTCATCAGACCAGGCAACGTTTTTCCAATCTTCTATTGTCCAATTTCGATGAGCTTGTGCAAATTGTAGCCTCAGTTTCCTGTTCTTAGCTGAAAGGAGTGGCACCCGGCGTGGTCTTCTGCTGCTGTAGCCCATCTGCCTCAAAGTTCGACGTACTGTGCGTTCAGAGATGCTCTTCTGCCTACCTTGGTTGTAACGGGTGGTTATTTGAGTCACTGTTGCCTTTCTATCAGCTCGAACCAGTCTGGCCATTCTCCTCTGACCTCTGGCATCAACAAGGCATTTCCGCCCACAGAACTGCCGCTCACTGGATATTTTTTCTTTTTCGGACCATTCTCTGTAAACCCTAGAGATGGTTGTGCGTGAAAATCCCAGTAGATCAGCAGTTTCTGAAATACTCCGACCAGCCCTTCTGGCACCAACAACCGTGCCACGTTCAAAGTCACTCAAATCACCTTTCTTCCCCATACTGATGCTCGGTTTGAACTGCAGGAGATTGTCTTGACCATGTCTACATGCCTAAATGCACTAAGTTGCCGCCATGTGATTGGCTGATTAGAAATTAAGTGTTAACGAGCAGTTGGACAGGTGTACCTAATAAAGTGGCCGGTGAGTGTATGTTTTAACGGCTAATTACGGCTGCATTGACGGATTTATCCACAGCATATCCATTTTTGCCTCCACAAAAGCAGCAAGTCCACCTTTTTTTTTGTGTGGAAAAGACGCAACATCTCTGTCTTCTTCCCCTGCACCCACACCTCCTGAAACTCAAGGTGAAAAGCTCCCTACCTCTCAAGACATCACACCTATTATAATCATAAAGTCTCCCTTCCTTCCTGATCATCATCCTCTATCAAGGTGTCAGGTTCAAGTTTGAACGCTGCTGTCTGTATCAGTGATTGTGGTGTGTCATGTTGGAGTGTCAATTCATCAATCAAACTTTGTACAGTGCCATTTCTCAACAAGAGTTATTCCAAGACTCTTAACAAAAAAGACCAGACTCCCTTTACAGAGACCTGGGGCCTTATGTATCAATGCTGGCGGCGCCAGAAAACCTTGCGTACGCCAAAATCGGCGCACACGTCCAGATTTATCATCGCGAAACGAGCGTCGGTTCCAGCGCTAATCAACGCAAAGTGAGGAGGTGGTGTAGAAGTTGGCGTTGAGCCGATACTTGCGTTGACGGCACTTTGGCGACGCTGTGTGGCGGTGTTTGGTGACTCACTATGTGACAAGCGTGCACCACATCCCTGTGGCCGAGCAGCACGTCACCCCACATGACGAACCAGCAGCAGACGGAGGGATGCGAGCTGATCCCTGCCGGGCCACCGTCCTCACGCGGGAGAATCTCATCGCCACAGTGTGAATGGGTAAGAAGTGAATACACAGTTCAATGAGCCAAATTAATTTATTTTCGCCACCAGACGCTCGAGGACATTTACAAGCCGGTCCAGCCGCTCGTTGATCCCCGCGATCCCCCAGATGATTTCTTCCTGCAATTGCAGGACCGCCTCCGTGAGGACCCTTCCACTGTGTCCGGGTGGTCCAGCGGAAGCGCCGCGGCTGGTGGACGCTCCACCGCTTGTCGGCGCGCTGGTGCTGATGCTGATGCTGATGCTGGTGCTGGGGCCGGGGTGGCCCGAATGCCGCTGGTCCTGGCTGACGACTCCGAGCCGGCGGACGGGCTGCCGGGGGCCGGGGTTCCGCAAGCCGGCAACACGGCCGACACATTGATTTCTGTGACACAATAAAAATATTGGTTCATTTCAATTCCTGCTTCTGTGTATCTGTAGCATTTACATCTCTCTCCATGGTCTCATAGGTAATGTAATCCAGTATTTAGAGATCAGTTATGTACATAACAGTTGTTAATTGCATAAAAAGTTATCGAAAAATGTTAAGGGTGAAGTATAAATCACGTCTAAAAATAGACTGAATCCCGACGTTGAAATGAAGTATAAACTTAGACTAGACGTCTAATATACGTCTTTTGTTCAGTGGGATGGCAAAGCATGTGGACATTTGTGTGACACGCCACTTACCCTGTAATAATAATCGCCACCACCTGCTGCTCAAACGGCGTGAGGGTCTCCTCCCCCGGACCCCCACCTGTCTGGCCGGTACTCCTCCGCAGGGCAGCTGTACGCCGCTTGACCTCCACCTTGAGGTCCGACCACTTTTTTTTAATCTACGCGAGGGTGCGTGTCTCGGAACCCACCGCGTTCACCCTCTCGCAAACTTTCTCCCACTCCAAGCGTTTTCGTTTTGCACTGAAGCCACTAGACAGGCTGCCAAACAAAACATGCTGTCGCTCCTCCACCTCCGCCACCAGCACCTCCACCTCGCACGCCGTAAATTTAGTTTTTCTTGTCATTTTGTCTGCGTGCGAGGACAAGGAGACTCAATTTAAATAAATCTGCATATTTATAGAAGGGCGTAACGGGGGCGGGCCCAGTCACTCCGACATCTGCGCTCAGTTCCACGCTGATTGGGATTTATCAAGGAAACACACTTGGCTTTCGGCGCCCGCACACATTGGTATACGGATTTTTTTCAGCGTGACGGACCTTGCGTGCGCTCGTTTCTGGTATGAGTCCCACACAAGTGTTGATACATAAGGCCCCAGAAGACTGGGTCAGACTGAGCCTCGTCCTGTAAGATCAGACCCACTCCCATCCACTAATCTTGAACCTTATGAGTGAAACACTTTACAGCAGGCATGTCCAAACTATTCCACAAAGGGCCGTGTGGCTGCAGGTTTTTCTTCCAACCAATCAATCAGCTGACCAATCAGCTGTCTGCAGACTGAGATCAGCTGATGAAATGAATGAAGTCTGGTGTGCTGCAGCTTGGTTGGAAGAAAAACCTGCAGCCACACACTTTGTGGAACAGTTTGGACATGCCTGCTTTACAGCATTTGGCAGAGCGCAGAGACAACAGGCTGTCACTCCACCTCGCCTTTCGGAGATCGGGACAGTCAGGGTCTGAGGCCGTAGGATGGATCCTGATGCTGGCATGAAAGGTTGGGCTCCCAGCGCACCCTGCCCACAGCTCAACCCCGAAGCGGCAGCTGCAGCCAGCCTGGTCTGAGGTTGTGAACGCAGCCTGAGGACAATCACAGTGGGGAGAGCTCCTTGATTTATGATTTATTATTATCATTATTATTATTATTTTTTTTTAAATATATTATTATATTATTATATATTATAGTTTGTTATTTTTATACGTAATAATAATAATAATAATAATAATAATAATAATTATTATTATTATTATTGTTAAGGGTTTCCCAGGGGTGTGGCCTATAGAATAAAAAAATAAGATGAAAGGACGAAAACTCAAAAAATGGAAAATCAATTACTCATTTACATTTTTTATTTTTTGGACCCATTTGTATTGTTGCATCATTCTTGTTACTTTGCTTTCTTTCTTTGTCCATTCATTCTCAAACACTCAGTATTACTATTTTTAGTACTTTTTTGATATGACTCTGAAAACAAATGAATGCACAAGATGTACTTTTTCAACACCTTCAAATTTTTTAAGTAATTGTTCAAGTGCTTGTCTTGTCTTCACTGTCTGTAGACTTACTAGTAAGTGGTCCTTCACTTGTCATGTTCTGTCTTGCATCACTTAATGAAACAAAACAAAACGAAAAAATACAGGGGTACATACAGTATATTTGAAGAGGACAACAACCAGGTCTTGATTTTAATTTTGTCAGTCACTCTGTTCACCTGGAAAACCTGGAATTCTTAGAGTTTATTTTTAGGTGTTCTTTAAGTCAGACTGGTGAGGTTGACGAACTGATCTTTAATATTTGATATACTGATCTTATCTGAACAGCAGAGGGCAGCAGTGGTTCAATATATGTTTCTGCAGGAGTTCAGAATATGTTGATGCATGTTTTGTTCGTGGATCACAGTCCACAGTCAGGTGTGATGCACTGCTTCCAGTTCATCTCTATCCTCTCTCTAATAGAATACCATTACACTGTGAATCAGAGAGGGGCTGGAACTGGCAATGTTATTAAACTGAAAAGAATCTGAACAGGTCAGCAGGATGAACTGAGGTGTGGGGAGACTTGGAGGACCTCAGCAGCAGGACTCATGCTCTTGTTAATGTTTTGAAAAAAGCAGATACATATACAGTGGAAAATTATACCTTTTAAACTGCAGGTCAAATTGATATAAAAAAAGATAAAAAAACACATCTAAATAATTTGCATTTTCACCATTTTATCAATTTATTAGCCAAAGCATGAACATCAGAGAAATCGGAGAAGGCAAAAAGGTGGTGACTGAAGGCTGAGCTCCTGCAGGTCAGTATCTAAAAGGGGAGAGTTAAGGTTAGGATCTAAAAGTGGAGGGTAAGGGTTAGGATCTAAATGATATGAAACGTCAAAGAGGTCCCACAGCCTCCAGAACCTGTGGGACTAAATGTAAAAGACAGACATGGTAGTAAACACAAACAGATGGTATCTTTGTGCTTTTTAAAGGTCGTAATTCAAACTCACAGTCTTTCTAATTTTGTGTGTTCACAGACTTTTTATACTGGGCTCCTATGACAGAGGAACCTATGTCCACTGCACCCTAGAGCTAAGCAGCAACAAGTGGAAAGAGAAAACTCGCAGCTCCATCAAACAGGTATGACACCCTCCTTTCTCTTACCTCAGCTCTGATCTCTGCTGCATGCCGCTTTTAATCTAGTTTAAAATAATAAATCTGACCTTCAGTCAACAAACTTTTTTTTCTTGAGGATGGACCCAGAAAAGCTGGACACCTCGTTCTTTACCATTTACTTAACAATGTTATTTCAGAAAACTACAGCACCATCTAAAACGACAATATTCTGTCAAAATCAGCTTCTTTTTCAGATTACTGCTGAAGTAAGTCAGAGTGAAGCCAATTATCTCACCATTTATAGTCAAACTAGATATGTGTGTGTATATGTATATCTATATGTATATCTATATCTATATCTATATAATATATATATATATATAGATAAATATGTGTATTTATATGTGTGTATATGTGTATATATGTGTGTGTATGTGTGTATATATATATGTGTGTGTATGTGTATATACTGTATATGTGTGTGTGTGTATGTGTATATATATGTGTGTGTGTGTACGTGTATATATATGTGTGTATATATATCACCGGCCACTTTATTAGGTACACCATGCTAGTAACGGGTTGGACCCCCTTTTGCCTTCAGAACTGCCTCAATTCTTCGTGGCATAGATTCAACAAGGTGCTGGAAGCATTCCTCAGAGAGCTTGGTCCATATTGACATGATGGCATCACACAGTTGCCGCAGATTTGTCGGCTGCACATCCATGATGCGAATCTCCCGTTCCACCACATCCCAAAGATGCTCTATTGGATTGAGATCTGGTGACTGTGGAGGCCATTTGAGTACAGTGAACTCTTTGTCATGTTCAAGAAACCAGTCTGAGATGATTCCAGCTTTATGACATGGCACATTATCCTGCTGAAAGTAGCCATCAGAAGTTGGGTACATTGTGATCATAAAGGGATGGACATGGTCAGCAACAATACTCAGGTAGGCTGTGGCGTTGCAACGATGCTCAATTGGTACCAAGGGGCCCAAAGAGTGCCAAGAAAATATTCCCCACACCATGACACCACCACCACCAGCCTGAACCGTTGATACAAGGCAGGATGGATCCATGCTTTCATGTTGTTGACGCCAAATTCTGACCCTACCATCCGAATGTCGCAGCAGAAATCGAGACTCATCAGACCAGGCAACGTTTTTCCAATCTTCTATTGTCCAATTTCGATGAGCTTGTGCAAATTGTAGCCTCAGTTTCCTGTTCTTAGCTGAAAGGAGTGGCACCCGGCGTGGTCTTCTGCTGCTGTAGCCCATCTGCCTCAAAGTTTGATGTATTGTGCGTTCAGAGATGCTCTTCTGCCTACCTTGGTTGTAACGGGTGGTTATTTGAGTCACTGTTGCCTTTCTATCAGCTCGAACCAGTCTGGCCATTCTCCTCTGACCTCTGGCATCAACAAGGCATTTCCGCCCACAGAACTGCCGCTCACTGGATATTTTTTCTTTTTCGGACCATTCTCTGTAAACCCTAGAGATGGTTGTGCGTGAAAATCCCAGTAGATCAGCAGTTTCTGAAATACTCAGACCAGCCCTTCTGGCACCAACAACCATGCCACGTTCAAAGTCACTCAAATCACCTTTCTTCCCCATACTGATGCTCGGTTTGAACTGCAGGAGATTGTCTTGACCATGTCTACATGCCTAAATGCACTAAGTTGCCGCCATGTGATTGGCTGATTAGAAATTAAGTGTTAACGAGCAGTTGGACAGGTGTACCTAATAAAGTGGCCGGTGAGTGTATATCATATGTATTTGTATATATGTATATGTGTGTATAAATGTGTATATGTGTGTATATATATATGTGTATATGTGTGTATATATATATGTATATATATATGTGTATATGTGTGTATATATATATGTGTATATGTGTGTATATGTGTGTATATATATACATATATGTGTGTGTGTGTGTGTAGATATATATGTGTGTGTGTATATATAAACATACATGTATGTTTATATGTATGTATGTTTTTATATATTTTTGTATGTATGTTTTATATATATTTGTATGTATGTATGTATATATATTTATATGTATGTATGTATGTATATATACGTATGTGTATGTATGTATATACATATATTGTCCTATAAATACATGTCCTGTCCTGATGAGTCATGTAATACTTTTGTGATTAATATCACATTTCAGTTTCAGGCATAATTATGAATACAGTATGTTTAAGCAGAGCCACTTCCTTTCCGTACACATGTGCACAATTGACACCAGGGTTTCTTAGTTCATCATATATTTTTTTATATATAAGCCTCTACTTATTTGTTTGTAGAGTCTGAGTTTCACTTTAGTCGGTGAGATAAGAGGCTTCATTCTGACTGTAGCAGGGGTTTCCAACCCAACATAATGACTGCCTCCATTCCATTAATAACAATGTTAAACCAGTACAAACCATGAAATTCTGCATGGACTTGCCGCTGAAATTGAGCTTTGCAAGGTTCTTAGACACAAAACTGCGAAAGCTTTTTCAATGGTCAGCACCAATATAAGCAGCTGGACACTTTGTCTTATTGGCACATTAATACAGGCTAATTTTCATTTTCTTTGCCCTGATGAGATTGTCCTGTTGTTGACATTTTAGCAGTACAGATGAAGTTCAGACCCTCCAGGAAACCTTTTGTAATTGTTGCAATTCAGAGATATTACAGCTATCACAGCAGGCTTGTTTCAATGTGACAAATGAGCATTTTGGAGGGAAATGTCAACCTTAATTACCAGCTCTGCCCCGAGCAATGCCTGAGGCTGTTTTGCTCACACACTTCCGGATGATGTGCAGAGGCTCCAGTATTATTTGTATTCTGCTGAATAGTAGTTGTCTCGAATTGTGCCCTCACATCATGTTTAATGATTTGGTGGATAACCTCTTCAAAGCAGGTGTTAGTGAAATATCAGGTCTTTCCCTTTGTGCAAACCTGATGATCTTCTGCTTTCTCTAAGACCAAAACAGCAATTCTTTCTGAATCTTTGTAAAACAGGTGCCCAGGATCTATTTAAAGACCTGATTTTTTTATAGTTATTCTTGCATTTGATATGAGTAGAGTTATCACAAAGAGTGTGTCATATGAGGTCAAATCATATCATTCTAGTCTAAAATTTTAATTTGAAATGCTGTATCACTATTTCATCATGCAAAGGCGCTAGTGCCTTAGTTTCACTTAACGGACTCTATATTTTAGAAATATTATTATATTTTTCAGTGGGAAAATGTGCTCAAGCATCATATTGTATCACAAAGTGTTGTGTCATGTTGTTTCATATTGTATCTCAAAGTAGTGTACCATTTTGTTTTGCAAACGTACTGTATTGTAAAGTATCGTAAAGTATCCTATTGTACAGAATCGTATAACATTTCGTATCCTGTCATACCTTGGGTTGGCTTGTAACCACTGTCCTTGATACATGACAGGACAGTTTATTGCCTGTGTTATATTGCCAAAGAATCAGGCTGTAGACCAGAAACCCTAGTTCTCGCACCCTCCAGCTCTGCAGTGGTATACAGCCTTCCTTGAGAAGTGAGCAGATCGTGGTCAGTTGAGGATGTAGTTTGAAATCCACTCCAATCCAGTAATGAATATGTGAGTTGTTCCCTCCCCACCACTCAGCACAGCCCTCTCCAAGTGAAATCTCTTCAAAGCACTTGTCCCTTTTTTGTTAATGTACACACAGAAATGCAGATCCATGGTGGCATTTGAGTTATCAGACTTCTTCCAGTCTGCATGTCCTCAGCAGGACTCCGTAGTACAGATTAAAGGCTATACCAGTTGGAAAAGGTCAGTCCACCGTCTTTCTCACTCTGCCTCCAGATATAAGCTTACTTTATAAAAATGGCAGCTTGCATGCTATATGTAAATTAGGGATGCACTGAAATAAACAATTCTTGGCCAAAACCAAAAATGAGAAAATCAAGGCTGAACACCAAAACACCGAAAGGAATTATTATGCAAATTATTAGTACCATTGCAGTTATGGCTATTACTGTGTACTGACCTCACTAAGATCAAGGCGTTGCAATTGCATAGATTAATTTGTAATGAAAAGAAATGTTTTTTCATTTCAAAGTCATGGCTGCACTATTTGACTCAAAAATAAAAATCAAAAGCAATATTCCAAAATGCATTTTCATTTTCTTCTTCAAGACTGCTCATTTTGTGACTTAATTAAAAAGAAAAACCAAACTCAGAAATGCTTTTTCGTTTTCGTGCTCGCCCAGCAAAAAGTGTCTCATAATTCAATCTGAGTTCGCAATCTCAAGTGGCGCAGGAAAGTGATGTCACGGACCCAACTCGTTCTGGCCCCTTCTGGCTCATAGGGGGCAGTGAATCAGTGTATCATTGAATGAAATCAAACCACGGATGGCGACTATCTGTTTCAGCGGACTAACGGACTTTATACTCCTCATTGTTCTCATCACTGATCGATGGATTTGGGATATTTTGCAAATAAAGGGCCATAAACACAGTGAGAAACAGACAAAATGGTTATAGAGATATAGAGATTTGCGTATTTAAACTGTACAGTTAGCTGTCATGGTAGAGAACATTATATTTTCGGGGCAGCAAATATTCCGAATCAGAGGGCTGTTGTTTTCGGCATATCTGAAAAGCCTGAATTAAATCATTAAAGGTACACGCTTTAGAATCAGTCCAACGGTAAGGAAAACTTGGATTATTCCGCCTTGTTATGTATCTTCAACCGCGATCCCATCAGGGGGGCATTCTACGGACGGGGTACAGTCTATGGCACAACACCTGACGTGACTCCGTGTCCTCTCTCCATCCTGCTGCTGATGCGGTGGCACGGCTGATCAGATGATTTGTTTTAATGATCAGATGAGTTATTTACTTCAAGCCTACATATGAATATTATATTTTATATAAACTATACATCAATTGAATTTACAAAAAATGTACTATATCGTGATGTGTATTGTATCAGGATTTAAAATGAGCTATATCGAGATATGACCAAAATCTCATATCGTGAAGCCTTACCTGGGATGCGTCTTTTTCCCCCCGGTAAGTCACGAAATCGCATTGGGCTTGATGTGTATAGTCAGGTGCGTCAAAATTCATCTCCGAATATTTCGTGATTTCGCGCCCTATATTAGTGTCGGCCCCGGTGTGTAAAGACCTTAAGAATGATTGCAGTCATAGGCATCAAATTCTGCTTAAAAACTATGACATGATGCACAAATGCCCTTTTTTAATTACTGACACAGATTAAAGGAAAAAACAAGGTTATTAGTAACTCTGTAAACAACACTGTAAAATGTTTGAATGGATTGTAAAAGTACAGCAGTGAGACCAACGTTAGAGTGGTTATTTTAGTTTCATATTTACTAAGTTAGGTTTTGCCTGTGCGTGTTTTATTAATTTATTTATTTTTCATGGTGGGTTGAGGTAAAGTGTGTCCGTGTGTGTATGGCTGTGTTGTTTGTGTACGTATTGGGGGCTCTGTCAAGCGTGTTTACACATCTGCCTGTAGACTCGATCGCCGGCCCTGAGTGCTGATGCTTCCTGACAGCCTGTCCGACCAAACAGAGGATGAGTGTGCGTGCACACATTTCAGTATCACTAGTTGTAGTTGATGGGTTTAGCTCTATGCCAAAATAAGGTTGTTTTTTCACCGGGTGTTGTTTGTCTCCATGTTACATCAGTGTATCGGTTATTTTTTACTAAGATCATCCTCGTCAAAAGATATCAGGCTATCAGCAGATAATGTAGCACTGGACTGATTCATACATTGATACTGTGAAGTAGGGTCAGACGTTATCCATCTTGATACCATCACACTGTCTCCATATTTTACTGCAGTATACAGTATTACTGTGACTAATTAAAAAATTATGACTTAAGGCTGAGACAGCATCACCAAACTGTTGACTTGTGCCTATACCGTTCAGAAACTGAAAACCAAACACTTTCAATGTAACAATAACAACATAATGTGCACAATATCAACAACTTATTATTAGAAACAGCTTAAAAAGTGCACAACAGTCAAACAATTATATTAACATAACCATCCAGAACAGCTTTTGTGCCGAATGGGCCGCACACACATCAATTGAATTAAATCACAGCCTAAGCAACTTTGAATAACAAAAAAGAATAGTTTATAAAAACGTGCAAATACAACAGTGAAACAATTAAATTGACCTGACCATCCAGAACAATTTTTGTGCAGAATGCTTCTTTCCACAGTGTGAAAAGAGACCATTTCCTTCGTCAAGTATATTGTCACTGTATCAGTGCAGGTTTCCCTTTTGTACTTTGTTTGTACTTTTCCTGAAGGCCCCCATTATTGTCAGCTGTGTATTGGTGGCGGTTAGGCCTGTCGCGATAATCAATAAATCGCCTTATCGCTCGATAAATAAAAACGAGGTCGATAACTTTGCCAGCCTCGATAATTGACGTGCGTTTGTTTTCCTCCTCTCTCGCTACCAAACACGCTGGATGAGAGAAGAGGTCTCACTCTGCGCATTGTTCTCGGCACCTGGGGGCGTTGGCTCTATAGCGGAATGAACGGAGTTAGTGAACCCTCCTGTCAGTCATTCAGTGTCTTTGTCACGATGGGGCTGGCGCGCACAGGCACACAGACACAGACTTTTTGGATACAGTGCTGCAAGTGAGCGTCGTGAGTGAAAAGCAAGCTAACAGAATGAACACGACAGCTTTGGTGTCTAAACCGAACGCAACAGCCCAAGTGTGGGAATATTTCGGCTTTAAACCAGTTTTGTTTTCGTCAACCACAAAACTCCACGTGTGTGTGTGTGCGCGCGCGTGCACGTACGTGTGTGTCTGTGTGTTGGAGGAGCACAGCAGGATGATGAGAGCTGTCAGAGCGGACTGAAGCTGCTCCTATATGTTTAGCGTTTAACTGACTGAGTTTTGCAACTCTGTTCGTCATTTTCGTCTCGTCACGTCAACGCACTTTCGTCTCGTCACATTTTAGTCATCTCCGACTTATGTTTAGCTCGTCAACGTTACGTCTTCGTCATGGGAGAAAAGGGAAATATTTTAGTCAACGAAAACAACCAGTGTTGTTCTTGTGTGGAAATTAAAGTTTATCACTTTTGACATGGTGTACTTGCATTATTATGCCATATAATATCATTATCTATAATTTAAAAAATGGTGTCAATAATATCGTTTATCGGCGATAATGTGTAGCACAATTATTGTCCAGCAAAATTTGTTATCGTGACAGGCCTAGTGGCGGTGGACTTAGTTGTTGTTGGTCCTGCATCGGTATCAGCGGGAGGCGTTAAAACTGCTGCACTGAGTGAACTCGGGGCCAAATGCATCCTCGAAGCAGCAAGTTGGTGGTTGATTCGGAGATTCGTCATTAGGTCAGAAGAGTTTCCATCTCACATGGTTACCTTTTTAATTACTACTATTTTCTTCTATGTATTACTATATTTCTTAAAAAAAAAACTATTTTGCTTGCTCTGTCTCACTTCACTCTCTTGCTCCACTTTTCTCCCTCGCCCTGGTAACGTTCAAGATTACCATAATACATACCATACATCATATATTGACTCAGCTGTTTGTCAGCGTTGGAAATTTTCAGATTGAGCGCACCACACCTGTGTCTGAGATGCTGCAGCTTAGTTTTCCTCCCCATGCAGCAAAGGATAGTTCATAAATTTCCTCCTACCTGTTTTTACCCAATATTCACCTTCACATCCTGGGTTTAATGTGTGTAAATGCCAGAAGTGAGTTTGATGATGTTTCACTGTCCAAGCTGGATGCCGTCGTCGTCATTGTTGCCTTCCGCTTATCTGGGTCCGGGTCGGCAGGGGGCAGCAGCTTCAGGAGGGAAACCCAGACGGCCCTAAACCCCAGCCACTTCCTCCAGCTCCTCCAGGGGAATTCCCAGGCGCTCCCAGGCCAGGCGAGAGATAAAATCCCTCCACCTGGTCCTGGGCCGGCCACGAGGTCTCCTCCCGGTGGGACATGTCCGGAACATATCCAACGGGAGGCGTCCTGAAGGCATCCTAACCAGATGCCTGAGCCACCTCAGCTGACTCCTCTTGACATGGAGGGACAGCGATTCTACTCTGAGCGCCTCTCGAGTGTCCGAGCTCCTTGCCCTGTCTCTAAGGCTGAGCCCAGCCACCGTGTGAAGGAAACCCATTTTAGCCACTTGTATCCGCGATCTTCATCTTTAGGTCATTACCCAAAGTTTATGACCATAGGCGAGGGTAGGCATATAGATCGACCGGTAAACCGAGAGTCTCGCCTTACGGCTCAGCTCTTTCTTCATCAGGACAGATCGGTTAAGTGTCCGCATCACTGCTGACGCCGCTCTGTTCCACCTGTCGATCTCCCGCTCCATCCTATCCTCACTCGTGAACAAGATCCCAAGATGCTTGAACTCTTCCACTTGAGGCAGAACCTCCCCTCCGACCCGTAGAAGGCAATCTACCTTTTTCCGACTGAGGACCATGGCCATGGACTTAGAGGTGCTGAATTGCATCCCAGCCGCTTGACACTCTGCTGCGAACTGCCCCAGCAAGAGCTGAAGGTCACTGCTCGATGAAGCTAGAAGAACCACATCATCCGCAAAAAGCAGCAACGCGATCCTCTGCCTGCCGAGCTGGACACCCTCCACCCCCTGGCTGCGCCGAGAAATTCTGTCCATGAAGGTTATGAACAGAAGCTGTGACAAAGGGCAGCCCTGGTGGGGTCCAATTCTCACTGGAAACGAGTCCAACTTACAACCGGCTACACGGACCAAGCTTGTGCTCCTTTGGTAAAGGGATTGGACGGCCCTTCCATCCCGTACTTCCAGAGCCCATCCCACAGGATTCCCCTAGGGACACAGTCGTAGGCCTTCTCCAAGTTCACAAAATACATGTGGACTGGTTGGGCAAATTCCCATCTCCCCTCAAGAACCCGAGCGAGGGTGAAGAGTTGATCTGTAGTTCCACGACAGGGACGAAAACCGCATTGTTCCTCCTCGATCTGGGGTTCAACCATCAATTGGACCCTCTTTTCCAGCAACATGGCATAAGCTTTCCTGGGGAGGCTGAGGAGTGTGATCCCCCTATAATTGGAACACACCCTCTGGTCCCCCTTCTTAAAGATAGGGACCACAACCCCGGTCTGTCACTACAATGGCACTGCCCCCCTATTTCCATGCAGTGTTGTAGAGGCATGTCAGCCAGGACAACCCCACCACATCCGGAGCCTTCAGATACCCTGGGTGGATCTCATCCACTCCTGGAACTCCGTTGCCACGGAGTTGTTTTACTACCCCGGCGACTTCTACCCCAATGATTGGATGATCCACCTTCAGGTCCTCTAACTCTGTTTCCCCTTGGGAATGCATGATGGTAGGATTGAGGAGCTTCTCAAAGTATTCCTTCCACCACCAGAGAATTGCCCCAGGTGAGGTCAGCAGCTCCCCGCCTCAATCTAGAATGGTGTGGAAGTTGCCGTCTGGCGCCCCTGAGGCGCCGGACAGTTTGCCAGAACCTTTTTGGAGCCGACCGAAAGTCTTCTTCCATGACCTCACCAAACTCCTCCCACGCGAGTTTTTGCTTCTGCAACTGCCCCAGTTGCAGACCGCTTAGCCAACTGGTACCATTCAGCTGTTCCCGGAGACCCACAGATCAACCATGACCTGTTGGCCTTCTTCCTCAGCCAGACGGCTCCCCTCACCTCTGGTATCCACCATCGGGTACAGGGATTACCGCCACGACCGGCACCAGCGACCTTGCATCCGTAGCTCGCAAGAGCTGCTTTGACAATGGCAGAGTGGAACAAAGCCCATTTGGATTCAGTGTTTCCCACTGCCCTCAGGACGCAGTTGAAGCTCTGTTGGAGGTGAGAGTTGAAAGCCAACCTGACGGGTTCTTCTACCAGGCGTTCCCAACAGACCCTTACTATAGGTTTGGGCCTGCCAGGTCTACACGGTGGCTTCCCCCACCACCTGACCCAACTCACCACCAGGTAGTGATCAGTTGACAGCTCTGCACCTCTCTTCACCTGAGTTACCAAAACAGCAGATCAGATGATACGACTACAAAGTCGATCATTGATCTACGGCGTTGGCCATCATGGTGCCACCGATAAACAACCTTATGTTCACACATGGTGTTAGTTATGGACAAACTGCAACTTGCATTGAAGTCCAACAATTGAACACCACTCGAGTTCAGATAGGGCGGGCAGTTCCTCCCATTCACGCCCTTCAAGGTCTTGCTGTCATTGCCCACGTGAGCGTTGAAGTCTTCCAGCAGAACAGTGGAGTCCCCAGTCGGGGCGCTGTCCAGTGTCCATTCTAGGGTCTCCAAAAAGGGTGGGTACCCTGAAATATTATTTGGCGCATATGCACAGACTACAGTCAGGACCCGTTCCCTGACCCAAAGGCGCAGTAAAGCAACCCATTCGTCTAGCTGAGGAAACCCCAGTGTACCAGTGGCAAGCTTTTTGGCAAGCAAAAATCCCACCCTTGCTCTCCACCTCTCACCCTGAGCAACTCCAGCGTGGAAGAGTGTCCAACCCTTCTCAAGGACTTGGGTTCCAGAGCCAGTGCTATGTGTAGAGGTGACACCGACTATATCTAGTCGGTAGCGCTTAACCTTCTTTACAAGCTCCAGCACCTTCCCCGCCAGAGAGGAGACATCCCATGTTCCAAAAGCCAGTTTCCATAATTGAGAATCAGACCGCCAAGGCTCCCGCCTTGGTCCACCACCCAATCACTGAAGCACTGTACCGTTTATGTTCCTCCTGCGGGTGATTGGTCCACCAGAGGTGCTGCCCATGTGGTCTGTTCAGGCTGAGCCCAGCTGGGCCTTATGGGTGCAGGCCTGGCCACCAGGCGCTCACCAACTAGCCTAACCTCGTGCCTGGCTCCATGGAAGGGCCCCAGTGTCCCTCCGGGCCAGGTACACTGGTTCCCTTTGTTCTTTTTGATGAGGGTCTTCTGAACCGTTCTTAGTCTGACCCTTAGCCTAGGACCAATCTGCCTTGGGAGACCCTTCCAGGGGCAAAATGCCCTGGACAGCATAACTCCTAGGTTCATTAGAGCACTCAAACCACTCCACCATGGTAAGGTGGCGGTGAAGGAGGAGCAAGTTGGATGCTATATTGTGTTAATGTATTGTTCACCGTGAATATGGCTAATGCTATCTCATGCTATCGATCTTCAGCTAATAAATTAATTCTTACCATGGCTGCCATGAGCCTCGTGTGAGATAATTTGTGTACAATATATGAGTCATATATCATATGATTCATTGGTCCTTTATATTCATTTATACTATAGAGTGTTATCTTATGTACTGATTGTTGCTATGTATCTTTATCTGCAGAACCACAGTCTAATTAATCCACTAAACTGGACATCTGTATCTGTGTCTTTTAACGGGGACACACATCATACACTTTGCCGCTCTAAACCCAGCTAAATCCTGGAGAAAGCCCCTCTCCTTTTTAATGCCGACTATCAAAACAGCACATTGACCATGTTTTATACTTATATTGAGGTAAATCAATTTTAAATATATATCGTTACTGTTTTATCGCCCAGCTCTATGCAGGCCCTGTCTGATTAAACTGGTATAGAACAATCAGAGCCATGTTTACCCAGCACAGGTATATGAATATAAACTGAAACTGGAAAGATGATCGCAGACTTCATCAATGTTAGTCACCTTCAGCAGATTCATCTCATATTTGCTTGCAGACACTGTGCTCATGTGTTCAACTGGAAATAGTTTTAGCAACCACCTAAGCAACCACAAAGTATTAGCTTTGAAAAATCCCTGTTTGTCCTGGGGAATGCCAGTGTGTCCGCCCAACTGGGAATCCAAGTCAGTTTAATTGACACGTCTGAGAAACGAGAACAGAACCACCTTTACCACCTGAGTTTGATAAGTTTGCACTGCCGTCTTTGGTCTTCAGCTTTGGTGGACAAAGGCGCATTCGTGTAATTAGAAAGGAGCTATTGTAAAGTTGCGCTGAAGGATTTTATTGTAGTTTACTTTCAGTTTTCTTAATAAAAAGTCAAATAAAGCAGCTTTTTTTTTTTTCTGAGGTTGATATCAGATATTTTGTTCTTCAGTCATTTGTGCTAAATGATGAAGAGTGTGGCCGTAGCTGCCTCCTTCACCTTACCATCATTACAAGTTCCCATCCTAGTTTGTATTTCTTAGCCTCTCAATCTGTAGTCAATATTCAGTACACACACACACACACACACACACACACACACACACACACACACACACACACACACACACACACACACAGAGAGAGCCCCAGTCAGGCTTGGACGTACAAACAGGCAATTTAATGCTAGTGATATAAGCATCTCTGACGCAAGCCTCACAAACGCACACACACACACACACACACACACACATACACACACACCTCCTCATCACTGGGTTGTTTGATGTTCCACGTGGTGTATCTTTGTGTCTTTGATCTGCCCCAGACACCTGATGAAAGACAGGTGGGTGATGAGGAGGCACACACACATACACACACTTATGCACAAACAAATGCTTACACTCACCCACACCCACTGAACAACAATGAGTCATCTAAGCCACAGGTTTCAGTCCATTCAGGGTTTTGAGTGGTCAGGGTGGATCCTGGTTTATGTGGTGGTATTTTGATACTAGCTGGGAAGGATGGAGCTGCTAGTCTCAGCACCAAAGGGCGTTGAGTGAAGAGCAAGATATAACCTCTTACAAATTTTAGGAATAGCTGCAGTGAAATGTGTCACAGTGCAGCTGTTAAAACCTGATCCCTACACTAGGCCTGATCCACATAGTCAGTTTGTGGACTGAACAGGTCTAAGAAATGTGTCAGATAGAAAAATGAACATACTCCCTGAAACTCCGCTAAAGAAAAATCTCTATGAAAAGATAATTTTCATTCACTGCATTAATATTGAAGCACACTAGTATTTGCATGCACCCCAGTATAAAGTACCCCCCTATGCAGTATATATAAATCTGCTCAGCTGCTCCTCATCTCTAAGTCCTGGTTTCAGACCATGCTGGTGCAGGATTTATTTTAATCATAAACTTAAAAGATTGTAAAGTTCAGATAATAAAAGTTTGTATATCAGCTATTTCCCGAAACCCTGTTGTAAAAGAACCAATAGTTGATCACCTTTGAAATTGTGTAAGGCGGCCCATCATCTCTGTGCTGTTTTCCTATAATTGAGTTCTTGTTAGTGATAGATAAGTCATCTATCTCCACCCTGCCATGCTGATTTAAATGACCTGTTGTAATTCTGCAGGACAACAGCTGACTGGACTGATGGGCAGATTAAAACCATGAGAGGTTGGTCGCACAAGCTGCTTGTTCCTAATGGTTTCTTCTATGAATCAATTCATCTGAGAGGAAACTTGATAGACCAGCCGCTACGTGCATGACAGACAGAAACACAGCTGAATTACAGTCTGGTGGCTATTTTCATTGAGAGTGTTTTTTTCCCCCTCTGCTCCTATAGGTGTGTTCTCTCATTAGAAAGAAAATGACTTGTGACATGGTGTGTACTATAAGTGGTCTGAAAGGCTGAGCTGATATGAAACCAAGAAAGTCATTCCCTCTGTTGGTGTCCCTGTATCCAAGATTCAGATAAACCTGTTACTGACCTGTATGGCTGTAAGGCTTAGTGGCTGCATGTGTCCCCAACATTGATAGATAAATAAATATAACATAATTTATCCTGAAGGAAATTCAGTCTCTCAGCTGCACAATCTAAATCAATCATCATCAAATAAATTAATTCATAAAATAGTGCAAAGAGTGTAGAAAAATAGTAACCAATTTGAGTAAAAGGTAATTAATAGTAAAGAATAAAAAAGAGAAGACGTTTCGCCTTTTATCCAAGAAGCCTTCTCAGTTCTAATTATTGCTTGTGTGAGGAGCAGATATTTATCTTACTGGAGAAGGGGACAGACAACAACTGGGAGGAGTTGGAAAGAATGGGTTGTAGAAACCCATCTCCGTGTGTTCCCCCCTGAGGGTCGTTAACCTGAAAGGGTCATTAACGACCCCTGTCATGTGACCACATGGCTCATGCCACCTGAGTCATGTGGTCCCAGGTGTGAATGTTTGTGGAGCTTCCTGGGAGAGAGCTGAGAACTGCATTGTAAGTGCCAGAGAGATTGTCCCTGAGTCCACCCCCTCTGTTCAGATAAGGTTTCTCCAGTCTGGCTTCTTTAACTCCTCTTTCAAACCACATGTCTTCTCTAGCCAACACCTGTACATTGCTGTCCTTGAAAGAGGACCTGTGTCGTTTAAATGAAGGTGGACAGCTGAGTCCTGACCTGATGAAGTGGCTCTCCTGTGTTGAGCCATGCAATTGTGAAGTGGATGTTTGGTTTACCCAATGCACTCGTCCGAGCATTCCTCGCTGCACTGGACAGCATACACCACATTACTCTGTTTAAGTCTCGGTGTTTTGTCCTCGGGATGGACTAGCTTCTGCCTTAGTGTGTTGCCAGGCTTGAAATGAACAGGAATATGGTGGTTGCCAAAGATCCTCTTGAGTTTCTCAGACAGGCCTGCAACGTAAGGGATTACAGTGCTCTTGCGTCTCTCCTCCCTTTCGTGTTCAGTGTTATTTCTCTTTCTGTTCTTTACAAAGGCCCACTAAGGGTATCCACAGGTTGTCAGGGCATTTTTGATGTGCTTCTGTTCCTTTTCCTTACCTTCTTTCTCCGTGGGAATGTTCTCAGCCCGGTGGTTGAGTGTTCTGATAACACCCAGTTTGTGCTTCAGAGGATGGTGGGAATCAAAAAGTAAATATTTATCCGTGTGTGTGTGTGTGTTTCCTGTACACTTCAATGTTGAGATACCCATGTCCTTCTAAGTGTACAGCACAGTCCAAAAAGGCCAACACATTGTCCTCGACATCTTCACGGGTGAACTTAATGTTGCTGTCCACTGTGTTGATATGGTCTGTGAAGGCCTCTACTTCATGCGTTTTGATCTTAACCCAGGTGTCATCCACATATCTGAACCAGTGGCTAGATGCTGCTCCTTTGAAGGAGGTTAGGGCCTTCCTCTCTACCTCTTCCATGTACAGGTTGGCCACTATTGGAGATACCGGGGAGCCCATAGCGCTAGTGATGTCACATCATAGGAAACCATGGTTTCATCTCGGTCCAGCCCGATGTCCTTGATTTTCTCGGCATTTTCACGAGTATTCCGTCAACAGAGGCCGTCCAAGCAGTAAGACAACGCCTCTTACAGGACAGCACACTGGAGGTCAGCACCAACTTTACCCCCTACCACAATCGCTCCTTATTGGACATCTGCCTCAGCACTAAGCCTGGGTGATTATATGATCGTGATCGATGATCGCGATAAATTTTTTAAGCTCGATCACGGTGATCAGCTATGGGCATTCATACTCGCATGGCAGAAATGCGCGTCGAAACAGCCAACCAGAGTCGAGCTTTTTCTGCTCACTTCTGTAAGTTGTCGCAGAAGTAAACAGAAGAGGCACACAGAATGGCAGAGCGTGGGGGAAAACGTAGAGCAGAGGGTAGTGAAGAAGATGTAAGCCAGGGGCTGGATTCACCCCCCGAGGATGCCATTGTTGAAAAAAAAAAAAAGTTGCTCAACGTCGGTTGTGTGGCCGTGGTTTGGATATCTCCCTAGTGACATCGAACAAATAAAGCCGGTGTGTAAGGTATGTCGGCGATTGGTGCCTTCAAAAAACGGCAACACGACGAATCTGTTCAATCATCTAAAGAAGTACCATCCAAGTGATTATAGAGAAAGCATGTTAATGCGAGAGTCTGCACAGCCTGCCACTTCTGCTAGCACAAGTAGCATTAGCAGCTTAGCGTCAACAAGTGGTGCAGCCACCAGACCGCAGCAAAAATCCATCGTGTCGTCTTTTGCGGCCATCACACCGTACAAGCATAATTCCAGGAGGAGACAAGCAATTACAAACGCGATCGCTTTTTGTCTGGCAAAAGACATGATGCCTTTAAACACAGTGGAGAAGGATGGATTTAAGCATTAGATCAAAGTGCTGGACCCGAGATACGAAATCCCCGGCAGAAAATACTTTTCTCATACTGCACTGCCACAGCTGTATGACGAATGCCAAGGAAAACTGGAGAGTGAGCTCAAAGAAGTGTTGTACTTCGCAACTACCAGTGACCTATGGTCAAGTTGCACATCTGAGCCATATCTGAGTCTCACAATACACTACATCGACAAGGAGTGGGCTCTTAAAAGCACATGCTTGCAGACTGTGTATTTTCCACATGACCACATTGCTGAAAATATCAGTCAGGGACTAGAGGACGCACTTGAGTCATGGGGCCTTAGTGAGGACCGACAGGTGTGCATCACAACGGATAGTGGGGCAAACATTGTGAAAGCTGTTGCTCTCAAAGGCTGGACTCGGCTGCAGTGTTTTGGTCACCGGCTGCACTCAGCTATAGGTAAGTAAATGACAAGAAATTTGTTCCATGTTATGTTTAGTTTAGCTTTAAAAATAACATATATTGGTTACATATTTTATTTTTTTACTTTTTTTTCCTGACACTATATCTGTCTGAAATATATTAAGAATTTGTGATTAATTTTTATGTTTTTTACTTTTCTTCAGAGGGAAGCATGAAGGACAAGAGGATTGAGAGAGCCATCAGTGTGTCCAAGAAAGTGGTCAGTGCTTTTTCTTACTCATGGAAAAAGAAAAGGGCACTTGCAGCTGCCCAAGATGAACTCAAACTCCCAAAGCATCGGTTGATAACAGAATCCCCTACCAGGTGGGGTTCCCGCTATGCCATGATAGCAAGAGTACTGGAGCAGGAGAAGGCCATTGCAAAGGTTTTATCAGATGATCGTAAAAACAGGCACCTGATTCCCTCATGGCAGGACATTGATGTCTTGGAGTCTGTCCACAGGGCCCTGAATCCACTTGTTGACTTTACTGACGCCCTTTCTGCAGAAGCGTATGTCAGTGTCTCTTGTGTGAAACCTGTCCTTTAACTCTTCAACGAAGATGTCTTAAAGCCAGAAGACACTGACACAGACCTTACCAAGACCATCAAGAGTTCAGTCACCAGCTACTTGAATGAAAAATTTGATGATGCTGCCACTGATGACCTCCTGTGCATGGCAACTCTTGTAGATCCTCGCTTCAAGATCCACTCCATTCAGGCTGAAAAAGCAGAGGCTGTGAAAGCCAACGCTGTCTCTCAAATGTTGGATGAACGTCGTAAGCCATCATGGTCTAAGCCTTCTACCTCTGCAGAAGCTTCAACTTCAGCTACACCAGTGAAAGTACAGAAGAAGACACTTGGCAGCTTTTTTAAGAAGCCCTTCTCCGTCTCTTCTTCTGGTCAGACAGACCAGCAGGCTGTTGAGGCAGAACTTAACAGTTACCTGCAAGCGCCAAATGCAGACAGTGAAACCAATCCGTTGGTGTGGTGGAAGACCCACTCCACAACATATCCTAGACATAGCCTCTTGGCAAGGCAGTACCTCTGTATTCCTGCCACCAGCTCACCCTCAAAGAGGGCTTTTAGTACAGGGGGGAATATTGTGTCCTGCCACAGGGCAGCTTTAAAGCCAGATACTGTAGACAGGCTGGTCTTTCTGGCAAAAAACCTGGACCTCAGTCCTAAGTAATGTGCACTAGATTAAGCACGTATAATGTTTACAAGTTTTGCACTTTTTATTCAGGTGGTTTGTAACTTTTCAAAAGTAGCTAATCTGTAGTCATTAAAAATGATGCACATTTGCAAGTAGCAATGATGTGACCAGGGTATAAAGCACCATAACTTAAAAAAGAAAATGTTTACTTTCCAAGGTGCCTTCATTTTCTCCAAGGGAGCAGTTTGTTTATTTTGTATCTTGTATACCTCCAAAATACTCAGGTCTGTGGATTAGTGCACTGTTGCATTATATTTTTCGACATTCTTTGCACTATGGAGTGAAAACTTTTCATTTATTTTTGCTCTGTTATTTTATATTTTGTGCATTTGTTGTACTGTTCAGTAAAAAACGTTTTTATATTTTTCTATTTGTTAATAAAATAATTAAATAATCTCTTGTTTCTTTAGTTTTTGGTACAGATACTTTAAAACTGTCAGTTTAAAAACAATACAAAAAAATCACGATAATAATCGTGATCGGATGATATGAAAAAATTAATCGTGATCATTTTTTTTGCCAAATCGCCCAGGCCTACTCAGCACCACGTATTTCCAGTTCAGAGACCACCATTAGAAATATGGATGCGCTATGGGCTCCCCGGATTCTCCTATCATGGCCAACCTGTACATGGAAGAGGTAGAGAGGAAGGCCCTAACCTCCTTCAAAGAAGCAGCACCCAGCCACTGGTTCAGATATGTGGATGACACCTGGGTGAATATCAAAACGCATGAAGTAGAGGCCTTCACAGACCATATCAACACAGGTCCTCTTTCAAGGACAGCAATGTACAGGTGTTGGCTAGAGAAGACACATGGTTTGAAAGACTGACTGGAGAAACCTTATCTGAACAGAGGGGGTGGACTCAGGCACAATATCTCCAGCACTTACAATGCAGTATTCAGCTCTCTCCCCAGGAAGCTCCACAAACATTTACACCTGGGACCACATGACTCCGGTGGCATGAGCCATGTGGTCACATGACAGGGGTCGTTAACGACCCTTTCAGGTTAACGACACTCAGGGGGGAACACCCGGAGATGTGTTTCTATGACCCATTCTTTCCAACTCCTCCCAGTCGTTGTCTGTCCCCTTCTCCAGTAAGATAAATATCTGCTCCTCACACTAGCAATCATTAGAACTGAAGAAGCGTCTTGGATAAGAGGCGAAACGTATTCTCCACTCTACACAGTCCAGTTGCCTGATTTTGGAGTCTTCAAGAAAACCATGACCCGAATGAATGAGAATCTACATGGACAATAAAAAGAGAATGTGTAGCGATTTGAATTCAAAGTAAATGTCATGAAATAATAGAATTAAATTATGACATTTATGCACTCGTTGAAGGGGCACCACCCACCTTTTCTGGTGGGAAAAAGACAAAGTTCAATTGAGTAATCAAACGTTGACTCTGTCTTAAACCGATTTAAATCAATCTCACATCTGAGGCTGGAATTCTCATTTCAGGGACTTCACCAATGGAAGGACCACTAAGAGATGACAACTTCAATTAAGTGGACAATTTATTGACAAATGCTAGGTGAAAACATAAATTCAATAAATTGTGATCAAATAATGAGAAATTAAAAGAACATCTAGTGAATAAATGAAGGAATGGTTTGAAATGAAACTAAGACTGGAGGTTAATGATAGTGAGTGAATAAGGAAGAATTTAACTTTAATGATGGTTCTTAGCGGCAATCTTGGAGCGGATCACTGAAGGCCCAGGCTACAGATGGTCTTTGCAGGGCGGCTAGCAGCCGGCCAAACGGTGTCTCTGTCGTCACACCCAAATGCACGCCAAATGCGCCCCGTGGGTCCCACAGCGCTCTTCTTCCGGAATCTTGTGGCAAGGCTGGCAAGTGAATTGATTTTAACTTGCGGGATTGAAAAGCGAGTTAGATCAAATCAAATATGATAAAGTTTCACTTCATCGTTTCTTATGAGCAGATGCATCAAACCATAACATCAAATGCAAGGTAAACTTTAATCACCCGTTTTCGTGGTAGTCTATAACCTGAGGATTAAGAAGCTCTTTAAAAGTTAGAGAGGGATGAAAACCAAGTTAACTTTCTAATAGAAACACCATCACATATAAGAAACACATATGTGATAACACTTAATTGGAATATAACCTTGTCAATCTGTATTTAGTAAATGAATAAAATATATATTCTGATGAGGTAGACAGCATAGCTTTAAAATAATCAAAACATTCTTATCTCGTGTATAAAAGAGTTTTCAGTTACTACTTCTAATATTGTTAACATGTTTTTGGAAAAATATTCACTAAGCTACAAAGTATACAACACGCAACATAATTAAAGAAAGGAATGACCAAAATCATATTCGGAAGACACCACTAAGGGGAGCTCTTGGTCCATAGAAAACCTGGAATAAATATATGAAGTTAGCAGTTTGGCACCACTGCTGTGTAGTAGAAGCCCAGGCTGCCTTGATAGCGGCCCTCAGCTTATCTGCATTCTCATGTCTAATGTGGCTCATCTTCCTCTTGACAATACCCCATAAATTCTTTATGGGGTTGAGGTCTGGCGAGTTGGCTGGCCAGTCAAGCACAGTAACCTTATGGTCATTGAAACAGCTTTTGGTGCTTTTGGCAGTGTGGGTAGGTGCCAAATCCTGCTGGAAAATAAAATCAGCGTCTCCATAAATCTCTTCAGCAGAGAAAAGCATGAAGTGCTCTAAAATGTCCTGGTAAACGACTGCGCTGACTTTAGATTTTAGAAAACACAGTGGACCAATGCCAGCACCCCAAATCACCACTAACTGTGGAAAATTTACACTGGACTTCAAGCAACTTGGATTCTGTGCCTTGCCACTCTTTCTCCAGACTCTTTTTTTCCAAATGTAATGCAAAACTTGCTTTTATCTGAAAAGAGGACTTTTGACCACTGGGCAGTAATCCAGTTCTTCTCCTGGGCCCACGTAAGACGCTTCTGACATTGTCTATGGCTCAGGTGTGGCTTGACAAGGGGAATGTGACAGCTGAAGCCTAATTCCTTGATTCATCTGTGTGCGGTGGCTCTTGATGCCCTGACACCAGCCTTAGTCCACTGTTTGTGACGTTCCCCCAAGTTCTTGTCTCAATTTTGCTTGACAAGCCTCTCAAGGCTGCGATTATCCCTGTTGCTTGTGCACCTTTTTCTACCACACTTTTTCCTTCCACTCAACTTTCTGTTACTCAATGCAAGATGGCACCCAGAGTAGGCGCCCTGGTGTTTTGGTGCTCGTTGTTTTGTCTGTTTTTGTGCGTTTACCGTGTGTCATCGTGCTCCTACACCCACAAGGAGCTTTTTAACATCAGATCAACTACACCCACAGACATTACGCCAGTTTTTTTTAGCATCTGCTGCTGAACTGGTTCACTTTTTGACCAAAAGAGTGAGCCGCCGGCGAAGGGGAAAGTGAGCTGGGGTGCTCGCGCGTCTCAAACAGCGAGGCACGCGTACGCCCTTACCTGGGATTCTCCTCTCCAACGTCCGCTCACTCAGCAACAAGATGGATGAGCTGGCACTGCTGATGAAGAAGAATAGAGACTTCTCCTCTTCTTGTGTTCCGTGCTTCACGGAGACGTGGCTAAACGCACAGACACCGGACTGCGCCGTACAACTGGAGGGTTTTCAGCTCCTCCGTGCAGACAGAGATCGTGTACTCTCCGGTGGGAAAACAAAAGGTGGAGGAGTCTGCTTCTACATCAGCCATGCCTGGTGCTCCGACGTGACAGTGATCTCCCAACACTGTTCTCCTTCTCTGGAATATCTCTTCATAAACTGCAAACCGTTCTACTCTCCACGTGAGTTTGTCTCATTCATACTCTGCTCTGTTTACATTCCACCAAGTGCAGACGTGCACGAGGCTGAGTGCGCGCTCGCGGAGCAGGTTATGAGCGTAGAGAGGAACTTTCCGGACTCCTTAGTCATAATCCTCGATGATTTTAACAAAGGAAATCTCAGTCAGGAACTACCAAAGTACAAACAGTTTGTAACATGCCTGACCAGAGAGGGGAACACATTAGATCACTGTTACACTACAGTGAGTGGTGCCTATCGCGCTGTGGCTCACGCAGCTTTGGGACTCAAAGATCATGCCATGGTTCACCCATAGACTGTATATAAGATGGACAACCTGGTTCCGCCTTCCGCCTGTATACGGATTTGAAGCCAAAAAGCTCTCGGTAATTCCGGGTTTTTCTCCACTTCCTTGAAACCAGAGCTGCGCAGTAGCGATGCGCGCATTCGGCTGCGCAGTCGCCGAGAGTCCCTGTGATGACGCTCGGCTCAAACAGCGTATCCCCCCGGAAGAGCTACGCAATCCCTGAACGCCCATAGGCTGTACCAGGTGTCAATCATAGAAAACATGAACCCCCTAATAACTTTTAAAAATGGAGCTGAACAGAAAAAAAAGGACTTGGGCACAAACCAGTCTTACAATAACTACATGTCAACATCACAAGCAGGGGGGAGAAAAATGTATGTTCTGTGTAATAAATTTCGGAAGTTTGTCCACAGTCCCATAAGCTTTGCTGGCGGAGGCGGGATTTATGACCTGTACTGCAGCCCATCATCAGAGGGTGATGTTCTCGGAGTGGCTTCACCCAGCGAGGAGGCAGACTCTGTCCATCTTATATACAGTCTATGGGTTCACCTGATCCCCGTGTACAGACAGAGACTAAAACTCTGTAAACCTGTAGTGAGGACATCCAAAGTGTGGACCAGTGAAGCTGTGGAGGAGCTACGCCCATGCTTGGACACCACGGACTGGGATATGTTTAAGGCTTCTACAGACAGTTTAGATGAATACACAGACACTGTGACGTCGTATATCCCCCCCCCCTCCCAAAGGTGATTCATGCCCCCCCGAAAACAAACCCCCCGCCCCCCCGGCACTGGTTCGCAATGTTAGTGTGAGATCTGAACCTGCTTTGCCTTGCAAAGATCCTCAATTCTTGGCGCAATAATTTAATAAACACAGCCTCAATTCATCCTCAATTCTCCTCCGTCTGTGCCACGTTTTTAAACCGTGATAAACATCAGTCACCGTCAGGGAGAGAGGCTAAGAGCTTCGGTAACACACCGAGGATCCTTGTGCGCACACACACACACACACACGCACGCACGCACGCGCGCGCATGCGCGCGCGCATGGAGCAGCAGCAGCAGCGATCAGATATAAACATTGGTATTTAGTGTAATGAACTTCATCACCAAAGTCTCCTTCACTGACACACCTGTCTGATCAGAACAGCCCCTCTCATCCACACAGACACACCTGTGTTCACCAAGCTACAAGTTTCAAAGCAGCTCAATCCACCACACAACTGTTTAACAGAGATTTGACATAAAATAACAGAGAAAAATTTCTTACCCTCACTCTGCTGTCCAAAACAGTCAGCATCAGTTATCCAGCTCCAACAGGTTAATAATCCACTGGTATTATTCCTGTTTACATGCTATTTAAATCCTGTTTACAACCTTGCAGTCAGCATCTCACCCATTCGTGTGAAAAAAAAAAGTCCTGTTTCTGGTCGACCAGATTAGTCATTTCCACCTGGTCTCCGGGACACGGACCGCTTCACGGTTAGGCATGGTTAGTAGTTACAGTTAGTTACAGCCTGTCTGGACCTGTGGTCTGGACCCGGTACCAAGTCCAGAGATGCTCCTTCTCTTGGCTTCTATCAGGATGCAAATGGATGAAACTCGCTGACCGCGAGGAATAGGATCTAAACAGGAATAATATCGGTGGATTATAAAACTGTTACAGCTGGATGACTGATTATACTGACTGTTTTAGCCACAAGAAAGATGGTAAGAATTTTTTCCATCCTTTATTTTCCGTCAGATTTCCGTTAAACAGTGGTATGGTGTAATGAGCTGCTGCGAAACCTGTAGCTTGGTGAACACGGGTGTGTCTGTGTTGATGAGAGGAGACAGGTGTGTTGATGAGGGAGACTCTGGTAATGAAGTTTATACAGTTAACACCAATGTTTACATCAGATCGCTGCTCTGTGTGTGCGTGCGCACGTGTGATGTTGTGAATGATCCTCAGTGTGTGAGCCTCTCTCCCTGTAGTGATTGATTGTCACCGGTCGGTCAAAGCAGGGCGCTTACTTGGTCGTTTGAGTGGCTGGGGCAAAATAGTGGGCTACTTTTATTAACGCTTGCCATGCTGCGCTCAGCTTTATGATGAGGTAGGATGTAAATTGGTAGACTGTAAATATCCAACAGCTTGGGACTCTGCTACATCTCCTACGAATAGCCAGTGAGTCTATGCCCCTCGTCCTGTGCTCGCGCACCCCTGGGAGGGTGTCCGCTAGGGCAGCACGATATATCAGCAATGAACACAAATGAAGAATTAACTATTTTAAGATCCAGGAATGCTGATTATTTTAACCTTGCTCAAACAGACGCATCTCATTAATTTAAATGTGTTTTTTAATATTTTTGTGGTTTTTATGTTTGGAGTTTTGTCACTATGTGATGGACAAAGTTTTTTGAATCTTGAATACGTTGGATACAAACAAACATGTCGGCGGTCTGGAAATTCTTCAACATGGACCAAAGAGATAAAACACAAGCTATATGCAACGCCTTAGTAGCCTCTAGAGTTCATTTTTGTTTAACTTTTTCATCACAGTCAGTTTGGGGTAAAAATGATCAAACATTGGCAAAAAATGATGAATACTGTTACTAAAGAATACTTTTTAAAAAAAATCTCAGTAAACAGTACAAAAGTGTAAACAAGTTATTTAGATAGACATTCTGCTTCCTCACATGATGGGATTGTGATCAGTTATCGGTTTATTTAAACTCACTGATCAGTGATCGGCCTTAAAAATCCTGATCATGTAAAGCCCAGTACTTTGTTAATAAGATGTCAGATTTCAGGATCTCAGCCCTTTTTGAGGCTGCTGACTGACTAAATCATGAAGGTTCTCCAAGCCTTCATATACAGTCCTTCATAACCTCAAAACCTAGGCTGATATTTATTCTGATGCAGAACCATGTTTATATCTCATTAACTCTTTAGTTGCTGCTTGCTAGCATTCCTGATTTCTACAGCCTCTGTCTCTGAGCTCATTCTGTCAGACACACAGCTACACAAACAACTGCTCCTCCCCCTGCTTTCCTCTCTCTTCCTGCTCCCCTCTCTCCTCCTGCTTCTCTCTCTGTGCTTTTTTGTTACTTATTAGTGTGAGTTCTTCATAATGCACATATATTGAGGGCTGTTTAAAAGGAGAATTGTCCCAATGCTTTGTAGTGCATAGAGAGAGACCTGTAGGACCTTACCATCACAACAAAGAAAATGATGCCGCTCATGTTCAATCTTGATTATTATATTTGAATGACTAAATTAAGCCATAATTTTAATGAAACAGCTCTGCAGCACACATCCTCAACAATGAACTTGACAGTATGTATGCTAGCAGCTGGGACAGCAGAGGCAGAGGGGTTTACAAATGGCAGAAAGCTTTGAAGACAATTCCCTTTATGTCCTACTGCTGTCCCTTTTCTGCCTTGATCTCAGCATTAACAAAAGAGTAACCCCCTTGAGAGTTGTAATGTGTGTTGTTTGCATCCCTCACATCTGGGAGTTGTATATAGCCTAAGGAATCCTCTAATAACAGGTGTTTACATCCCATATACATTCATAGTTCTGCACATCATGGAGCCATAAAGACGAAACAGCATGTATGTCTGCACAGAGCCATCAGTGTAACAGACTCAGTAAGCTGGACAAACTACCTTGAATCTTGGAGCAGAGATAACACAGACGCTTGAATCATGACGTTACTTTGATTGGTCTCTCTTTTTATCTGGACTGATCTGACAATTGCTTTGACAGTGCCTCTCTGTTTTTCTTCTGCTGCGTTCCTGTCATTCAGAGTGATGGTAACCACTTGGAGTATTTACTGTTTCTACTTTTCTTCAGGAAAACAATAATATTATACCAAATGAAGAAGAGCCAAATAGCATTAGTACCTTTATTTTTGTCTTCCTGCTGAAGTCGTGGCAGGAAGGGGGATTTGGGTAAGTGGTTTGTTTTGAATAGCTGTATATGGAACTTGCAGGTGACCACCAGTCTTTCATGCATCAGATGAACCACTGTGAGAGAAAGAACAAATGTTCAATGAATGATAAATGTTACGTGGTCAAGTAGTCTGCTCGCTCTGGCTTGAAGTTTCTGTGAAGTAAGATGACAGTTTTGGCTATCGCAGCGTTTGAAGGAAGCATGTGCTTATGAAGGCTCAGCGTTTGCATGAAGGATGAGATCTGCTGTTCAAAGGACAGGAGGGACTGAAATGCCAACCTGATAAGAAGGAAAATGATGTGCTGCTCCTTTATGAACCAGTGGTAGTATTTCAAAATATAGTTGCCATTTAATAAGCTCTTGTGATGTGACGGTCACCAAGGATCTCTGTTTATTTATTGTGTGGACAATGACAGAGGCACATAAAGGGAGCGTGTGGGCAACCGACCCACTGCTGCCATACATACAAGTGCAAATTAGGCTAAGCAGCTTTTTGTTTGCCCTGGTCTCCATGACAACCGCTTTGTTCTTAATCCTTTTGAAACCTGCCCCTGATGATTTAAAAAAAGGCAACTCCAAAATTCTGGTTCAGCAGCCCCATGAGCAAATGTGAACTTTACAAAATTGTACTTCTTCTACTGCACTGGACAGCATCCATTAAGAGACAGAAAAGGCCGTGCTGATGAGGACTGTTGGGTTCTGTGTTTCCATCAGGCTTTGGGATTATGTTGAGGTTGTTGTACAAGAAGCACTGACATACAGGAGACAGCAGTGAATATACAGGTGCCAAGGAGTAAAAGGCGGAGGTGGGTTGGAGAGGAACTGTAGATAAGATGTTGATGTAACTGTTTTTATCCTAAATGAGGGGAAAGATTCTCATCTTTTTGTTGGAGTCATTATGAGGTTTATCCTGCAGGTTTTTCTCATACTTGACAGTTTCTCTATCAGCGGTTGATCCAAAAGGTTTGGTGTAAAATGATCATCTGTTTTTCTGATGCTTTTAAAATGAGAGAAACAGCCTTTATTTTAACATTCAGAAAGAAATAGAAGTCTCTGGGCCAGACCACTGTTTGACAGTACTTATCAGAACTGCAATGCCCACTTCCAAAAAAGTTAGGATGTTGAATGTAGCAGAGAGAGACTGATTATCAGGTGATTATAGGTATATAGCAGGACTTGACACTAACTTTTTTCACAAGGAGCACATGTGTGCCTAAGTTGAAAAAGTAAGGAGCACACCAAGAACTTTAGGGGCACAATGAAAACTGATCCAATAATGTTTGTCTTATTGGTCAACATAAGTACTATCATTTGAAATCAATTTCAGGTCAATTGATCACGTGACATGAAAGCTATTGAAGAAAATGTTCAAAATTTGCCTTTGAATTTAACACAAAAACTTTAAGGGGACAAATTAGGGAAATAAAGAGGTGTGTCTTATTGTCCGACCTTAGTAATGTTATTTAAAATCAATTTTAGGTCACTTGGTCATGTGACATGGAAGCTTTTTAAGGAAAACAGCTTTTTTTTTTGAGAACATCAACCGGTAATGTATTGATGTTCCCTTATTCACCCGATGTTGACAGCAAGGGTGACAAGTAGATTTAACTGCGCTGCTGATGCTATGTACAGCTATGGAGAGTGAGAAGACACTGGTAGATCCGCATTGAATGTACGTCGAATATCCAACCTAAAACTAACTTCAACGCAGTATTGACATGAAAAAACATTTGCTGCCTCGGCCGATTTTCTTAATGCACACATGCCCCTAAATACATTTTACAATTCGCACACATCTATTTTCAGTCTGTTCATGTACATTCTTATTCATCCAGGTCATTGTTTTCTTGAAGACTCCAAAATCAGGCAACTGAACTGTGTAGAGTTGAGAAGACGTTTCGCCTCTTATCCAAAAGCTTGTTCAGTTCTAATTATTGCTAGTGTGAGGAGCAGATATTTATCTTACTGGAGAAGGGGACAAACAACGACTGGAGGAGTTGGAAAGAATGGGTCATAGAAACCCATCTCCGGGTGTTCCACCCTGAGGGTCGTTAACCTCTATTTTTAGTCGCAAATGTGAGTGAAACGGTCGCACTGTCGAGCCCAGTATAGTCAAATCTGCCGCATATCACCGTCATCTTTTCTTTATGTTATTAGTATATCTAATCCAGAGCAGTCACTGATATACATTTTGACATTGTAGTATTTACTATGGACAGTAATATCTGTCCTGTTTAGTGGTCTGTGGAATAACCTAATATCTGTGTATCTCTGTGGATTCATTAAAAATCCATCCTCAACATGTTACTAGCTAAGACAACCATGTTTTTTAGATTTTACTGTGGATGGACTAATGAGTCTCTACATTATGTTTTTTTTACTTTAGCCCTAATATTTACCTTCTTATATTTCTCTTTGAACAGTTTCAGATTCTGGACAGAAGTCCTGAAGTTTCGTAAGGTGATATTATATTTTCCCACATTTAATGTGCTGAACATTAACTCATTCACAACATTCAATCACTAGTTTTACGAAATGGTTTGTAATTTGTCAAATTGAAAATAGAAAAATATAATATCAGTGTTACACATCTGCTCTGTCAACCATTCGTATGTAGATTGGAAATGTTCAAAAGCTTGTGTCCAATAGATGGTTGTGCAAAGGCAAAGTATCAAATGATTGATAGATAGATAGATAGATAGATAGATAGATAGATAGATAGGTAGTTAGATAGATAGATAGATAGATAGATAGATAGATAGATAGATAGATAGATAGATAGATAGATAGATAGATAGATAGGTAGATAGATACATAGGTAGATAGATACATAGGTAGATACATATATAGGTAGATAGGTAGATAGATAGATAGGTAGATAGATACATAGATGGATAGGTAGATAGATACATAGATACATAGGTAGATAGATACATAGATAGATAGACTGATGATTTTATTCCCCAAGTACTAACAGATTAACAAATAAATATAACAAACAAATCAACAAATGGATATAAAGACACCCTGATCAAACTTAAGAACTGACTTTTTTTTGTTCCCAGATTTCATTATGCAGTCATCCTTTTGGTGTAGATAACGAGAAACATTTCTGTTTGTTTCATATCAATAGAACACAGAAAATTGTCCGTAAGATCAATTGATGGGCAGCTCCCTCATACATTATGAAAAACTGCTAAAGGGAAAAAAAGGATACAATAGAAGAAGAGTTCGGCTGTGAGGAGGACAGAATAACAGAAAGACACTTGAACTGTTTCAGGTGCTGACTCCATGCTGTGACCAACAACTGTCTGATGTTGTTGACAAACACATACCTTGAATGCATCTTAATAAGTGCCCATGTGAACACCTGATGCACCCCTTCCCTCACCCCATCCCTTCCAGTCACCACCAGGGTCGCTAATCCAATGTGGCAGAGAATTGCTGCGCACTTGCCTTGCAGCGACTTGTACCCTATAACCATACACAAATCGATCTGACATGTGGTATTAGATTAAATTACCACACAGCGCAATGACAGTGAAAAGGATTTGTTCCAACCCCCTCCCTCCATCCCACACGCACCCTCCCAGACCAACTACAGAGCTGAGGGATGTTCAGCCAAGCAACAGGAGATGCTGCTCCATCAAATTAATCTGTCAGGCAGGGCATCAGAGCAGCTTACAGCTAGCCACCCCTCACTGTAGACCGCTGTCAGTGTTTGCATCAGGGTCTAAAGATTTAGCCGATGTAACCCAGTGAAGCACATCCATGAAGGTGGTTGCAGAAACATTATAAACATTTCTGCTCTTACAAACACAGATTCACACATACTTGTAACATTTAAAACAGACCTTTTTGTGTCTGCAAATTTTTCAGGCCATTGAGGGTTTTGACTGTTCACAATGATAACTGAATAACACGATTATCTCTCTGCTGTTATTGATACTAAGTTTGTAATTTAAGAGCCATAGTTCATTTTGACAGGTATGACTTATAACCATGAATAACACAGGCAAGGTAGCAGGAAATGTAAAGTGTGATTTATTTTGATTTGTACTTTTCAGTTTAAATGGCCGTAGAAAGACAGGAAGTGTGAGGAGCCAAGCGTTAGGGTAGACAGGAAGGATTGTGGCTTGGGGTGAAACCCAGATTACAGCCTTAGACCACTAGTCCTGTAACACTTCACAATGAATAGAATTTAACCCCAAATATAGACCAGTACTTTGAATGTAGAGTTTCAGTTCTCCTTGTTAAATTGTATTAGCTTTCAGAAGATTTTTGTACCCACAGCCATCAGACTTTATAATTGTTCTATCAATAGTAGATGACATGAGACAGGAAACCAGGCAGGGGCGAGGAATGACATGCAGAAAGGACACCACAGGGAGGAACTGAACCAGGGCTTTCTGCATACACGTCTGCGTCCCTTTAAGAAAGTTTTAAGCTCTTGCTGCAATTTAAAGGAAGTATTAACAGTGCATCAATTTGATAATCAAATCAATATAATGAATTTTAATAATATAGTCCATAAACTTGTATTATTCAGGTAAATACTGCACTACTACTTCTTTGTGGTCTGATGCCATGACCAGCAAGAGTTTCAAAGTGTTTCAGTCACAGCTCTGTAGTGATTGACTGACACTCTAAAATAGTACTCTGTCGGCCCTTGGGGCCTGGTTACCTCTTGACAATACACTGATTAGCTGCAACTGAATGCATTGCTTAAACTTGCTGTGGTGATATTTCGATTTTGTTTGACACAAGGTGCATATTGTTTTTGACTTGTCAACAGAGCTATCTTAAAGTGTTAGAGGTCAAAATATGCCAGTCAAAACTGCAGTGGCGTTGTTATATTTTTTCATAGTAGCAGCAGAAAGCAGAAAGACACTCAAGCAGTATTTGTATGGCGTGCCAAAGGGGGCAAAAAAAGCTCAACGAAAAGAGTTATTTTCTACTTAAATCACATTGTGATTACTGCATCGATACTGACAACCCTGTCAGTCGTCCATCTGTCCATTCCTTCCTTCCTTCCTTCCCTCCCTCCTAATGTCATCTAATGTAATGTTAAGGCAACCTGCCAGCCAGCGTAAGTAAATCCAGACTACCCTCTCCCCAGCAACACTGTCCAGCTCCTCCTCTGCAATCCCAAGATGTTCCCAGGTCATGTAGGATATTTCACTTCTCCAGCAAACTCTGAGCCTGCCCCTACATTTCCTCCCAGCTGGCTGCTCCCAGAACACCTCCAAAGGAGGCATCCCTATTAATGCTCAAACCACCTCGGCTGATTCTTTTCAATGCAAAGGAGCAGCAGCTTTACTCAGAGTTTTCAACCATGTCTCTGAGGTTGAGCCCAGCCACCCTTTGGTGGAAACCTATTGTGGTTGCTTATATCTGTGATCTCATTATTTCAGTCACAACCCATAGCTCAAGACCAGAGAGGGCAGGACTATAGACAGGCCAGTAAACAAACGCTTTGCCTTTCAGCGCAGTGCTCTTTTCACCACAACAGCCTGGTGAAATGTTTGCAGTACTGCTGACACCACAACAGTCAGCATGTCATTTTTATGATTCATTTTGCCCCCATGAACAAGACCCCAAGATACTGGGGTAGGCGAGAACCATGGCTTTGGATTTGAAGGTGTTGAATCCAACTTTCTCACTTGGCACTCAGTTGCATATGGCCCCAGTGCTTGCTGGAAGTCCCAGCCTGAAGAAGCCGGTGGATACAGTGTATCATGGCTGCAGCACAGTGGACCAACCCTACCCTTCCAAGGCCTCAGGAGGGGTGTGAGAGTTTGCCTATCCAGTCTCTATATGTGAGCTTGGAGAATTCTATCCTCTGAGGGGTCTTGTGGGGGGGTACTGAGGTAATAGGAGGTACCAGGGTTATAACGTCAGCCATCTGATCAAAAAGTGGGGGCTGTGTTCACATTCTTGGCAAAAAGTCAAAGTTTTTCAATGAGTATTAGGCTTCCCTAGAACTGCCCTTTATCTCCAATTTTGTCTGTAATTTTTAATGAACAAGCAGGGGGAGGAGGGTCTGCAGTTTGAGAGCCTTCGGCATCTAAGGGCAAATCTCATCCACACCTGGTGCCATTCTGCCTGGGAGTTCTTTCCATCGCCCAGAAGTATTCCCAGTCTGGTTTAGCAGTTCTTCACCCCTGCTGAGCCCTGCTTTCTTTTCCAGAGGCCCCTGATAGTTTGCTAGGAATTTCCCCAAGCCAATCAAGGTCCTTTTCTACAGTTGTCCCACACCAGGTTTGCTGCATCATTTACAGCTGCAGCCCTCCAAGCCATCAGTCTGCTGCTTCCAGAGACTCCTGGACTAACCAAATCCTGAGAAGCCTCTTTCTTCAGCCTGATTGTTTCCTTTACAGCTGGTGTCTACCACTGGGTTTGAAGGTTGCTGCCATGACAGACACCAGTGACTTTTGGGCCAAAGCTTCTGGCAGCTTGTTTGTTCAAAGAGGCTTTGAACATGGTCCATTCAGATGCCGTATCTCCAACATGAGACATGGAACCCGAAAGTAGTAGTTGAAGGTGGAAGTTGAAGACCTGACAAACCCCCACCAGGGGTTCCTAGTTAACCCTTACCACACACTTGTGTTTACCAGGCCTGTCAGTCTCTTCTGCCACCTGATCTAAGTGGTGAGCAGATTGCAATCAGTTGACAACTCTGCTCCTTTATTCACCCAGAACATGTAGCTGAGGATCAGATGAAATGACCAAAAAGTCTATCAATGATCTCTGGACTAGGGTGGCTTGGTAGTAGGTAAACAGCATCACTTGGGCTCAGATCAGGCAGGCTATTTCTACCAGTCAGCCCTTTCATCGAAGTCACCCAGGAGAATGATGGAGTTCCCAGCCGGTCTCCCTTTGGAGACCCCACCCAGAAGCTTCAGGGAGGCCTTGTACTCTGAACTGTTAATTGGTGCATATGCAGAACTGTCAGAGCCTAAGCCTTTGCAAGGGGATCCTCTCACTCTCTGGGGAAAACTTCATCACTGAGGCACTCATCTGGGGTCATAGGGACACACAAACCCCTCCACTACGATAAGGTGATGATTCTTGCAAGGCTAACAGCCTTAGCATCTTAATATAGTGAAAAAAACTGCGTCCAGCTCTGGCCAAAAATACCATTAGATCACATGATTCTGCCACTTTCCTTTAGCAGGCCAAACATGTAGCACTGAAGCCTCCACTGACTTTTTCTAAACACTCTACAAACTAGATGTGTGTTGTTTAGATAATACAAGGACTTTACAGAGCTCAGCAGCTGAAATCTAGTCCAAATGTAACAGAAATGTTTTTTATAAATGTTCTTGTGTCTGAAACAATGAGGGTTTTCTTTGAAGGATCAAAACAGAACTCATACTTTCACTCCTGGATGTAAAATTGAGAACTTAAAAGCAATGATACCTGCCATCTGAAAACATTAACCTTTCATTTGTCCTGCGTATCCCAGTAGATAAAGGACTGACTGGATCAGCTGAAACAAGGCTAAATTGCTCCATTTACATCCTGCCTGTTGAAGGTTTGTGAGGTTCTTTGTTTGTGTTTTCTGCTCAGAGACAAGGATCCAAGACCTGCCTGTTGTCTCAGTCAATGTTAACAAGGTTATTCCAGTTGCTGCTGCTTGGCCCCGAGAGAAAGCTCTATTACACAACAATTAAACTCTGCGATTTGGTGAAGCACAAACAGCTTCCTCCACTCAGGAAAGTCAGGGAGGGAAGATTCTGACCTTTCTGTGCGTATACAAGTGAGATGTGGAGTGTCTGCCTTAAAATAGATGTACCAGTGGAAACAGTAGACTGTGAATGTTCAGCAGCTTTACTCAGAGCATTTATGTTGAAGTCTGAATGATTGTGTATTTGAGGTTGTCCCTAATAGACTGGGAAATTTCTTTTATAGCCACATGAAGATGCTCACTCATAAAACAGCAGAATTAAAAATGTTTTGCAGTGTGGTCAAAATGGGAGGGCTCTGAAGCTCAGTTTTAAATTTTTTGTTGGATTTTTTTAGGTGACTTCTGATTATATCAAGGTTCTTAGGTATCTACTGTTGTGGGTGTGGCTAATTTGACTTATAGGAGGCATAATGTCACTGTTTTCCAGGTGACCAGGCCTCGTCTTGAACCTCATCTGTTTGATGGTTTGTAGATTAGCTTGAACTTAATAAGCATTTCCAATATGGCCGCTAAAATCAGATGATGTGGCCTGTTGCATTGTCCCAGCTTTTCAGTTTTTTCCTCTTCCTTTCTTTCCTGTCTGTTATTATGTATTTGATTTACTCCTTATTTTTCTTTACTCATTTTATCATAAGCTCATATTTTTTAGCACTGAATGATTCATGTTGTGTTTGTGTGATTGGGGAGAAGGAGGTGGGTGGTTTTCGTAGTCTGACACTTTGAATGTCAACCACATTGATGATTTTGATAAACTTGTGTTTTTAAAAAGAAAACAAATGTTTGACATCACTGAACCAATATCTGTGATTTATACCGTCAACATGTGATCGTTAGAGATGGTAACCAGGGGTACCAAAAGCAGCCCTAATGATTACTCGGCCATCATTACTTCAGGTCTTGATGAAACTGATGAAGGTGTGGATAATCATTCTGAGAATAAACTTCTCCTGGGTTGGTTTTTAGTCATTCTAAAGACTTGAAGTAAGCCAAAACCTCTTCTTTTTTTCATGGACTGGGTGTTGAGTTAAGAAAATAAAAAGCACAGAAGCCAAAAGCTTAGTAATGCGTGAAAGTGGTTTTTGAAGTTTTCCCTGCACTGACATATAATCTTTTATAATTGAGAGACAATTAGGCACCCCTGAGGGGCTGCAAGTGTGCATGGATCAGTGGTGTGAGTTTGCAACTGTTTGCACTGCAGCACAATGGCCTTGTATGCTCTCCTTTGTAAATCTGTCATAGACACACTGGTCCTATGGCAGCCAGCAGGGCAGCTGTACACACACACACAGCATATCTAAATAGTGACATTCAGCAGCCACACTCGCCTGTTCCTGCTCCAGGGAAAAAATAATCCTTTCTTTGAATATTTGGAAGAGAAGATCCACTCAGCAATGTCACCATGATCTCAACCTTCCTCCACCATGTACCACATTCAAGTGAAGTGTGAATAAGAAAATTAATCAGCTTTTCTGCTGCGAATGAGCAGATATAGAAATATAAAACCTGGAAAGATTAATTCCCTTTTCCTTTCACATAATCTCCAGATTAAAGTTGCAGAGGGTTGACAGTGAAAGTTATTTGTTACTCATTCATCAGTGTGTTTAAAGGGATATCCCGGCATAAAATGAAGTTAGGGTAAAACACATCGTAACACAGAGTTAGAAACCCCTCGAGAGATGAATTTTGACTGCTCACATTGTTTGATTTGACAGTATGTGTTTGTGTCCCACACAGAACAGACTCCGTTTGTGTCCCACAAAACAGACCTTTATAGTTGTGTTTAGTTGTGTTTGTCTTCGTAATTATGCATATTTTTCTGTTAGTCTGGGATCAGAGCTTCAGAACCTATACTGATATGTAATGGTCAGTGTGTGATTTAGGGCTGAAGAAACCTTAACCATCCACACTTTGCCCCACAGCAACCCATGGCTTCGACAATGCTGTTAGAGTCTTAATGTAAGAGCTGTAATGTGGTCAAATCAGATTACGCCTGAAGAGACGGCGCAGGCACACACACATACATGCAGTCAAACAAACATGAACATAACAGTAAGGTTGAGGCTCTCTGAAACAGGTTATTGAACAGTGCTTTAAGATTTTAGCATTTATGGCCTTGAGAATTGAGTCATCAGGTCTTCATTTAGTTGGTGTGGTGACCTGTTTCCTTAAAGACCTGATTCAGTTCTTCGTTTGTAGCCTGAGAAGGTGACATGAACAGAAATATACTGCAGTCCTGATGTTTCCATTCAGTCTGAAGGGTTTATAGAAAGTATGCTTATGTTTGGTTGAATCCAGGTTCTGAGTCTTAACTATCTAACACACAGATTACTAAAAGGATTGGCTTGGGCAGATCTTCTGCTTATTCATGGTTGGTCCTAACTCAATCACACCCTTTCCCCAGAACTGTAGCAAATGACGGTCAGTCCTCTCTGTCTTCCCACCTCATGTCCATCCTCCTCTGCCAACTTCACAGCCAAACACCTGGACCTTCTCCTGTCCTCCTCCTTCTTCTCCTCCTCCTCTTCCTCCTCATCGTCATCATCATCATCATCATCATCATCATCATCATCATTACATCTTTCAAAAAATCCAGCAACATCGATCAGCAGTAAACTATTAACCAGTCAGTCAACAGTTTTGAACAACTTTGATCACAGATGTGATTTTTTTATTGTGTATTTGTGTATAGAAAATGTTACAGCTGAACAGAGTTCCTGTCAGACATAAACCAGCTCCACTCTCATCACAACAGGCATTTCCTGACACACATGACTGTAGATGCAGTGACTGTTATTAAGGCAGGTGGGGGTGGGGGTTTAATTGCTGCTCTCTCTCTCTCTCTCTCTCTCTCTCTGTCTGTCTGTCTGTCTGTCTCTCTCTCTCTCTCTCTCTCTCTCTCTCTCTCTCTCTCTCTCATGTACTGATCCGATGTTTAAAATTCTTATTCTCTGTTTTTATTCCACCAGTAAAGTTCTTCTTGAGATTGCACATATTATCCACCACAGTGACCAGGCTGAGTGCAATCATTGAAATGAATCTCATCTAAATGAGCAATGGTCTTAGGTTAATTTTTTTTACATTCATACTGAGCTAATTTAACCATAATGTTACTCCCCCATATGTGTTGGTCATAACCCTGATAGTAACAGCCATAACATCAGCACAGGTAATAAGAATGATATTCCATAATGAAAAATGAAGGCATAAGTGTAATCTTTTATTAATACAGCATGTGAATATGTACTTGAACTGGAAAAAATAATATAAATATGAAACACAAAGGACCATAAATACATGCAATTATCTAACACTCTGAAAACCTTTACCTTTTTTATTACAGTGCATAATCAATACAAATGTTCTCTCAGGACACATAATGAACACAGCAGGGACACAGGGGGTTACCTATACAAGTCCACCATGAGTAAGCACTTTAAAACCTTCAGAGGACAACCCTCTTAAAACAGGCAAAAACTCTGAACAGAACCAGACTCATGCTGATCATCTGCTGAGCCTGGATGGGCAGAGGAAGTGAGATAAAGAAAAGACAGAAAGAGAGAGATGGATGGAGACGGTCAGAATAGATAACAGATAATGCAGACTAAAAACGAAGAATACTTAAGGGATCCTGAATCATCTGTCTTCTTTAAATTTTGCTTAATCAATCATACAGATGATTCTAGTGTAGTGATGAGTCATTGTAGTGTATTGTAGTATATTCTTTATATTTTGTGTTATTAGTTAACAAACATGAGAGAAGTGAAACATTAGCAACACCTTTCCATAGAAGACACTCAATTACACCACCACCATTACAGAACAGTTATTACATGTGTAAGTCAATACAAACTGAAAAAGTAAAAGCAGAATAAAAGTGGAAAACAGGGCAGAGAGACTGAAAAATAAAAATAATGAATAAAGTTAAATATCCAGATTTTAATAACCAACAGCATAACATTTATCTTAACTGGATGGTCTCATTCTCAAATAAATTTAAACCTAAAAGAAGACATCAAACACAGAAGTCAATATTTACTAAAGGAAAGGTATTCTTAAATAATAAAAATCACTTAAAACTAATTTACAAGACACAACAGATACAGTGCATTTTCTTTTCTTTTTCTCTCTTTTTTGGCTGGTTCTTTTGTTTTTGGTCACAACTAAACAGCTCAAAAATCTCCTCTCTCTTCTGTCCTCTCTCATTTTTCTCACTCCTCTCTTCCTCTCTCTTTTCCTCTCCACCACAGTGTTATATTTAACATTACTTGTTTTTGTTGATGTTTTTGTTAATTATTTACTATTTCAGGAGTCACCAAGATAAATTGGGCAAATCTCTGCTGCTTCTTTTGAATCTTACTGCTCTGTGCTGAAACCTGACACCACAGTCTGACTATTTCCTGACTCATTTGCACACTAAACAGTGATTGGATGTTTACTGAGGACTGATGGGGAGGGGTGTGTGTATGAGTGAGCCTGAATAATTCCCATCCAGCAGAGCGGAAGGACAGAGAAAAGAGAGGATGCGGATTCTGTATCTTGTCGTTTTTTCGGCTGATTTTTCCGCTACTGCAGTTACTTTTATCAAGGTTTAACACATTAATACTGTGGGTAAATTAGAATGTGCTCTCTTCTAAAATTTTGATTTCAGAGGGCAAGAAATGTATTTAGACACGTTAAGGATACCATTGCGCAGTACAGACGGTTATATGATCTCTGTGCTTTGGCAGATCATTGTCACTTTATAATCTGTTACAATCTAAGATCGTCAGATCGCATGCCCCTTCTTTAAATACCAGCCAGTGTTTATCCTGATGCATCACTGAGTTGGCAGACGGAGTTTGTTTTTTAAGTCAAATGTGAGAATGTGAGAAGTGTGGGATTATCACACAGGATTAGATATATACCCAGACACCTTTAAGAAGATCTGAAAACATGAGCCAGTCTGAAAAACAGACCCAAAGAATTATAACAAAGTCATGCAAAAATATCTGCAATCGTCTGAACTGTTAGTATCTGCCCAGATTTTCCACCGATGCATCTCCATTTAAGACACATTATAAATTTGCAATGCTAATAAAAAATTTTCTCACTAAGGCTGTCAAATGATAAATCTTTAAAATTACAGATTTGATTGAATTGGGGATACAGCTGCTGACCAAGACAAAAATGGTGGCCTATATTTTGAAGGGTATGTTTTAGGGGATCTAATCTGGACAGTCTCTGAAAAACACATTGATCTTTGCTGTGGGATTGCAGAGTCCTAGAGAGCCACAAAAACAAACTCATGCAGGTCTCACGTAAACACCAAATGCAAGCAGCTGGTGATGCTAGCAGCTTTTGCATTAGCATCAACATTGGCCACAGCATGGCAGGTTAACGTCAGAGAGTCACAGACAGCAGGGTGAGGATTTCCACACAGCACAATTTAACAAAGACCGTTCAGTTCATGGGCAGAGAGAAGTAAGTATCACCTGTACCACTGAGTCCTCCCGATCAGTCACAGTTTTTACTGAGAGTCTAATTATAACAGCAAGGAGAGGAGCCTCCATCCAGTGGCACTGAAATAATTCTGTTTTTATGTGTTATAAATCTGTTAACTTTGACAGCCCTACAGGTCACTGATCTTATCTATCGAACTTTGTGAAACTTCAATCACAGCTGGTAAATTCAAAAGGATTTAACTTAATCGTTATTTTTCTTACAGACAGAGGTCATCAAAGGACCGTGTGGAAGTGTGGGGATGACCTTCAGGCACGTACCAGCAAGTGAGGGGGATGCTGTCCACGTCAGCATTGAGACAGTTACGCCCAACTCTCCTGCAGCCCTGGCCGATCTGCAGAGGGGTGATCGCCTCATAGCTATTGGAGGTATGTGATGTGTTATCATTTCCCCAGAAGATACGAAGATCAATTCTCAGTCTGTTTTTAACAGTGCTTTTCTTTTTTTTTCTTTTTTTTTCTTTAGGTGTCAAAGTGACATCCTCAGTCCAAGTGCCAAAACTGTTGAAGCAAGCTGGGGACAGGGTGATCGTATTTTATGAGAGACCTGTTCGTCACCAGCCTACATCTTTTGGAAGCCTGGGAACTCTGCAAGAAGGATTTGGGCAGTTAGAGGAAACTGGTTTTATTTCCCAGCCAGGGGGTTACGAGGAGGACCCAGCCCCCATCACCACCCTTTCTGACATATCTGACAGCAAAGACATGGATTCTGAATTTGAAGAGTTAGTTGTGGACCCTAAACCCAGTCAGAGTGGCAGCCCTGTAATCAGTGTCTCAAACACTGGTGACACAAAGGAGGATTCATTTCTCACAGTTAACCAAAGCCCCAAAAGGACTGTGGCCAACTTGGCCTCGAAGCCTCTTGGTACCATATCACCAATCCTCAACCGCAAGTTAAATCTAGTGGGTATCCAGTCACCACTCAAACCTCATCCCAAAGAGTCACCAAAGCCCTCACCGCACAAGACTAGTAATGATCCAGGGGAGGCTCTACAACGCCCGAGTGTTCCTCCCCCAACTCCTCCCTCTCGTCCCCCAGTGCCACCAAGACCTCAGATGAGGCTGACATCAGCCTCGACAGAGACCACTCTTTTGGAAGGTGTTGATTCTGCCACTCCGACTAATGTTGCAGTTACTTCCACCCTGCCCCCCATTCCCACTACATCTGAAAAATCCCATGAAAAAACTTTAGTACCCGGAGCCATTGAGGAAAAGGCTGGCACTGACAAAATGTGTGTGAAACAGCCTGAGGTGAAGCAGTCTGCCAGGCCAGCAGAGTCCAGTGATGAGATGCCTGTCCCTCTGACAGTGTCCAATAAGGCAGATCAAGCAAAGGACAAAGTTTCAGAGAGCTCCTGCAGCACACGTGATAGTTTAGAGGATCATTCCTTCTGGGAATCCCCAGAAACCATGTACCGTAACCAGACTGCACGCTGGCCAAAGGCCTCCGAGGTGTTTGAGGTGGAGAGCAACCATAAGTACCTTAATGTGGCCCTGTGGTGCAAAGATCCCTTTAAGCTAGGCAGCTTGTTGTGCCTGGGTCATGTCAGCCTTCAACTGGAGCATCTAGCCTTGGAATGTATGGCTACATCTTCAGCAGAGTACCAGAGCACCTTTAGGTTGGGTCCTCCAGAGCCCAGAGCTAATGTCAGCCGCACTGCACTACGCAGTCTCAGCACTCACAAGGGCTTCAATGAGAAGCTGTGTTATGGAGATGTTACTCTGAACTTTAATTACCTAGCTGAAGGTGAGTTTGAGTATCCGGTGGGTACAGCAGAAAGGGAGCGAGAGGGGAGTCTCCATGATGAGGATCTAAAGGAAAGGGAGAAAGAGCATATCTCCTCAGCGCCACGGGATGACCTGGCTTATGGCGCCATGCAGTTGGTGGAAGTTCGTCACAACTTTCAGGACACCCAGTTCCAAAATCCCACCTGGTGTGAATACTGCAAGAAGAAGGTCTGGACCAAGGCAGCCTCTCAGTGTATGATCTGCGCCTACGTATGCCATAAGAAGTGTCAAGACAAGTGCCTTGCTGAGAATCCCCTCTGCGTGGCAGCAACTGAACGCCGTGGAGCTGACCCTGAAGCCAAATCAACCATAAACCGGGCAACCACTGGACTAACTCGGCACATCATTAATACCAGCTCCCGTCTACTCAACCTCCGGCAAGTGCCCAAGACTCGGCTAGTGGAGCAGGTGGTTGATGTGATGCCTGGAACAGTGGAGCCCTCACCCAAGCATACCCCCAACACTTCAGACAATGAGAGCAGCGATACTGAGACCTACACCAGTGGTGCAAGCCCCTCAAAGCAGCCCACCAGCACAGGTGGCAGCAGTAAACTTGTGCGCAAGGAAGGTGGGTTGGACGACAGTGTGTTCATTGCAGTGAAGGAGATAGGCCGTGACCTGTACCGGGGGCTGCCCACAGATGAACGCTCCCAGAAGCTGGAGTTAATGCTTGACAAGCTGCAGCAGGAAATAGACCAGGAACTGGAGCACAACAATGCCCTTCTGCTTGAGGAGAGGGAGGCTACAGATGCCCGGCGAAAGGCCCTCATTAGTACTGCCCTGAGTAAGTCCGGGGAGAGACTCCAGGCCCTCACCCTGTTGATGATCCACTACCGTGCAGGCATCGAGGACCTGGAGTCAGTGGAGAGCACCTCCCCGTCAGAGCAGCAAGGCTTCAAAAGCAAAGCAGAAGGTCCAGAGGAGGAGGCCCTGATGGGGGCTGAGCTGTATGACAGTGACATATGCAGCCCTGTGGAGGTGCAGCTGCTGGATGACATTACTGAGGAGCAGATTTGTGTGGAGGCACTGCACTAAATTAGAACTGGAAGAGGAAATGGAGGACATGTTCCTCCTTCTCCTGGGCTGGAGCTCCCAGGAAAACAAAGTCCTATTTGTTTCCTCAGAGTGGGTCATTTTTGGAGTGTGTTTTTGATATTGATCAGTTTGGGTCTGGTGTTTGATGATTCATTTGATTTTGATTTTCTTTTTTTGTTTGTTTGTTTGTAGGTGAAAAAAAGGGGCTAAGATACTTTTATTTGCACAATGTAATGCTGTTTCCATGGTTCAAAAGGGAGGCCTGAGAGCTAGACTTGATCTGCCCTCAGTAGTGCTGCATGTTTTTCCTCCACTTCTTTTTTTCTGTGGCTTAAAAAAATTATTGTAAGCTTCTAATTCAGTTTGCTTTCTTGTCTGTAATTGCTTTGCCATAAAGACTTTTAATAATGAGCACATGGCTATACTCCACCAGTCTGGTTTAAATTTTGTGACTAAAATGTGTTGTATGATATTTGTCTGCTGTTGAAGCTGAACATCTTCAGTCTCTCCCTGCTCAGTATGACCAGGGAGTAGGCGGTTTCGATATCCACCTTAACAGAACAGACATTTGTCTGAGGATCCAACAGTCTGTTAAACATATTTTTTGTTTTTGTACTCTAGTAAATTTGGGTTTTAGATGTAGTTTTCCTCACTCTTTTCAGCAAAGTTGCTCTGGATTTCAGCAGCTGCATAAATATCAATGGATCCTTATGATTTGCCTCTTTCTTTGGTATATTTGTTTGTGTTGGTTAGGCCGAACAGGATTGATGATGTAACCCACCTTTCCAATAAGTTAGTGTGCTCCAAGTCTCCTCTTATGCGTTTTAAGAGACACTGACTCCCTGAATGAATGTTGCACAGCTTGCAGTGAAGTGGTGCAAGCTCTGGTGGTGTTATGATTCTGAAACATGTATTTCATTTGTTTAGTTTCAGTTTCTGTGTGTTAGGATGATTTCAAAGCTCAGTGATTTAGTAGGATTAATTGACTTGTTGAGACGTTTTCAGACCCCAATGAATGTATGTCTAGCCCTTGCTGTGTTTTCTGCAAATGCAGCCGTTCAGCACTACCTTCCCCCAGATTCTTTGCATAACATCGAGCATCAGTGATCCTGTCACAGGAAGTCTTTCAAAATCAGTTACAGCTCAGACAGCTTTACTGTACATATGTTTCAGGACTTTAGAGAGCCTCTTGAAAATAATTGTTTGCAAAGAGAGAATATCAAAAGGAAAAATCTACCCCAAAGCACTGAAAATTTGTATTTCTAGTCTCTCACTGATTGGTGGACCCCATTGGAGATTCAGCCTCTCGAAATGTTGTTTTCATGTTGCGAAGCTTTTGTGAATTTGAAATAATCACTTGTCATAAAACCATCATGTATGATGTCTTTGAGCTTTGATCAGTTAAATATGTAGTTTAAAGGATGTGCGAACCATATTCTTATTTTTGGAGTTTTAAATTACAAACATTTGGCATTCATTGAACCTCAAACACCCATCTCATTTACAAACCCTGAACCAGAATGCTGTCATTTTTCATGTCATCACAGCAGAACCCCACCTGTAGACTGAATCGGTTTATGACTGATGTGGTACAACTTCTGACCCACCTGGTCTCCTTTTGAAAGCACAGTTGGGGTGAAGGGGGAAATCCACCAAGTTATGCCAAACAACCTATGCAAAAATTAGTCCAGCATTTCACAGACTCATGTTGTTTCCCCAGCCTAGCGGATGAAAATTCTCTGACCTGCATTGCGGCTACATTTGTAAGATACTGCCACTTTCCTGCAGTACATAAACCAAAGTGTGAGTACTTGCATCTTACACCAAAAGACCACATGAAACACGTCATATGCTTAAAAAACATCCCAAGTGGGCAGATTTTTCCTTCTACTGCAGCTTTGCTCTAAATGAAGTGATAAAGCCAAAAGGACGAGTGTTCAGATGGACTCAGAGGAAGCAAAGGCTCATTTCCTGCTCTGTTTTTTGCAGTAGGTGTGTTGTTCATGTAGACACTGGCTTATTGGCTGCTATACCTGTAATATTTTTCTCCTTTATGTATATCCAGATTTTTTTGTGCAATATTTTTGTAGAAAATGAAGCTGATAATCAAGTGTGAATCCCAACGTCTTTGACCCCTCTACTATGGTCTTGTTTCAAATGTGCAGTCCGTGTACTCTTATGCCAGGCGATGTACCTGCTGGGGTTTGGGGACCAATGTGAATCTGAGTGGAGTTTACCCTCTTTTGGCCTGAGCTGCTGCAATTATTACAATGTGAACTTCCACAAAACTTATCATTACACACTTCTGCCCCATCGCTTACTTTTGAGACTGGACTCAAGCCTAAAGCCCACAAGATCCCTGTTAAGCGCATTCCGTCAGCGTCATGCCTCACGCAGCAAATAGGTTGCCATTCTAATCAATGCTGTACACCCCACAGGAAGCATCTCAGTTCTGTCGCAGCTCTGTCTCAGAAGCATGTCAATTGCTGCTCTGCCAAAGATATGCACCTATTTTTGCTGCTCTACACTTCCAACACTTCAATCTACACAGAGAAGATCATTCTTGATAAGATGTCAAGCATGGAAACCGTGCATGTCATCTAGTAAATTTCAAAATAAAACACCATATGCAAACTCCAGACTGTGTATCAGTTCATGTAGATGAGAAATACTTCCTGGTTATGGATTTATCAGTAACACAGAACAATCCTATGGTTAATCCCTGATCCATGTGGACCCCAACAGGACTTTTAACTGCTAACTCTGTCTGAACGTAACAGCACAGCATAAAGGAACATAGTTAACTTTTTTAATCATGCTTTTTCACATACAGTTTACAATTAGAAGGAAATAGACTACAGAAAGGCAAAGTAACTTGTGAGCATGTTGTTTACTCTATACTGAGCCCAGATAACTGGGCTCCAAACATGCATCCTGTGGGCGATGAAGAGCGCTGTTTGACGGAGCAGAGACACAACGCTGACAGAATGCACTCAGCACGAATCCTGTGGGCTTTAGGCTTAAGGGTCTGAACACCCATTATAGCTTTCAGCTGGTCAAGATGGTGTTTCTTTCTTTTTGGGTATGTAAGGGATGTTGTACACAGTTTTTCAGAAGGCCCCTGTGATCAAGCTTTACTGTACATAACCCAAATAAACAAGTTCAAATGAACTCAAATCTTTCTGCTCTTTAGTTCAACCAGCTGCACAATAACAGTAAAGTCAACATTTATGATCCATCACAGCTTTTCAAATCACACACAGCAACCTCAGACACCAAACACAAGACTTAAACCTTCCAGACCAGACCTGAAGACCTGCAAGATCAATAAAGTAAAACAGTTTTTTCTTATGTATTGAACCTATATTTTCAGTCACAGTCAACTGTTGGTTGAAATGCAAATTAAACATTAATGCTCCCCTGAGGAGTTGTAGGAACAGATGGTATGGTAATTAAGACCTGTAACATCCATGTAAGTGATATCTAATGTGCACAAAGACAGTTGCTCCAAAAAAAACAAAAAAAAAAAAAACATCATGCTTTATGAGTTTCTGGAGTTTCTTTAACAGTGAAAAACAGCTGATTCACAGATTTGTGGTCAGACAGGCAGGCAGGGTCTTTAGTTCTCTGCTGTGACACGGTGGCTCTTGTACCCCAGTCTACCCTGGTGGCTCTTTGCTAGAAAGACTGAACCAGGAAACAGGAAACAGCACCTGGTCTCAGTCCAAAAACTCAGGGCTAGCTGAATCTGACCAAGTAGTTTTGTTGTCTAAAACAAACTAGATATTTGTTGAACTTTGCAATCACCCCAACTTCATACTTGTTTGTAAAATCTGAAAAAAAAAATAAAAAAATAAAAAAAACTTTTTAGTGAGTCTATGGAGTGGGATGATGTTTGCGCGTTATGCTAGTCAGGTGAGATTGTGATGTTCGGCCCTTAATAGCTGCAATCATTTGATTCTCTTTTTATTATTTGGTCCCATTTCCTACACCAGGAGCCTCACTCCACTGTCACTTACATGTTTAACCCTCTCAGACCCCAAACTGCTCCAACCAAACAAAGTCCTGAAGATTCAGTCTGTTTATAGTGAAGAAAGTGTTTTATATTACAACACATGCCACTATGCAGCAGAGAAAATAAAGGGAAGCCACATTTTCAACTCGGTTTTCAAATTACTTTATAGAGGTATCTCTTTGCAAAAACATGCAATTGGCCTGCAATACCACCTTAAAACAAGGACATCTTAAAGCTTTGTTGCACCTAGGGTTTATGAACCACAGTTTTCTCTGTTTTAAAGAAGAGCAAAGAGAGAAGGTAATGTGTGGGCATCTGTGAAGTAATTGAAGCCCCACGTTGAGATGGACAGCCTGATTACAGAGTGCCTGCTCCCACATTTCCCGAACACGGAAACTCAGTCTGCTGTCTCCATCCTCCAAATCTAGGCAATCAATGTCTCTGTCTGTGGAACCAAACTGAGGAATGTCAACCTATTTTCCATGTTCTCATAGTACTAACGTATGGAATTTTCAATCCACCTCAAAACATTACAGACAGAGGCAGCAGTTTACATTACAGTATGGTAACAGAGTGAAATGAAAAAGATAATATAGAGGTTATAATAATATAATAATATATATAACATAGCTATTACTGTGGCCATATCTGTCAAATATCAAAACTTTAATTTAGGTTACTATTACAGATTTTTAGAAACAAGACAACAGTGAGAAATTGAATGGTAATGATGAGGAAACCAATGTGTAGCTAAAAGGATAATCTGTAGTAAAGATGTGATATTTTAGTAACATGTAAATAATAATAATGGTCATATGTATAGTAATAATCATAATTATTAATGTATAGTTAAAGGCATGGTTGACGACCCAAACCTGTATCACCCTACACACGACACAGCCCCTCTGTCAGAGCAAGAAGCTGACCAGCAGATGATCCTATGCTAGCTTCCAATAGGATTCACCATGTCGGATTGCTAGTGACTAGCGGCAGTAAACGCCTGCTCTGCTAGCGAGCACTGTCTGCAGCTGCCTGGACAGTTACCGTGTTGACATTGCAGAGACGAATAAGAATTATGTAATATGTGCCATAATTAAAGGCGAAAATGGCCTGTTCAACAAGAACGCTGCTGTCTCTGCATCTGTTTTCAGGCCCAAATCCTGGTGGAGCTTTCTGCACCGCTCGAAGGATGACCTGATGTGTATTGCAGTTAGATTCCTCGCTTGGTTACATTTCCTCTTCGAATCTGCCCTTTCCCTTCTGTCAGCTTGCGTTTTCTTAGCACTTTTGGTGGTGGGGCAAGCAAAAGTGTTTTTTTTCTGTCCTTCTGCATCACAGCTCCTGTAGCTAAGCTGCTTGGCTACTTTTAGCCTCTCAGAGCTCCAAGGAGGGCCGGGAGAGTGGGAGGGGATGAGTCGGAACTACGGGAGAGGGGTGTGTTGAATACAGCGAGGTGATTGGATGGAGAGGCAGAGCAGGAGATTGATCAATAGGAGCTGTCTGGGACACATGGCTCCCTTTGGTCAATGTTTTTGCAGCCCTGCACCTGCTAGGGTAAACAGATTTTTTTTCATTCTTTTATCTCTTCACTTTGTGGAGATCGCACTATACGACCATGATTGTCATATAAACGAGGTTCATAATAATTACCAATCTCTCCAATCATGCCTGAACCATGCCTTAAATGGTAATATACTGCTGTTGGTTTGGTAATAATGTGGTAATAAAAAGATATTGTTGTTCATGGTTACTTACTGTCACAGGTTTTTTTCAGCATGAAAGCTTCCTAATTATAACTAAACTCATGAAAATTATAATTGGTAATATATAATATAATAAAAATTCCTCCAACCATTATGTCTCAACCCTCCCTTTTGTTTTAGGGTAATGCAGAGTGAAGGAATCAGTGCTGCATTATGTATCTCCACCTGTTAGTACTTTATTTCATAAATGTATAGGTTAAAACCATAGACTGTATACATGGACAACTTTGCTTTGCCTTCTGTCATTATATGAATTTGAAGCCGAATTGCTCTCGGTATTTCCGGGATTTTCTCCACTTCCTGGAACCACCACTTGTGCTGTAGTATTGTACGTGTTCCACGGGAGATTCACCATGATGACGCTCAATTCGAACAGCGTATTCCCGGGTGAGCTATTCAATCTTTGTACGCCCATAGGCTCTATCAAGTGTCAATCATAGAAAACATGAACCCTCGAATAACTTTTAACTTTTAAAATGGAGCTGCACACAAAAAAGAGGACATTTCTTGGGCTACAAATCACATAAAACTACTCTATAGGAGCCCAAGACTAACATATAAAAAGTGTACAAAAGGTGGCCTCTACCCAGTATCATGTGACAATGAGCGTTTTTCACCAAAAACATTGTGAATTGTCAAAGACATAAAAACATAGGTGTGGGTGATGAAATAATGAAGGCTTAGTTCAGATACAGTCTGCTTCCCCCAGACACTGGAGCTGATTTGTCCAGCTGTCAAACAAGATACATTTTACTGCAGCTTTGTTTTCTTTTTCTTTTTATTCCCTCCAGTGGTGTAGTGTAGGGTGGCGCACCCTGCGCAGTGGTATTTTAGTCTGGCGGAGCCTGGCAGACAGCCAGTTTGGTATTTTGATAGACTGAGGTGCATCTAGATCCAAGTTGGGCATGGCAGCATTTTAGCGGGAGGTGTTGACAGAATCAGCTGGAAGGGTGACTTTTTTGTGCCTGCCATCAGCATGCGCTGAAAAGTCGCTGATTCAAACCTGGTCATCTTTTTGTGGAGTTGGAGCACAGATGGTCGAGTGGTATTTTGGCAGACCAGTGGAGCAGTGCGCACATGTCACCAGTGCCTCACAGGCAGGTTTCCACAGTGTACGGCACATTTCTGTGCAATAAATAATCAACAACAGCCAATATTCAGTGCAACAAACTGAGTCAACACATACATTTAGATCTATATCGATATATTCAAATATATCCGAGAGGTTGCTGCAAGTCTGGCCTCTCTGCATTATCTGTAATTTTTGCTTGATTTTTTTCATATTTTTGTGGTCTTTTTGTTGGCTGCTGATGGATACTTCTGCTGGTCGAAGAGTTTACTCAGGAGAAGAGCTTCTTTCATTGAGAAAAAGCAAATCTGGACAACAACATACAATTACAGAGGACATCAGGAGGTGTTACTGTGGTTGCTGGGCTGGTGCAAAGGTGAAGGCAAAGCTAAATGCTAGGAGGTGGAGATATAAACCCTTTCCTCCTTCAACCATCATGGGAAATGTCAAATCTGCCAAACAAAAGCAATGAGCTGGAGATATTGGTGAAGACTGAGAAAGCATACCGTGAGTGCAGTCTCCTGTGTTTTACTGAAACCTGGTTGAATCAAAACAACTCGGACTCCAGTGTAGATCTACCTGGGGCCTATTCTATGTAGCAGGATTACTGCTTAGCAAGGTAACTTCAAGGGTAAATTTGTGGTTTCCTGCTCTACGACATGGGTTCACTTCTTAGCGAGGCGAGTCTCCATGGCAACGTACGCTGAACGGCTATGTTCCAGATTAAACTCACTGAGAATAAAAACCCCGCCCACTGACCAATAAGCTCTCTCGAAAAATGGCTTGTCCATTCTTGGAGGATCCTATAGACCTCGGTGCTCCCATTGTCTGAGGAGCACTCCGGCGCACGGGTTTTCAGGGACCACACGGACCCACTTACTTTTCCGGATGACCACCTTTTAGAAAGGCTCATATGGCCTACATATCACACTAAAAATGTAAACACGATAGGAATGAAAAAATGAATGAATTCATCTTGGAAATGAATTAGACATGTCTGGTGCATGTTAAAAGAGCATGTTGAACAGTGCAATTTCAGGGTGATAATGGCATCAAAGATTTTTTTATATAATACTTACGCATTGAGACTGTCTGCAATTTTCTGCCAGCATTCCTTCCGTGCTTTTGCAGCAGCGACGGTGTTGCTTTTGAGGTTTATGATGGATTAGAATTCTTCATACTTTCTCATGATCGTCTCCTGCTCCTCGTTTGTAAAGTACGCGGTCCTTCGCTGTCCGACCTGCTCTGACGCTCCAGACTGGTCCATGTTCACGATTGGTGAGATGCGGCGGGCTCCGCCTTACTTGCGTGCACGTGCTCATAGCAAAGCTGGATCCACTTACGAGGTTGATGACCACCGTTGCTAGGTCGAACTTGCTTCGTAGAATAGGCCCCTGACTTCACTCTCATAAGGTCAGACAGAGATGCTCAAGCAAGTGGCAAGAAGAAAGAAGGAGGTCTGACTTTATTTGTCAACCAGAGATAATGTAACCCTTCACACATAACTGTCAAGGACAAGTTGTGTTGTCAAGATACTGAACTGTTAGCAGTTGCTTTTTGGCCATATTATGCTCCAAGAGAATTCAGTCATATCATAACAATAGTTGTTTACATCCCACCCAAATCAACTGCAGAAATTCCATGCGATCTTTTCCATAATAGTGTTGCCAGGCTACAGACTCAACACCCAGATAATAATATCAGGAGACTTCAACCATGTCACCCTCTCCACTTACCTGACTTGATTTACACAGTTTGTAAACTGTCCTATAAGAGAAAACAAAAACCTGGATCTGCTGTATGCCAGCGTCAAAGAGGCCTACAGAGCCACTGCCTCACCACCACTGGGCAGGTCAGATTATAACTTAGTCTACCTGCAACCTGTTACAGACCTTGTGTACTGAGGCAGCCTGTGATCAAAGTAGAAATCAGAAGATGGACACCTTAAGCTAGTGAAGCTCTAAGGGACTGTTTTAAATCAACAGACTGGAATGTGCTGCTGGAAACAGATGAGGATAGTATGAACATTGACAGACAGGTTGACTGCTTTACTGACTACATCAACTTCTGTAGAGACACAGTTAAATCGACAAAGACTGTTCACTGTTTCCCCAAAAACAAACCCTGGATCACAAGTGATATAAAAGCTTTCCTTAATTGCTGCAGAACTGCTTGAAGTTGTTAACCCATTTTTTGTTCCCTGAAAAAGGCCTCTTTGTAATACTCTGAAATGTACATTATTTTTTAGTTTTGGTTAACCTTACTTTTTTAATTTACCTCTGGCAGTTCACCACTTACTGTTGTACCCTTTCAAGCTGTTCATTGGACTTGAACTGCTTGAATTTCAATAAAAAATTGGAAAAAATGGGGTGCTCTAAAACTTTTGACCGGTAGTGTATATATACAGTGGGTATGGAAAGTACTCAGACCCCTATAAACTTTTTACTCTTTGTTTTATTAGAGCCATTTGCTAAGATCATTTCATTATTTCTCATTGATGTACACTCAGAGGTAGGTTAGGTTCAGACCAAAGGTTAATGACCCCCGCAAACGAACCGACTACGAGTATGACATGTAGTATCTGCGGCAAGCTATGCAAAAACAAATGTGGCCTAAAAATCCATCAGGCCAGAATGAAATGCTTGGAGCAGGAGAGCGAGGTACAACACACAGGTCCTGAACCTGGTGAGACGCAGGAGGAGCCTGGACAGGAGGCAACCCACAGATCCCAGTCCCTCCATGTACCAGAGTCTCCCAACCCTGGCAGTATAGTTCCACAGCAGTGGATTAAATGGCCCCCAGCAAGCAGACAGAGTGAGTGGCTGCAGTTTGACGAGGACGTGTCCAACATCATCCGAGCCACAGCCAAAGGAGACGTTGACAGCAGACTCCAAGCGATGACCACCATCATCATCAGCCATGGCTCAGAAAGATTTGGCTGGACTGAGAAGGGCAACACCAAGACCACCTCCTACACCATGAACTGCAGGGCCACTAAGATACACCAACTGCGCCAGGAGCTTCAAACCCTCAAGAAACAGTTCAGGAGAGCTACTGAGGAGGAAAAGCAACCATTTGCAGAACTGCATAACATCCTGCAGAAGAAGCTGACAACCCTCCGCAGAGCAGAGTGGCACAGGAGGCGGGGAAGAGAGAGAGCCAGGAAGCAAGCAGCCTTCATTGCCAATCCCTTCCGTTTTGCTAAACAGCTGCTTGGGGATAAACGAAGAGGCCGGTTTGAGTGCTCAAGAGAAGAAGTGAACCACTTCCTCCAGAACACTATGAGCGACCCACTGAGGGAACAAAATCTAGGACCCAACAAAGCTCTCATCAGCCCTGCTCCACCAACAGCAGAGTTCAAGCTGACGGAGCCTAGCCTGAAGGAGGTTCAAGAGGTCATCAAGGCAGCCCGCTCAGCATCTTCTCCAGGCCCCAGTGGCGTACCCTACATCGTCTACAAGCGCTGCCCAGAGCTTCTCCGGCACCTGTGGAAGACCCTGAAGGTGATCTGGCGAAGGGGGAGAGTGGCCGACCTGTGGAGATGTGCAGAGGGAGTTTGGATTCCCAAGGAGGAGGACTCGAAAAACATCAACCAGTTTCGGACAATCTCACTACTGAGTGTGGAAGGGAAGGTGTTCTTTAGCATTGTCTCCCGAAGATTGACTGAGTTTCTCCTCAAGAACAACTACATCGACACTTCGGTACAGAAGGGTGGGATTCCTGGAGCTCCCGGCTGTCTAGAGCACACTGGTGTAGTCACACAGCTCATCAGAGAGGCCCATGAGAACAGAGGTGACATTGCTGTGTTGTGGTTGGACCTGACTAACGCCTACGGGACCATCCCACACAAACTGGTTGAGCTTGCTCTACACCTCCACCATGTTCCCAGCAAGATCAAGCAGCTGATCCTGGATTATAAGGAATAATAACGGGTTGTACCATCTCCGTTACCCTTTTCGCATTGGCGATGAACATGGTCATCAAGGCCGCAGAGGTGGAATGCAGAGGGCCCCTATCCAGAT